TTGTCCCAGGCCCATCGGTCGGCTAGGTCGCTGTCAAGGGTGCCCTGCATCATATCGACGACGTAGTCACCAATGACAGGCAGGAACTTCCAGCCATGGAACGAACCTCCGGTTGCGATATAGAGATTGTTGGATTGCGGGTGAGGAGAGATGAGAAAGTCATGCGTTGGTGTTGATGCGTCCCTGTGGCATAGACCGGTCAGACTGTATTCATGATAAAAACAAGACAAGGCAAGGCGAGACAATATGATGAAATCTAGAGACAAAGGAAAGGGGGTGGCCGTGGCCTTGCTTACCAACACATCCGGTAGGCCTCAATCTTGATATTCTCAACTTCCTTGCCGTATAGACCATTAAACGTCCGTCGCGCCCGATCCTCGAAGAACTTGAGGAACCGAGGCCCTGTCCACGTGTTGTACACGGACTGGTCAGGCACAACTGACATGGCCTCACCGGTCGGAGGAAATACTTGGTAGTTGGTAAAGCATAGGTCGCAGTTGAACTTGATAGTACCGTCAGACAGTATCGACATGCCTTCGCCTGAATAAGAAGTCTTGTTAGCATAGAGCCCGATGATATCCGCCTTGCCTCGCCTCAGCTCGGCAGCCGCCTACGTACCTTTAACCTGGGGCAAGCAGTTCTTGAGAACCGGAATCGTAGCGAACTTGTCCTTCTGCGCGCCATGCAGCTTCGCGTAGAAGCTCACAGCACCTGTGGCCAACAACCTTTCGCCAGCATGGAGCAGTGGCTTTTGGGGCGCGCTCTGGGCAAGAAGAGATGCAGTTCGAGCTCCTGCTGCCAGAAGGGTCTTGTCAGCACGTAATGTTGTGCCATCCTTGAGCGTGACACCGGTGCATTGATCTTCAGATCCAAAGTCCAGTGCCGTCACCTCGCCCATGATGAATTCGGCTCCGAGGTTGACCGCAGCTTGCACCACTGCGCCGAGCGCCTTGTCCGCCTCCCCGAACCCCACGTTGGGGTTCCAGAGAACCTTATCCAGGCCCTTGAAGTTGGCAGTCTTGAAGGCTCCGTTCCAGCGGCGGCGCACCTCTTCAACAGGCAGTAGCTCTGACTTGTTGGGGATTCCCATCTCGCGGTATGAGGCAATGCTCTCTTCGCCGAAAGAGGTGGAGTCGGCACGGAGCATGCCTACCTCATGGTAGAAGGACTTGTAGAGATCGTCTTCTCTCCATTTTGGCATGGCCTTTTTCAGCAGGCGCATGTAGAGCTTGTCCGGATAGTCATCACGAATGATCTTGTTGATGTCGTGTGAGGCGGCTCTTGGATTGGGGTAAGCAGCAGGGTCGACGATGGTGACCTTGACGTTGCCCTGTCTTAGTAGAGAGAGCGCCGTTGCGGCACCAAAGTTGCCGGCCCCTATAATAAGGACAGAAGAGATAGCCATGGTGGAAGGGTAGATGTGTTCAATTGAAGTCTCAGAAGTCTATGCGCAAGAGGAGAGAAGGATAAAAGAAAAAGAATAGAATGGAATTGCTCTGTATGTATAAGAAAAAGTGAGACTTGCCGACGCCATGTTAGCCATCATGGGTGCGGACAACAAACTTTATATCATGACGGGAGCCTCCAACTCCTGAACCCATGACCGGACCGGGAAGGGAAGAGAACTCTAGGCCAATGCCAATGCTAATGCTAGATAATACTGGACTGTACATGGCAAAATAGCGGTCGACTCAGAGACAGACGCCAGAAACCCGAAACTAGTAACCGTTGAGCAAAGGCAATTGCCGGTCAGGTCAGGTCAGTCTCGTGTACATAGAGAGACTCCCTACTGACCGTCATGTCCGCATGCGTGTAAGTAAGGTAAGGCAAGGTAATGTAAGGCTAGGACAAGGCGTCCAAGCATCAAGCATCCAATTGAATCGAATCCATAGCTAGGTACATACAGCACAGTATATTGTTCTGCTCTATCTGATGTAGTGCAGCCGCAGCAACCCAGCTACAATACAGTGCAGGTCGTGGGCCCTGGCGCCTATGTACAGTCTAGTTCCACACTCCTTGAACGAGTAAATCCATACATATACGCTTGGTTAATTAAATCGACTGATGAGATTGATTAATTGACGCGGACGTATGCCAAGGGGAGTTGTCTCATCTTGACGGCTTCAGCGAAGGGGGGTGTATTGATTGAGAAACGAGAGAGAAAAAGAAACCATATGGGTAAAAAAAGAGACTTAGCAAGGAGCAACACAGAAAAGAAACACCAAAAAACTTAGACAACTAGTCTAGTCTAGCGAGTAGTACTGTACCCCTGAACTCTATGTGCGGTTGGCGGCTTTTGGGGGGTGAGAAAAGCGTTTCGTTGGAAAAAGAAGAAAGAACAAAACGAGCGAATGATATCAGACAAGGCACACCAATAAAATGGTTGTGTCGTACTTTTCTCATACAGTAGGTAGAGTAGACTACCTACTAGGTATCAACCTTGTCAACTCGGGCGATCTCTGGGCGGGCGATAGACTAGAGAGGGAGAAAGAGAAGAGAAGAGACAAGAAGAAAACATACTCTTTTCTCTCTTCTCTTTCTCCACTCAACCCCCGAAACGGTCAAAAAGTAAAACAACCCAGCTGAAGTCCTGGAGACTAAACTAGACGGCAAGCTTCGAGTACAGTAGTCGACGGTAACTTGAGACAGTCAGTACAACCTGAAAGGCCTGGACATGCTTCTAGCTGGGCCGTGTCAGGTACCACAAGCCTCCTAGGGTGATATGATAATTAGAGGGACTGACTTTAGCGTCTTGACTGTACTGCTGTCGTTTGTATCGCCTAGATGAAATTCTGCAACTTGCCCCGAGGGTGCTGTGCTGTAGAATTCCTGGATGGCATGCATCAAAAAGTGTAGGCATGCCAGGATCTCCACGAGATCTATACCATCCATCCATCCAGTACGTACGGACGTACCACTGTAACCCAAGCGCTGGGTAAGACATAGCCGCCATAAACCCTGAGTCTGACAGGCACAGCACAACACAGCACAGCACAACACAGCGCAGCGCAGAACGGGCACGGAGCGCCCTACGACTCAACTTGTTCGGCCCAGTACAACTCCCCGAGCATTGTCAATTACCTATTAACGCTTGCTTGCTTGCGGAATTGTGCATTGTAGATCAAATATGTATCGACAGAGTCAGATTGCTTCGCTGCCAACTGAAGCTGAAATTGACGGACGCTATGACAAGAGGACGAGGTGCCTTGCCGTCATCCCCGGAACACACCGCTTGTTTCCTCTTTCTTTTGTTTTCTCTCTTTCTTTCTCTTTCCTCTTTCCTTCTCGCCTCGCCTCATCTCGTCTCGTCTCAAGGGCATGGTCTCTTGTCAATCCCACTTTACAGTGGAACTCCCCTCATAATACAACCCCATGCAAGTTTCCAGGTGCTAACGCCCTAGTCCCGCACCGTTAAGAAGCCACGTGCGCCACTAAAGGTTGCGCGGAGCATGTTTGTTTTGTTTCTGGAGTTGAGATGAGATGTCGAGGGGAAACATGTGTGGGGAAGCAGTAGATTGACCATTGAGATCGGATCGTGATGCCGGACTGAGGCTATTGTATGTATCTGATGGCATCGTGCGATGAAACGTGATGTCCTTATCTGCATGCCCACGGGCCACGGGCATGGCATTGCTTCCTTGCTGCCACCATCTCCATCATAGTACATCGGTTCTCACAATTGCTGTTTCCAACTGGCTGGTTCATGGTTTGATCGCCAGGGTACACGTCCATCCAACGACTTTAGCGTCAAGATCAGCGTTTAGGGCTGCCCAAGAGAAGGAAAAAAGAAGGCGAGATTTCAGCTGCCCCCTTCCTCGAGAGGACTCTGAAGCACTCCAAAGTTGAAATGTCACATTGCTGCAGCATCAGATCGTATGGCTGCGAGTCATCCATGTCTTGCCGAGCCACGACTAAAAGGCTAGACCACATGTCTGGAAAAGCCACCGGTTCCTCGCAGTATACGGTCGGGTCTAATACTCTGTATTGACCTGTACTCTATAGAGTAGCTCCTCCAACCCTGCCATGCCGCCTTGCGTACATAGTGCCTCCTGGCAACTCGTCGTTTACTCATTCTCTTGTGGGACTCCAACACGTTTCACTTTCAAACGTGGCTGCGCTTCCTCTTCTCGAACGATCCGGATGTATGTTCCCGTCGTACGACTCAATCAACAATCGACAGATGCGTGTAACCGAAACGTCAGGCGCCAACATCCATTTCTAACAATCCCCATGTTGCTGTCCGGCTTGGCTCGGTGTTCTAAGCCTCTAATTGAGCTCATGCATGCGGTGTAGCATGCGTTGCCTGGCCTTTCTTAGTCTCGAGTCGCTGAGGCCTACCATGGCCATAGAGATTACTCAACCTAGTATACATAAGCCAGTCGATCCTTCGCTAAGTCTAAAGGCATGTCCTGCAATTCCGTATGAGAAAGAATTCCCGCACCTTGCCCGGAGGCTACCTGCATATGTAACGAGTGTTTGTTTTGTGATTCTGACCGGTGATGCACCAACTTGCAGATGATTGCATCACCCATGAGGTGAGGTGTCTTCTACCAAATAGTGGTTGGGCGACCAACTCAGCACCAGGAAGTGTGACCGGCAACCGGTCATGTCTAACTGTGTTCTGAGTTGTTGGCCCGGATAAAGAACCGAAAGGTGGCTGCCACTGCAGAAGCTGGTCATCTGTGGCTCGCATATTCCTACATAGTCCATGTGGAGGCCCAAATCAATCTCCATGATGGAGTTACAACGTTGGAGCGTTGACAGATGGGCCCGGCAAATGCGCTCTTGTATAGATAATCTCTTGGCGTAGTGTGATTGGTTCATGCAAACGTCAGGTAGCTTGGGTTTCCTATGAGCCGCATGTTTCAATTTGACCGGTGTCGATCCTCCAATCAAGGGCAAGTCTCCTAACGTAAGGAAACTGACCGGTCCAGGTCACGCAACCCAGGATTAAGCTCGTGACTTGGGGCCTCAAGATGTCATGACGCGATGCTTGACCGTCAATTTGTGCCTTTCGAGTCCATCTCTCCGAGCAAACTTGCGTTTTTTGGGCGGATTTGGGCACCCAGGCACATCGCACCGCCAAGGTTTTCTGTGCTTGTTGCAGTGCTGTCTATATCACGGTCAGCACAAACCAGAAACTTTGTGTATGTAAGTCTTACGCGAAGGAAGAGTTTCGGTCAAAGAGCACAAGTTTTCCATCCTTGTCGACACCACCTTTATCGCATCGAAGCCCTAGCGGGCAGTAATATGAGCCTTTGCCTCTTTGTTTGAGCGCATCCATATCGATCTTGCTGAACTGTTCATCCTCATCTTCGCCTGAATCATCCGAACCAGAGGCGTTTCCGCCACTATCATCGGTGCTTTGTGATGCTAGATAATGCTTCTGACCACCGCGCATTCCAGAGTTCATATCGTTCCCTCTGGTGGGCTGCGGACCCCAGTTTATAGGTTCAGATTTGATAGCAAGTGCAGAGGAAGTCTGGTAAGTGGAATCAGATGCTCCCATTCCAGATTCAGGCCTTCGCCGCCAGACTTCTTGAACATCGTCTGAAAATTTCTTGGCCAGATCACGAATTTTGCTAGAAGAGACTGGTAAGCCGCGGTATATTATATTATATCAGAGAAATGGATGTTAAAACTTACCTAAGCTTGGTGAGATTGATATCCATGGTAGCCATGGGTCGCAAATCCGCCATATGAGTTGTGGTAAAAGACTGCTCATGAGCAGCTTCCACAGCCATCGTCACATGTGGCCCTTTGACGAGTTTATCTGTCAGGGCCAGCCACATCTGGGCAGTTTGAGCAAGGTATTCACCCACATCATCGATGATGTTTTGTTGATGCCCCGGCGATGTTCCGGGGGCAGAGAATTGGTTCTCTGACGCCAGCTCTCTAGAAGCAGCCTCTAGTTGATGACGGACCAGGGCATCCAGAGAGTTGGGTCCCATCGGGTTGCCAGGTATAGCGTGGATCCCCGATTCAAAGACAAGCCCGGCTGAGGGGATTGACATGATGGTAGTATCGTAGCGTATCGTGTCTGTGCCCTGTACTCTCCCAACGAGTCAAAGTACTAAGATAGATACTCGTATATTTGCTGTTGACTAGCGTCTCTGTATGTATCTCGAGCCACTATGTACTCAGTACCGTACTATGCTCGGGCACTTGACTTGAACCAACCAGACGGGACCTAGCAGTAGCGTGTCGTACTGCAAATTGTGGCACGGAAGCTAATGAAGGGCTCGGGACCGGCGCGGCGCGGCGGCGACCACGGGAAGGGCAAAAAAATGGAAAGCTTGGGGTAGCCGAAGGAGGGGAAAGACGACCGCCCACCCCAACGTCGGGTTTGGGTTAGGTTAGGTTAGATACGGATACGTAAGGAGGGTTTCGCTGTCCACGGTTCTGATGTGAAGACAGAAGAAAGGAAAACGATGTTCATGCACTTGCTTGGTGACCGGTCAAAGGAGGGAGATGGGACAGCACAGCGTGTAGTGCACAGTAGGTAATAGGTGAGTAACCGGTGTTGAATGCCCATAGGTAGGGCAGGCAGGCAGGTTTCTGCTGTGCTGTGTTGTGCGTGTATGTACTGTACAATACTGTAGGTCTGTACTCTGTCTGTCTGTCTTGTCTGTCTGGTGCTGGCCTAGAAGCCAGTGCTCAAGAGAAATGCTCGGTGAGTGTCCTGCGTCTGCGACTGCGACTGCGTCTTGGGGCCTTGGGCCTGTGGAAGATGACAACGACAACGACAACAGCAACACCCAACGGAGAATTGACAATTTGAATGCTGTGGTCGTTTTCAGTCAGTCCAGTCCCCTTGGAATCAGCTCCTTATGAGGCCGCCAGAGAGGCAAGACACGCGGTGCTGGGCACAAGCACAACTCTTCGTACGAGCAGCAAGTGACGAGGAAAGAGACAACAAGTGCAGGGGGAAAGAGAGAACTGGGTCTGGGTAACGCTAAGGTGCTTGTACTGCTTGTACCGTCGTCGTTTACAGTATTGTTGGCACTGGACGGATAGCCTCTGCACGCCGCAGCGTAGCGTAAGTACCTCCTGTACCTAAACCTAGCACACCTCGCTGCAGCGCACCTAATAAACTGTTGTGCATCCGGTCAAGGTTCAGGCTGTCTGCTGTCTCCATACCGGTCGGTCGACCGTCTCGACCCTGAAAAAAAGCAAAGACGGGTAGCAACGCCATGGCGTTTTCTCCCCTGTCCACTAAAATCCATCTCGCCTGGCCTCCCCCCTGTACCTGGTCCCAAGACCCCGGCGCTATGAGCCCATCACATCGACGGACTGCCACGCTAGAGCACAAGCTGCTCTGGTCCCCCCCCTCTCTGTCCCAGTACCGATACCTGTACCTGTACCTATACGGGCAGACAGACCTTAGAGGTAGGCGGCAGCAACAAGCGCGTAAGGCGCCCGAGGCAATGGAGTGTGAGATTTGCCTTCAGGTAGTCGTTGTCCGCCCTACCGATCGTGACCCAGCGGCACTGCATCTAATATCGTGAGGCGGCTTACCAGCCCAGCCCAGCCATGAAGGCTAAGGCTCTCTTCCCTTGTGTTAAGGGCTTTAAGCTCAAGCTACTGCTCCTACCTAGACCTAGACTACCTGCTCATCGGGTTCCAAAGTCCAAGTGGGGAAAGCCGCAATCCAACGCCAACCATCACCTTGACGGATTGGATCTTGTCTTGTCTTGTCTTGACTTAACTTGTCTAACGGCTCCTGGACACATTTTATTTCTTTTAGTTAAAGCTCTCAACGGGTCCAGAAGAGACAGAGTAACACCTGGTCGAACGTACCTTTTAATGCAGGTACTCTCCCCCCAGACTCACACCATGCCCTCAGGCTCTTCCTGACTCTGACTCTGCTTAAACACCCCTCTGCCGTTGTTTCCTCTTCGCTTCCATCTTGTTGTCTCCTTTCGCCCCCGCTGTTCCGGTGGTTCAGGTTCACTCCCAAAATCCACTCTCGCCAGGCCTAGCTTTGGGCATTGCCTTGAAGCGAACCACTCTACTGGTATTCCCATCTATCCATCTCGTCAATAAGCTCTCGAATCGACGTGCTGTGCGTTTGCCCCTGGGGCCCGGCGGCTCATCCAACATCTGGGATCGCTTCCTGTTACCGCCTCCCGCTGCAGTTGGTCTCCTTGGTGTTCTGATCCGGCCGTCTCCGAAACGACAATACCGTACCGCCCAGGTTCTGTTCTTATCTCATCTCTCTTCTCAACAGTGGCCCTCCGGAGTCTCTCCGGCGCCCAGCCGCTCATATGGAAAGCTCACCAGAGTCGACTCGTCCGCTGAAGCGCGTAAAATACGAGCAACATGACGATGCCATCCCACTGAGTATACATGGACCCGATATCAGTGTCCCTGAAAGTATAAACGGTCTAAATGGGTCTTTGGTTACCGACGATTCATTTTTCGATAACCCATGGCCTTCGACATCGGGTTTATCGTCTCCTTCTCAGGTACTCTTCAACCTTCCTGAAGACTTTAACAACAACACCACCTCTTGGACCCATACTTCTACAGGTGAGAAAGTCAACCTGTCAACCCTCATCTAATACCTTCTTCTCAACCCTTCACACCTCCTTCGTTTCTGTTTTTACTCTCTCAGTACTCTCCCCAGCATGGCTCCTGCTCATCCTCCCTGCTCATATCCCTGTGGGGGATCTAGAGTTGAGATGGGTCTCATCGAGAGGTGCAATGCTCTGAGCAGTTGTAAAAGAACATGTCGCACCCACTCACCCCGCTCTCACTCCTACCCTCACACCGTTGCCCATACCAACTCACTCACAGTTGATCTTTCATCCATCATGTTCTTGTTTTCGTTTCAGTTGCAGTCATAAAGAAACCCAAGCTATTCTCGTGACTCGGTCATGCCATGGTAGACTATCGAGTCTGTGAGCTGACGTTCCATGCAGCACCCCAGCCTGCGACGTTGAATCTTCACACAGTTTCAACGCCTCAACCCGAACTACAGCGCCAGACACAACTTTTGCCCCGACTCTTGCCTGCAACATCAGAAGATACTTCAGACACCTCTCCAGTCGAAAATGTCGAATCGCAGGTCGCAACGAGGAACGATACAGTATTGTTTGTTGTCAGCCCTTTCACAAACGAGGACCGGTTGACTGTGACGGCTGTTCCTCGTTTCTCTCGTCCCAAGAACGGACAGGTGAATGGTTATGTGAAATTCAACTGGCCCACGAAGCATGAACCAACTCAGGCAATTCAGCCATCTCCCCCGGCGCGAGTGCAAACAGACGATGGTGTTGTGGACATATCGTCACAGGTATCGCGATCTCGCTCTGACCGTCGTGATTCCGGTGTGGTATTTATTCCTATACCAGTAACCACGGTAGCTCAAATGCAAATGCATAGTACGAGGATGGCATCTCACAATGTCGAAATAATATGGCCAGAGGGCACCCAACCACCGATAACGATGACGAATCCGACACCTTCTCCTCACGAGGTATTCTCAAGAGCCCCGAGAAAGGTTCCAACGCTGTTCGGCTTCTACATTTACATGGATTATCTTGACAGGCGGATTTGGGAGTTTTGTAAGTTCACAGACGGTATCACTGACTACATCGTCAGTGCAAGCAAACTGAGCATTCTCTGACCGCCTTGTAATAGACATTAATAATTGGTGTCCTGGAAGGAGTGTGCTCGATGACACAAACTCGTGGCTGAAGGATTTGGCTCCAATGTGCAGCAACCGAGGCATACTGCATGCTATGCAAGCCCTTGCCGGTGTCTATATCTATGACTATCTGCCAGATGAGCGCGTGCGACAACGAATCAACCAGCGATATGTCGAGTCTAATCAATACTTCATCGAACTTCTCAATGATCCCGAGAGCAGAATGCCAGGAAAGGGACAAGAAGTCATCACCATGGCCATACTCCTCTCTATGCACGACGTACGTATTCTCCACTCTATCGTCTGTCAGCTCAGTTGTGAGGAAGACTAACTGTCGTGGAGGTTATTCTAACCGAGCGACGCTTGAAAAAACCTAACAAGGCACGATGGTTGGAGGGCTTCAAGCAGGGTGAATATTTTCTGCAGCAGACAGACCCTGGTAAGCGTTTTTGGAAAGAACCCAAAAGCGCCGTATACGATCCCCTCCGAATCTCCCAATCTATTATCGTTGGCCGCGCAGTAATTCTTGCTCAGCCCATGATGGCTCTCTCCAACCCTGAAACGATGGATCCCCAGGCCGAATCCCACAGATTCAACTGGCTCCTGTACGGCACAGAAAGGGACCTATTCGAGATTCACGGTGGATGCGGCTTCTCAAAGAAGCTATTGCACACGATGAGTCAAGTCACGTATTGCGCAGCGCGTCTATGGCAGGAACCCGAGACCGCTATCGTTCCCGTTACTGCAAGATATCTCTCCATGACGCTGACGACAATGCGACAATGGACCCGCGAGGGAGAAGCTTGGGAAGAGTGTCAGCGTCATCCCCAAACGATAAACTGGGTGCGCAAGACCGCTGACGATTTTGTCATCTCTTCGAAGAATGACATGACGAACGTTACAGCCGAAGCGTGGAGAATCGCGGCGATCATTTATTATCAATGTCGTCTTTTAAGGTATGTACTGGGTGAAGAGGGGAACAAAGAAGAGGGGCAGGAGCGGGAGTAGAAGAAACTGGCAGGAGATGTACTCCTTCCTTCCTTCGTTCTTGCTATCTGAAATGAATCAACGAAAAGTATGGCAAGTTGGCTAACGGGTGCTACCTACTTAGGCTACCTCGAACCCACCCGGACGTTCTTGCCAACATGAATGATCTCGCCAAGTGTATTAACATTATGCCAACCTCAGGAACCCACTTCACAGCTCAGGCGCCCTTGCTACCCGTCTTCTTCCTAGGTATGCTCGCTACTGATCCAGCCCACAGGGAGATATCAAGAGGCTGGTTCGACCAAGTTGTGAACACGCCAGTTCGAAGTGTAAGTCAAAGAAAAAAGAGTTGCAATCCTCCCATTTTTGTGATCTATGGAAAAGGGCAGGCTGGTTCTGCCCTTGGTCAGGTCTACTGCAAAAATTATTCTAGTACAGAATTAAGGTGCTAATAATCCCTTTCAGAGTGTTCCCCCATTATACGCAGCGCTCAAGAGAATCTGGAAAATTATCGACACCGATGCGACCCTCCAGTGCGAACTGATCTCTCTTCCGGACTCCCTAGGCCAGAGAGTTCCCTGGTGGGAATACCTCGTTGAGAGGGTCGAGGAGCAGGAAGACGAAACTCTCTGCCTTACCTGACGAAAACACCCATTGCGTTCGTCTTTTCTATCCATTTTGGGATCCCAGTACCCGGACGGCATTCAAATACTCGCAGCAAATAGCTGCCCGCCTTTTTAGAGGTGAAGTCCTTTTTTCTTTTTCTCTCTCGGGAATCGACAGGGCGATAAAGGTTGACCGCAGGGACAGATTAATTGACGCCCGAAACGGCGCTGTCGGCGTCGTCTCGCTGGTCCTTACTGTCCTTGCGACGTACAAGATATTGACCTATATGCCCATCAGTAAGAAATGCGTAAAAGAAGAAAAAAACAACAAAGAAGAGAACAAAACAAAGTTAAGAGGTGGGGTCAGGGGACTGCTTACGAAACTCAGAGCCAGGTGCCTGCCAGACATCGATCACGCTCAGTCCCGCCTTAGAACACATGAGGCGAACGTTGATCTCTCCATACTTGTGAGAATCGAACCAGTCAAGTTCCTCTCCTTTCTGGATGACACGGTTCATCTTTTCAAGTTTGACATCCTTCTTGGCGCGGAAGAAGAATCGGTGTCGAGTTGTAGGTTCCTCCTCCAGCTGAGCAAGGAATTCCCAATCCTCCTCATGGAACCACTCCTCGCCTGCGAGGCGGTTGGCATGCTTGAACCCATTCAGGAAGAACTTGTGGTACAGGTCATCACACGAGTGATAGGCATCCCAAATCTTGTCTTTGTTGCCTGGAAGAGTGTGACCATCCATGCCGATGAGAAGGAGGTCGTTGGATCGAAGAGCGTCCGCCCAAAACTTAAGATGGGATAATGCTTCGGGCCAAGGATCGTTGCAGAGTACCGATCCGAGCGAGAGGAAGAGTCGAGGTGTCTCGATCTTCTTCACGTAGCTCATGCCATCACCAAAGGTTCCCCAGATACCTGCACAGGTTACCGAAGACTCATGGTCCGGATGCTGCTCTACCAGATACTTGATGTTGTGGTCCAGTGAAGATCGAGAGATATCCAATGCAAGGTACTTGGTGGAAACGTTGGCCTTGTCGAAAGCAGCAAGGAGGTGGCCAACCTTGCGTGTGTCACTAGATAAAGTCGCGTTAGTTTTGACAGGGTAAGCTGACAGCCACTACCCATTGAGGGTGGGCGGAGTGCGGGGGCAACAGAGGAAATACTAACCCGGCTCCCAGATCAATGATAGTGACACCAGCCTGGCAGCGTGCTGCAACATCGGCACCGTGCTTATCGAAAAGCGCGATCTCGTCATGAGTTTGGTAAAACTCGGGAGTGAAGATGATTTCATTCCAAATCGGCAAGCCTACATCGTCATAAAGGAGCTCATCAGGAAGGGTGGGCTTGGAGGTCGAAGAGTACGGCGCCGTGAGGGTCTCCTCTAGTCGTTTAGCAACATCATCATACATGTTGCTGCCACCGATGTCGACGACAGCTCCATGGATGGGTTCATCATTCGTGAAGCTCATGGTTACGGTCGTGTTTCATAAGCCAAGTCGAACAATTGTTTATCCAAAATCTGTATCCAAAATTGGAGGACGGTTGAACTTGGCGTCAGTCGTAACCGGGACGTGTTACTCGCAACCGGTGCGTTGGTGAAGTGTTACCTTGGAAGGCCAGCAAAAATGGAGGAAGTAAACGACACGGCACAAGGCGGTGGTGGCGTCTGCAAAAAAGGAAAAAAAGAAGAACAAGAAAGGGTCGACGATGGCAGGTGATGTTGATGCCAAAATCGAAGCTAGTGGAAGGAGAATATATTGTGGTTGAAGGTCTGCGTCGGACGATTCTTATACCCACCCTGGCACTGGAAAAACAATTCGATCAGATGCCAGGCTTAACTGCTGCTGTCACTGCCAGTGTCAGTGCCAGTGCAGGTGTCAGGCAGTGTTAGTGTCAACAATAGCCAGTGCTGCTGCTCAATGGATATGACCCCGGGAATCAAAAAAGGCCCGTAGAAAGCGCTGAAGGCGGTAGGAAGGCGCGAGACAGAAGAGACAGGCAGGCAGCGAGCTAGCAAGGGCCGTGATATGATTTGAGGCGATTCAAGAAGAGCAACGCGGACCGTGGATCCTGTATGCTGAAACGAAAGTCTGCCCCTCAATGAAAACAAAGCAGTGCAGCATCTAAATTTCCCTTGGCCTGGTCTGTCTTTTTCATTTTCTTTTTGTTCTTGCTCCTGCGGTGCCGGTTTGACAGCTCAATGCCAATGTTCGTCAGTGCACTGTTGGCAACTGTTCCCTCCTCTGCTACTGGATGATACACCCATACCCCAGCACTTGAATGCACTTGCTTGCGTGCGCAAGGTAGCATCATAAAATGGGACGGATCTTGGCCATGTACGGGCCTGACCAAAAGCGGTTCATCCTACATTAGGGCGTAGAGTGAGGGTGTCGTCCCCATGCTTCAACACTGAACTCTCCACTGCGTGACATGGGGGTTCCGCTAAGTTTTGGGGACGATATCAAGACCCTTGTTTTTTGTGTGTATTGTTTTCAAGACGGTTATTTTTTCTCATGTTTCTATTCAAAGCTCTAGAATGAATTGAATTCCTCAGAAATTTGTCTTTTGTACCGCGCTTCAGCCTTTGGCAAGGTCTGTATGAGTAGGTATCGCTGTGCACGTGTCGTGGTCTGATATCACGTGTTGAGCAGTCAAGTTCAATTTCGACTCCCGAACACTCTCGATAAGTAATATCTAGGTAGGCATGGTCCCTGCACGAGCGAGCACTAATATGATTCCAGGATGTGGTAAGAAACGAGAGCCTATTTAGGCATTTAGCCAACGTTCCTCCACCGTCGTCACGTCGTGGAGGGGATGATAGAAACTCCAAAGCAGCATGAGCCTACCTACCTACCTTGGTAGGTACTTCATTCATTCATGGGATGGCGCGCTTTACGTTCATGCTATTGTTCAAACCATACTCGACCTGAATATTCCGCTGAGGCATTTCGTTCATGACTTGCTCTCCACAGACAGACCCGCCCTCGCCCGCCATTGCCGTGCTTGCTAGATAGCTGCTAAGCTATTTGTTGTTTGTCTACTAGGCCATTAGGTCGGTAGGTAGGTGATGCCGGCAGCAAGTTCTGGCAAGATGACCAGTCATCTCGACCCAGAAAAAAAGAAGTACCTTTCAATTGATACTCGAAATCAGGTTGGTGGTGACACAAGGCACTCTGTCAGCCCCCCCTGTCCCATCTCCATCCCCAGCTCCAGCCCTGGAAGGTGGGCGACGGATGCACGTCATGGTTCAAGACGAATCCCGCTCAAGCTAGAGAGACAAGCAACATGAGGGTGGCAGACGGCAAAGATAGCGCGGTTCCCATGCCGGACTTCATTGGTCACGATACCTTTGCTCTACCGCTCTCACGCCGAATGCGTGATGGGCTGACTCTCTGAGTAGTATAATGGCGTTGTTGGTCGCTGATCCTCACTGCTATCTCGACAACGGTTCCTGGCCCTGGGTGCAAATCGTTTGAGGCATTGTCCACCTCGCGAGTCTTGCCGGAGACGGGGCACAAGGATAATATCTTTGCGTTCCTATTCCTATCTCAAAAGTTTGACCGCCTGTTGGTGCAGCATTTGAAAGAGAATGCTCTGTGGTTCCTTGACCAGGCTCGGCCCCATCTCTGCTCCATCCTACCGCGGCACAGATCATTGTTGCATTTCAACAGCCTGTCACATGGAAGTGGTGGAGAAGAGTGCACGCGTACATACACACATACAAATAATATACGCTCCAGTACGTACAGCCCAGGCCTATTTATGGCGGATAGAGGTAACTCGGTAGGGTCAAGGTTTGACAAACAGGCTTTCAAGTTCAGATGGAGTCTGCAGAATCGAGAGTCCTGCATGGGATGAGGGTGTGTTGGCATTCGTTTGTTGAAGTCAAGCTTTGTTCACTGGTACTTTTTGGAAGCAATTGAATGGACGGGTGTTACAAGTGGGGATGTGCTGGTGCTTGCATGCAAGAGTGAGATGCAGAAAAATAGCCCGCAGTTGTTTACAAGGGCTCAAAGGGTGGGCACTAAACTAGACTAGACTCTGAGTTGGGGGTACTGTACAATAACCCAACCACTATCAAGCCCTTGTCGGTTGCACGGGATAAACGTAAACGGGCAGAAGGTGATATGCTAATTACTGGAGATGGAGATTAACCTTGATCCTGACGCCGAACATCATACAGTAGACCCTGCGGCCACCTCAGCAGCGAGCCAAGCTCCAACGTCTTTGATGGGTCTTACTAAGTACATCTAACGTAGACTTTAACTAAGGTAAACGCGAGGAAGGGAACTCCCGTCGTGCTAGGATGGTTTCCTTTCTTTTGCCGCAGGTCCGTTCAGAGTTAAATGGGGCCGTCTTTCTTCTCCACTAGTATACGTTAGTCAATGACTGTTTGTCTTTCCAAGAACCTACCTATATCAAGCAAGGCTTAGTGGGTTAATGCTTAGTAGAGCTCTAACGTTAGTTCCATGAGTTAACATGTAGTCGGTGGCTGGGCGTTGTACATACGTTCGTCCTCGAGAAGGTATTCTCTCTTGTGTCGTAATTACTGACGACTGATTCTGCTGCCATGGTTCCCCTTGTTTGCCCTTTCACCACTTCTCATTTAGCCTTGAGAACATTTGCTGTACTGTAGAGCACCTCTAAGCAATAACATGCAGCTATCGCCAGGGATCTTAGACACTGACGTTGCATAACGGATAATAGCCCGCTCTTCCCTCTGAGACATGCTCCTCCAACTTTCATAGCCGCCAAACCAGGAACCCAACTCAGACGCCTCCATTGGGACCCCAGCTCGCGGTGTTTGGTACAATTGAGGAAAAGTCAGACCCGTCTTGTTATCGACCCGGTTTAGCCGCTTCCCAGAAGAGTATAATGGCGTAAATTAACCAGAAACGTACCGATTGAGTGATGATAGCCTTGCATAGAATGGTATCAGGGTGTCACTGCACGGGTACGGGCTACCTACGATACGACAACACCCTCTCTCGTCCAAAGTTGGGGTGAATTGACAATATCTCGATTGAAAAAACTCCCTACACCCCTCCAACGACCAAACCAACGGATATATGGTCATTCACGATCATATCATAACTATCGCACATGGGATTCATGTTGGTGCGCATGATTCTACTGGGACACGAGTTGAAAGCCTGCAGCAGCATGCATAACAGAAGACGAAAGATTCGAGGTTCTGGAGCTGTTTTGTGCTTTAGATGGAAAAGACGCTCCGGGAAAAAGACAGGAGTTGCTGAGGATCATCACGTTATGGGCCCCAGTTCAAATCAGCACCAGTTGGGCAGATCGCGATTGGGAACTGTCACTCTGCCTGTCTCTCTGTCTTCTGTACCACAGTTGTTAAAGCAGGGGGTAAGAGTGGTATGGTGTGGTGTCACTGAGGATCAGCATTCTGCCTTTTCTGGCGGACTTCAGGGCCGGGAAGATGATCGAGCAGTGGCATGTCGTATCTCCCCCCTCCCGACAGCCTGGTAAGGCCTGAACCGGCTCCTTTCCGAGTATTCCTTTGACAACCAACAACGCCATCTCACTCACTGCTCACGCCAATAGTTGCCATTATAGTTTGACCAGTCTGCAGGGCTGCCGAGAAGTGACGCAAAGGGCAAGCGAGCGATGTACTTGAACAAACGTCAATATGTACGTTCTCGTCAAGACGACTACGTATGCCTCCCTGGTCCCAGCTGCTTACCTACAGTAGCCAGCTCTGGGCATTCATCCTGGCTGAATAGAGGACACGATAACGCACTATCCGGTATCCATAATCCACGGCTTGATTTACGGCGCGGGATGGGGCCGAGTCAGCGGGCCGCGTCCGGTGCAGCTTTAGTCTTTAATGTAATGGGTACTTGAAGGGCCACTTGAAACTGGAGTTTTGAGGTTACGAGAACCTCACAGTGAGCATCCAAGCAGTAAAAGGTGGATGCGTATAACGGGCAATTAAATCAATGTTGTTTCCTCCGGGCTTGCCGCTCAAAAGCCATGAATAAAAATGATTCGATGATATTAGAAGGATGGGTTTTTGTCTTGAGCTTTGATCCTCTGTTTTGCTTTGCTTTGTCTTGCATTGCATTACATTGCATTGCTTTGCTGTGCAGGCAAACGGGCAGGCAAGAATAAGACACAAGACGGCTAATGTGCTGCTGCCTTATGAATCGAGGTGATATGATATGGGAGCCAAGGCGCCTTCTTCAGTGGTCTTGAGGACCTAAAACGGAAACAGCAGGAGGGTTGTCACCGTAGCCAATCGCAACAATGCGGCTGACCGAAGCGTGATCCCAGCTCCAAGACATTCTTTCTTCCTTCATCCTTGACTATTACCGAAAATCTGACCTTCATTGCAACGCCATTTGCCGGAAGTGTAACCCGCCCTTGCTGGATCCTCGGTGGCTTTCAATGATGCATTTTTGTCAGTTATGATGGACAAATGAGAAGCCTCAATCATCACAGTGCAATGGATTTTTCAGTACCCCAAGATACCTATCAATCAACCAACAGCGCCATCGCTTACTAGCTTCGCAAGCTCCTAACCGTTAGGGTTCCATACGTCATAAACGATATTACTACATACTACCGCATAATACAACGCGATGCAATACGATGCGATACGTACACATTCTACGATGCGACCCCAGCACGGCACGGCACGGTTCTGTTGCGTCTGAATGGTCCGTCCAATGGTCTGATGCCTGCTTGTCGGTCTTGTTATTATTGACAAGACAAACCCCAAACTATAGTAGAGTATCTGCTGGTGATCCCTTTGCTTTTTCTAGACCGACTTGTCACATGCCACGTGGGATTGATAGCTAACGCTTGCTAGCCAAGTTAAACCTCATCGAGATGAGTCGCTATGCTGACAGACATCGATCATTCACTCGGTTACAACACCCGTGTCTCTGTCTCGAATAATAGAGCCCGGGTCTATCCAGAACTCTCGCTTCCACTCAGTGACGAGTATTCTCTTGTCAATTACCAAGTAAAAGTACTCAAGGCCAAGCATGGCCATGCGGACCCTAACCTCAGGGTGTAATAAGAATTGGCCCCCGACAGCATAAGAGACGAAATAATTTGATCACCTTATGCCAGCTTAGGCTGGCATTTAGGCTACTTTATTTCTGTAGCCTAAGTCCTGGAGGACATTTCTTGTGACACCCACCTGCCTAGGCACGGCACCTTATTGAGGATCGTCAACGGGAATAGGTCCATCGTCCGCCAGACGTAGCAGCAGCTACTGCAGTCTCAGTGTCCGCATCCTTCTATTCCGAGACCGGTAGTTAGAAGGGGAGTCCACTCAAGGACATCCTGTGCCTGCAGGTGCGTGCTTTGACAGCGCTTGGTAATGCAGCTCCAAGGCTTTAACCGAAGACAGCGACTGCTAGCCGAGGCTGGAACGCACACAACTATGTTGTGCCCACGCGAGTCGAGACATGACAGTAAACAAGGTCCCAAGTTACTTGTCATGAATCATTCTTTTCTTATTCAGCTATCAAAATATTTGGTTCCAAACCAATCCGCATAATGTCACCAGAAGGTCCTCGTACAATTGAGTACTCAGAAGTCAGGAATAGGTTCGCCGAACTATGACACTTGTCAGCTAGCTGGAGAAAAAACAAGAAGCACAAAAAGCAAACATTGCAGATCAGGTCCTGGTCAATGGCTGCGGAGAGCAAGGGTATTGGCGTTGCTTGGTTGCCTTTCTGAAGACTACGTATTGTGGACTTCACGCGAGCAATAATGAGGTGGACAGGGTCCCTTATCTTACCGAATTTGCGTCGACCACTCTTCGCTTCCAGGAAGACGAGCTGTGCTTCGACCGCAGGACGTCGGCATGGTACTCCGGACGGGAACCGTAATTCCCGGTCTATATGGTGATAGCCCTCCGCAACAAATGCCTGACAGCCACCAATCCATTCCGGATCGGTCTGGACTCACCTGCCGGCCTCGAGAACTCTTCTTTAACGATGTTATTCTATCTAGACAATAGCATGCCTAGGATATCTACTCTGAGGTCAAGATTGATAGAAGTTCTTTGTTGGGAACCATACCACACAAGTGGCAGGGAGACGACTAACCCTTTACCAAAGTCCCAACATACCTCGTAAGTTGGATACTCTTGAGGCTTCCCCCAGCAACTTCCCTTGAAGCATCATATCATCTCAGATCAATTGTTTACGCCAGATCTCTAAGATATAACGGCTAGCGTAACTCTGATTACGGTAGTTTTAACGGAGACACACCCCCATTGTGAATATCAGCATCTACCAAGATACTTTACTCAGAAGCATGCGCGCTTCCACTGGGGGTGTAGTACACAGAATGAGGAGAGAACAACTGAGACAACAACTCTGCTCAGGGGCCGCGGAATCGGATCCGGCACTGCATATGTACCTATACTGCAGCAGGGCTTTACGCCAGTGTTCCGGCCGAGATAAATCTCGTTGTACCAGCTTTGTTGGAGATGCAGTCAGACGGCGTCTGCGTGTAAATGGCGCGCAGCCAGGAGGGTGTGACGAAACCCAGGTGCCCTTGTACAGATTACCTTTACGCAGCGGTGTAACTAACTTGAGCTTTGCATACAACATTGCGTCAGAATTTCGTCTGAGTAGCAGACATGAGCGCTCCAATTGCATATGTCTGCACCTCGAAAGAGAGCTTAATCACCCTCGAAAGAGGTGTGTACATACCATGGCAGAAAATAGAGCATTGCAGCCGGCAGTCGTCATGATAGTTGTTACAGTCTGCACGACAGCACTAATGTAAGCTGCAAGAAATACCAGGTAGCATCGGACAAGGGCCCCAGTAGACATCAAACCTAATGCACTGGCCATTGCTGTTACATGATTCATCACCGTGGGCAGAAATACGTAAACGCTAAAAGTGTAACCATGACCCTGCGAGTTCTGCAGCTCATGTCCTGCGTTGTCCTTGCAGCAGGAGAAACTGCAGAGTGCATTGGGTGCGATGTTCGTTCCATTGGGCGTTAACACTTCATGAATACATCACAAGGACGCAAGACAAGAGAACAATCGATGCATGCGACGCAGTGGACCGTACGAAGCAATGGAAGAGCCGCTTTTTGCCACATCAACTGGCATATGCAGGGCCTAAGAGAGCAGACGAGAAAACACGACGCTGGTGTTGATGAAGCTGCCAACAGCCAGAAAAGGTCATCTTCAACCACAGTTTGGGTATGAATGATGCACCAGCAAAGCCCTTGTCACGGGCCAGGGGTCATTCAACACCCTTTGTTCTTACGTCGTGATATGGTGACGTCGCAAAATACCTACTTTCTCATCCTACCAGAAAGTGCTGTGAACAGTACGTAGAGCTGGTTTGCATCTCAATTGCTTGCAGTATTTCACAGCAACTGCTTTTGCAAGCTCCATAACATTTGTGCAGGTCTGTTTACACCAGCAATGCGCAAATATGTTGGTTTCAGTGACCCAATGACTGTTTCGTCGCTTCGCAGTAACGCCTCTTTCAAACTAATACCGAATGTCTATCTAGCACTTGCTTGGCCTTCAAATATCCACCTCTTTTATTCGTTCCCTTACTCCTCCCAGAAACCTGGGAAAAGGTATTCAACCTTCTTCATGGCCTCAGGGTTGCGGCCTGCAGGCTTGGTCATGAACTTAACGGCACCTTGAGAAGAGCCAGCCAGATGCTTAGCCAGAACCAAGTCGCTGTCTCCAAGCTCGGCGAGACGATCCAGAACACCGGCAACTAAGCGCTTAGCATTCTCATTGTTAGCCTTCATGTACTTGAGGACCAACTCGACGTTAACGTCCTCAAAGGAGTGCCAGCAGTCGTAGTCGGTAGCCATGGCAATGACCTGGTAAGCCAGCTCGGCCTCACGAGCAAGCTTCGCCTCGGGAAGAGTCGACATGTTAATGACCGATCCACCCCACGATCGGTACATGTGCGACTCAGCACGGGTCGAGAATTGGGGTCCCTCTAGAATGTTTGTCAGATCGTATTCAGGTCGCACTGTTGGGAGAAACACTCTTACCCATCACAACGACAGTGCCCTTGTCATGCAAGACGACACCCTCACCTTCCATATGAGCTGCACAATCCTTGACCACCTTAGCAAGACCAGCGTCAAAAGGGTCAGCGAAGCCGACGTGTCCGACAACGCCGCCCTCGAAGAAGGTGAAAGGTCGAACACCCTTTGTACGATCAATAGCCTGGTCAGGAATCACAAAATCCATAGGCTTGATCTCCTCCTGCAACGAACCGACGGCGGAGAAGGCGATAATGGATCGAACACCGATATGTCGTAGAGCAGCAATGTTGGCACGGTTTGGCACCTCGTGAGGAGCAAACTGGTGGTGAACGCCATGGCGGGCAAGGAAAGCAACGTAGCCACCCTTGTGGGAGAGGATCTGGATCGGCGACGCGGGTTGGCCCCAAGGTGTAGTTGGGTTCAGAGAAGCGACAGGCTCGAAGCCTTCAAGTTGGCCAAGGCCAGTGCCGCCAATGACGGCGATATGGACAGGCTCTGTAAGAGTGAAGAATCAGCATTGCGCCTTGGATGACTCGGGTCGATCGATGGCTGGGTCCTGGGTCTGCGTACTGTCAAATGTAGTGGGTAGGTCGGCCATCTTGTCGAATTGAAACGTAGACTCGTAGGAATTGAAACTTGAAACGGTGATGGCAAGGAGGAAGTTATCGTCGTCACCAGGAAATATCTGTCGTGCCCAGCACCGATAAGAAACCTGAGAGCGACTATCTATTATCTACTAGTAACCTAACTACCCCGCCATGCCCAATATTACGTGCTTGGGCTATTGAATGGAGGGGTCGTGGACCCTTGGGAGCTCTGCCATTGGTTGGGTCATTTGAAGATTATGAGGTCTTGTAAAATTTGGTGGTGATGGGGACAGGTTGCTACCGTTGATCGAAGAACTAAGAGCCTAGGCAGGCATAATATATTTCCCATTTGAAGTATGAGGGGTGTGTAGAACTGCCGCAATGGATCTGTGTTGCTGGTGTTCAAGCTGGTGGGCATCTGGATGTCTACAGTATTGTGCTTGTAGCTCTGTGTTCTCATCTGGCAGTTTGAATAAGCTGAGTACTCGATCGATCAAATTTAAACATATGACTAGATGCTGCCTATTTAGCATCGACAGAAGTATATACAGAGTGAGTGGCTATTATTGGAAAATTCTATGTTACTTTTTCGAATTATTCTGGATGGTGGGGTTAAATCTTTCGTCTGGTATTTTCAACCTTTGCATGGAGGCTCGTACTCGAAGGCATGCGTGAATCATAATTCTTGCGCAACGAACCAAGACTATATAAATATCGCTTCTCACTAAAATTCTTGCCTCATTTCATAATTTGCCTCCCGTTTTCAGAGCATCAGCCCAGCTCTTTCCTGCCTACCTCTACTCAGGTGCTGACCAAGCTGCGGGCGGCCAGAATTTTCCCGAGCTCCGCCAAAATTCAGCCCACCACAACTTCACCAGCCAAATAAACCGCCACGATACATCCATATTGAATTAACCAGGAGCCGTATATGCCATGACACAGGTGGGCGAAATGACACGGCTGTCAGATAATGATACTCTACTAGACGAGGCACAAGAAAATGGTCATGATAACGAGACCATCGAGGAGCGATGCTTCTCTGCTGCCCTCGTCTGCCTTGAAGGGCACTATACTCAGTCCCCTCCCATGGGACCGCACACAGCAGCCAGAGTGAGCTCTATGATCACCAAAACACTAGAAAAGACACACACTCTCCGCAAGGCTCGGTAGGCCAGAACCTCGTTATCCGCCGGGTCTCTTTACTGACCAGATTATAGCGAGGCAATCTCAAGAAATGTGGCGATTTGGATCTGGCTCACAAGAATTTTTGCGGCTGCTATACCCAGCCTCACCACAAGATCCGTGGGTCCCTTATCAAGTCTTAACGATCCAGAGAAAGGCGTCACCCCGCAAGAAAGCACGGCATTGATCGTCATGAACCACGCCTCCATAAAAGAAGATCTTGGGACACTCATCAAGCTCATGCACATCGCTCGCAACTTGCTTGTCAACGCTGAGCCCGAAGTACCTCAGGATATCTGCGCTGCGGTCCATTTTGATCAAATGGTGTATCAAACGATCATTCTCTGCGTTAACGTTACAAGCAAAGGCTATGACGGAGAAATTCTCGATGAGAATCAGAGATTAAAGCTGGGTGATGTTACAGAGCTGTGTAAGTTTCTGACCGATGTCGACATTAGCAACTCAGCTTAACCAACATCTACTAGACAAGAAATTGCTTGTGACATCTCTACAACAAGCACATAACTGGACAGCGAAACACGACAGAAACAAAATGTCGTTCTGGTTTGATGTTCTGTTTGACGACGATGGCGCACTTTCATGTCGTGACGAAAGTTCAGGCGACTCGCTAGGTTTCCGACCAGAAGTGGCCAAGGCACAGGTCCAACACTGGCTGGACCGAAACTCCAAGCTATGCGACACCGCCAGGAAACTCCTTACAGATTACGCTCAGAACCATGCGGGTAAACCACCGGGAAACCTGGCCCCGATTCGGCCACTCGCCTGGAACTGGCTCCCGGACGGCTCCGTCGATGTTCCCGCGGATGTCGTTAATATCGATGAAAAGATCAACCCGGTGTGGAAGCCAGATGAGACCGATAAATTCGAGCAGGATCGTGCTTATGGGCGCGTCTCTAGAGAGGTCGATACCTGGTGGCTGAATGCTCGTGACCCCAATTATGAAGAATGGCATGTTCCAATGCCGGCCGTGGAGTTCGCTCAAACTCGTCTTGAGCATTGCCGTAACAACCTTCTTCATCAATACGCTCACTCTTGCGGAACAGATCGTTCCCCGCCTTCAGGGGTTGTTGAGGAAGAGCAGCTCTCGGAACACGAGCATTGCCATCACTGCGAGCACGACGACCACGATCATGACCACGATGACCACCATCACGATCACGACCATCATCATGAATGCAACCATGATCATGACCACGACCACGACCACGACCATGACCACCATCACGATGACGAGCATACATGCGAGTGCGATTATGGTCACGATCATCACCACCACCATCATCACCATCATGATCATGAGTATGCTCACGACTATGTGGAGGACATAATGGATGATGAGGACGCCGACGATGACGAATCTTATGGTGAGGGGCCACTGACCGGACTACTCACTGAAGTGCCAAACATTCTGGACCCGAAACAGATCGAGGCTCTGCACATGATAGTGAAGTCGTGTATACTGGACAATGCCGGCTCTGGTTTGACTCGCGCAGGCGAGAACCTGCAAAAGACACGATGCCGTATGTTCCTGGCACTCGACTGTGGAAAGAGCTTATTACGAGAGATGCTGGTCTTTATTGCCGTTTGGGAAAAGGACGAGCAGTCACTCATCTTCCAGGTGACAACTCAGATCGTGGAGGCTCTCCATCATAGCGCCCTGATCCCATATGCATGGAACTCTTTGCGCATAATGAAGGACATCATTTCGCCAGCACAGACAGTTCTCCTGCGACTCATCAATCACATGTTCAGAGCCCGAGTCAACAACTCGTCTTCGCAGGAAACCAAAGACAATGCTCGCGACATTAAGCTTGTCCACTTCTTTTTGAGTTTTTTTCGAAGTCGCATCGTCCCAGAGTGTGCTGCTTTGATGCACCTCCAGGCTCAGATTCGGGAGGAAAACTTCGATCCCTCCGAGTTCCCTGTGGACAGCTGGGATATGGAGCGTGCTAAAGATGGTTTGGCTCAGTACCTTGACTTCCTTACGACTGTTGCTGAGATGATGGACACCCGAGCGAAGCTTATTGAGTGGGAGGCCGTATACGACCTCATCACCATTCTGAGCGGGCTAGAGGCAGGTGTGCCCAAGAAACCTTTGATTGAACTACCGAAGCGATCGCCACGAAATGAGAACAGCGGCAACCCTATGGTTGAAAGGCCCTATTCTTCTGCAGACGATGGCCTTCCACCTTCGCCACCACCTCCTCCTCTGCAAGAACCAGCGCACAAGTTCCCCTGGTCTGGAATAAAGGGCCAAATCTTTACCATTATAGCCACCCTACTACAACCACCTCCAGGTCAGAGCAGTCCTGGTAATCCGGATGTGCAGATGCAGATGGTCAAGTACAACGGAATTGTACCTCTTCTCAACTGCTGCGCTTACGACGACCACAACCCCTTTGCTAAGGAGCGAGTAACAATTTGCCTCAAGTGGCTGTTGGATGGATGCGAAGCTGCCAATACCTTCTTCCGGGAGCTTGTCAATCTTTCACCTCCACCAAACCTTCGTCCTCCACCTGGTGGCACAACTGTATCAACTATCAGGGTCGATGGTATTCAAGGCGACGTGAAAGTACAGGTCCGCTCAAGCACGGCCGGTCCAAGCGAGCAGGACACCAACGACATCGTGGATGGAGCTGGAAGAATCGATCTGAATCAACCAAGTGGACGAGGCAGCATCGAAGATGATTTCATGGCATAGACGATTGAGCGGTTCGAAGCATGTACGGCATTCAAGGTTTAATGAGAACACGAGGCGATTTGTGGATAGAAGGAAAAAGGTCCATGGCAGCTCTGCTGTGCATTTCAATTGTGAGAGATCTCTTCGCTGTAAAGGCATTCTACCAGGGTTGATTTTCTGAATATTGCATTATTACGGAGTTTGGTCGTCTATATTATAGATACAGATTCGCATATGAATCACCAATGGTTTACCAACACTGTCTATCATGTGACGAGTAGTGAAGATTGCTGGTCTCGACGCTTTGTTGTCAGGGGTGGGTGTTAGAACTACCACTGTCTGTAGCTTATCACGTTGACAACTCTCCCAGTTGGGCATGGACTTGGGGTTATTTGCTTCAAAGAGGAGGCTTTCGTTTATGACTACTATTGAATCTTGGTCTATCGGTGTCTTCCAAAAGCTTGAAAGTCCCTTGGGTAGTGGTAAGCAGAGCTGCCCAGCCGATCCTCCAGCATCACCCTCATGGAACAAACAAATGCTGGGCCCTTGCATGATACTTGATCTACGTCTTTTCCGTATTAGGCGGTGACAGCTAACGGCCGAGACCGGTCTTGGCCGGCTTTGACTTGTTTAAACTTTTTTGGGTATTGGTGAGTGCCGCAGTACGTATATCTCTTGTTGGGTCCTTGTTTCGATCGCGTAGGTGGACAGGGAGGCATGAAGATCGAGAGCTGACAGACAACAAGGGTTGTCAGTTGAAAGTGGAAGACGGGACCACGGGTCAATCACAAATGCCGAGTCAGAGCAAAACTTGTTGGTACAAATATATTTGTATAATGATCTGATCTGACGCTGTCAGATCATCCGCCTAGTAACTAGATATTCGGCATTTCTTGATTCTTTGGCGATCTCATGCTCTGTCGATCAGCCACTGATGCCTGACCGACTCCTTCCAACTCCATGTCCTATAATATTGGACAAACACTAGGAAATAAACAAAATGTGCTCCTGAAACGCCTAACTGTGTATGCCCGTGCCTGAAAGCGACGTCTATAACAAAAAGAAACCCATTGTCTTTGCGCATCCATGCTGCTGTACTTTTCAGGCCCGAGCCTGCTTCCAGCGAAATGTAATCTAAAAATTCGAAAGTTTTACATGATGCGTAAATCATCAAAGTATGATAGTAAAGACCAAAACCGCAAATAATAAACAACGCTGAACCATATGTTCTAGAGAATATGACCCAAACACCTTGAAGTGCTTCCGATATGATGAGTGGTAACCGTTTTGAAGAAAGAAATGTGCCAATGCAGAGGGTATCGTAAAATTTCGTGAATGCCTTGAAGCAGTGATACCAGAATGAAATGAAGCCTGATGTTCGTAAATCGATGGGTACTGCCAAGTTTGGGGTGGTGTCGTATGTCGGGCAAGGGGGTGTACCCTTGCTATGTCGTCGTGAAAGATACGAAAGCGTGAGACGTAAGACTTCGAGTCATTAAGTTGTTGTCGTCGTCGTCGATGCTACGGTGTTGCAGGCAAGGTACCATTTAATCCATCTCGCATAGAAAGCCAATGCAGTAACGACAACCAGTGTTGTCGGCAGGGACGGGGATGATGGTTAGAAGGTTGCTGAAGGGTTGTCCGTACTTCTTGTAGTTGGTGACAGAAGTCTGAATCTCCATTCCAGCCATGAGAGCTTGTCGCATACGGTGCGATGCAACCTTGTCTGAGCCCTTCCTATCGAGACGACGTTCCTGTCCAGGTGGTGCTTGCAGGAAGCGGCAGTTTCGGCCTACGGCTTCACGAGAGGAGTATCCTGTGAGCTCGGAGAAAGAGTCTGAAACATAGATGACAGGAGCATCGGATCTAGCCATGTCGCAAACAACAAGAGCAACAGAGCAATCGACGGGGCCAAGAACAACTTGGGGGTTGGGTCGTCCCATTACTCGGAACTGATTATTGTTAGTCATTGAAAGAGAGCGAGAAACAAATGAACTCACCAAGATGGACATGATGTCGATACCGCTGGGAGCATATAGACCCGGGTAGATGACAGGGTCTTGAACTCGACGCCAAGTACCGGCAGAGTTCACTGTACCATCAACGTTCAAGGAACCTTCTTGAGGAAACTCATACTAATAAAAGTCAATAGGTGTTTTTTTTTTTATGAATGTGATATCTGATCAAGACATACGTTGAGAGCATTGACCTCCCAAGGATTCATAGCGGGAACAGTCTTGGACGCCATGGCTGAACAGTGAGGAGACGGCGAGCGTGAGGATGAGAAGCCCAGAGGTAGTGGTGAATTGCTGATGGTGCGCATTGAAGCTGTCATATGGAGGTGAAGTTAAAGGTAAAGGGAGAAGACGATATATAGAGCTGGTTCCGTATGGCCTCAAGGTCTGGTAGGGCCAAGTCAGGAAGAACCGGGTCGGGTATGACGGTGTAAGCAGTTGGTAAGGTATCAATGGAAGCGGATAAGTATGTAGGATGTGACTCGATATCGGACGGCAGGTTGGTTGGTTGGAGAAGAGAGCTGTAGTATGAACTGGCAGGTAAGCGAGAAGGAACTCGTGGAGTCTCCCAGGATGCGGCTGGATAGTTATCTCAGGTCGAGTTTGCTAGACCAGTCAGGGTAGAGTAGCAAGGGCGGAGGCTTTGAAGGCTTTCGAATGCAAATCGTGATGGACCCTGAGACGAGAAGAACAAAGACGGGTGATATTGGGGGCGTGGAGAAGGTTGATTTGGTGTGGATTTAGTATTTAGATGTTAGTGTTGGCTGCCATGATGATGCGGCGCAGCCTCTCATTGGGGTTCTGAAGAGACGTAGTTTTTTTATTGCACAAGACGATTTCAAAGCATGAGAAGGATGAGTCTTGGCTTGATGGCTGATTTAAATTGTAATTGATTCATTTGTTTGCAGGTGTCTCGGGGCCTGTACGACAGCCTCATCTCTGCTAACAGAGATAATCGGGAGTGGTTCAGCAGCCGTAAGAACGGCAGAGGGTAAGGGGTTGAATCATGAGACATGAGGCGTATCTGCAGTACAGACGTCAACGTGGGTAAGGATCAGACATCGACGATTGGTCGAAGATGCTCGATTCTCATGATCCCCGGGCAGTTGAAGAGATCGCTGGCAACCGGCTCAGACACGCGATCGGTAGCCATCGGTCCTCTTTCTCCACTTTAGTCTAGAATCGGCTTGTCAGATTGGTGAAACCAGAAAGGTACGTCTTGTCATGATCGCCGGATACTTTGGACCGTCACTCTGGATCGGTGCAATGATTGTGTATCTTGTGTATCGGCAGTTTTTGCAAGTGCTCATCAGCAATAGCAATCGACTTTCCGTTTGCTTCCAGATGAATGTTTTGTGTTTTCTGATCTTTTAGATAATATCGAATCTGTTGTTTCTTCTTGGCGTTCAGATTCCATCAATGGCTGCGGATAGCCTTCGATCCATGTTATTGCTGCTGATGCAACCCTATAAACCTGCCATCACGATGTTGTTCAATTGCATCGTCGATGCTGTTTACTGATGCGGTAGCCTGCCTCGCTCACAGACATAAGACAGCATCTAGACTTGATATGGACCCTCTCGCTAAGAAATGAATACGCACAGCTGATGAGCCTTGACTGCGGAATTCGGTTTGAGAGATCGATGCTGTCGTCGATGCACGATGGTACAGATAACAAAAGTTGTTGGTGTTGAGGCGCGATGGCTCGCTAAGGCCTCGATGCGTGGGACCAAGTCTTGTCTGCCTCGATCAAGATAACAAAGGGATTTGGGGAAACGGGGCTGCATATTCTCCACGCTTTATTTTTGTCCCCGATGAAAATTAACGTCTGAGACAAGGATCTGAACTCGGTTGGTCGGCTTATTCCCAGAGCAGACACATCGGAAAGTGCATCGAGATATTGGACCATAGGACGGGCCTTAGCACCTGTTCCTGAGGGTCCGAACCCAGCATCGTCACTAGTGACGTTTGTGGGTTATGAGCTGAGTTGAGCTGCCCTGTGCGATGATGCTTGTACAATTTGCTGATGTTGATTGATTGAGATTGATTGAAGCCAATTGATGTCGGTTAATACATCAGGGGCATAGGTATGCTCGAGCATTCAATCCATCCATATCTGTCGGAAATCAGGTAGGCGGTATAGATGTACGGTATCTCGCAACTCGGAAGAATCCATAGGTAATGTCAGACAAAATATCAATGACGGCGGCAACTACCAGGTTTCTGAGACTAACAAGGGAGGGACCCTGATTGACATCGATTCTCAAGCACTGGCAAGATCGGCGGCTTATAGTCTAGGACCCTTTGCTGTTTTTGGTTCCTGCTGTTATGTCATCCTTTCGTCTTCGAAACGGTCATCGAGATGGCTGTCAACTTTGGAGGCTTGTGACTGGACCATGAGCGGAACAACCCAGGGTCATAGATACTATCTGCCAATAAGACGATTGGAATATATTGGAAGCACAAATATTGGCAGAATTGTTTCCGAAACGGAGGATATGGAAGATGATTGCCCTGAGAATAGGAAGTTGTCAACCGTCCAAAGGCAGGCAGGTTGACTGACACAGGATGGGAAGGAACAAGCAAGGGCAAAGTTGATGGCTGTTACAGGGTAGCTAAGCCACAAGTGCTCCACTTCAGCGTCGCGTCAACTTTCAATTTACGCGTCACGCCCAAAATTGGACATCATAGTAGGTAGCTTCAATACCAAATCCAAGTCATCATCCCAAACACCTTAAGCCCAGCATGTCACGGAGGCTTCTTAACCGCCAAGGCGGGGGCGGTCCAGCGACTTCACTTGTAGACCTTCCCGAGTACGAGCCACCAGCGTGCCCTCTCACGGATAACGCCCGCAGCAAGCTCAACGACCTTATCAACACACGCACGAATGCCGTATACCAGCAACAAGTCAGCGAGTCGATTCGACTCCTTGGGTCCAGCGTCGGAGATATACACGATCGTCTACGTACGCAAAATGAGGCTCTCGCAGGACTGAAGGCCAAAAGAGAGGAAAAGGGCACCGACAAAACCGAAGATGAACAGCGCCTTGAATCGCATCTTGCAGAATTCGAAGGGCGTGTTGATGAGCTCACCTTTTCATCGGAAAAGGCTGTGCGTGATCTGATAGATCGAAGAGCTGAACTGGAAGATGAAGCCGACATACTCAAGGAATTGTATGACACTGCTAGTGCCGAAGCTCGACAACAGAGACAGGAACAGGAGCAAGAGGGTGAGGGAAGTGATGAGAGGGAGCAGCTAGCTGCATCAAGCGCCATTGAAACTTTCAAGAAATTACGCGCTAGGAAAGAGGCAGAATATACAAACATGTCCGCCCGCCAACGGTATGCCCTCAACAACGACTACGCTGGCTTCAAGAAGGTATGGCACGACGCCATGGCTGGCGAAGATGGCCCGCCGCTGCCAGATGCCTCGCGCTGGTTCACTCAGGATGGTCAACCCGTCATGAACGGCGCTAATGCAGGTGATGCGGACGACGACGACGATGACATTGCGGTTGCGCGCGAGACCATCAGCATCAACTGTCCCTTGACTCTACAGCCCATGAAAGACCCATACACCAACCGGAACTGCAAACACACGTTTGAAAAGTCCGCTCTGTTGGAATACCTACCCATGCGAGGCGAGTCGCAATGTCCACAGGCAGGCTGCTCACAGGTCCGTACTACTCGTTCTTGTCGTGAAACATTGACTAACACAAGATGCAGAGTTTCGCACGTGCGCGATTCGATCATGATTTCTTTCCAGATCAAGCAATGGTGCGTCGTATCAAGCGCGCCCGCCAGGCACAGGCACAACAAGACATGGAAATGGACGATGATGATGCCGATGGTGAAGACGATGTTGTGGTTAGAGGCCAGAAACTTGCATCCGGAAGAGCCCCAAAGAAGGAAGAAGACGACGATTGATGTGTCATCCCAAACTACATGGATAGAAGCATCAAGGAACATGGCCTCGTGGCACAAAGGTTGTACAATACGAAGAGATGATAGAATGATACCCCACCACAGCTGGCCTTGATCAACGGGTGCGCTGTTGGATATTGCCACAAGAAATGTTACTCGTTTCAATGACCCGTTCGCACGCGTATGATGGGGCAGAACTACACAGATCACAAATCGAGTACTGGCGTTGCCTCTATAAGATGATATAATTCGTTCTATGTAAATATATACGACAGTGCAGGGTATCTCACGCAATCCATTACTCCCTCTACGCTGATTCTCCAGCTGTCCTAATCCAATAATAATAATAATAATAATAAACTGCGATGCTTTTCCAAACGAATCATTACCAGTACCCAGAAATATTGGGAGTAACGCCATGAATGTTCAGTAATAATAATGCGTACTTTTCTTTTGTACGAGGGGTATAGTGTCGTGTCCAGCATATTGACTTGATATGTTCACACAACAACTTGCAGGGCCACCATGCCGGCAATGGCGACCACCAAGCCCGCATTTGGCGGGTTCCACGCCGCGGCATCAGGTGTTTCAGTGGCTGTATAAACGCCAGTCAAATATGACGTTGCGCTGGGTTCTGTTGTAGATGTTGTCGGCTCCTCGGTCGCCTCGGCCTGCAGCGGCCAGTCATCCTCAGAAGCATACAGCACACCATTGATGACGACCCCCTTGCCATCAGCAGCCAGCTTCGCGGCATTGTCGTCGCAGGTTGCTCGGAGGTTGCGTATGTAGCAAGTAGGTTGTGGTTGATCGGGTAACTTGTCTGTATGTGTAGCATTGGCGGCACCTGTAGTGTTGTACGTGGTGGAATCGATGTCCATGCCAGTAGAGATAGAAGTACCCAATATAATGCGAGCAAAGACCTGGAAGGCAGTTTCAGGCTGGTATGAAGCCACAGCATGACCGGCTTGATAGATACGGCTGAAGGAAAGGTTGCCGAATTGACGCACGACACCGCCAATATATGAATCGTTGACGATGATGGGCGCATATCCTGCCTCGGGGAACCGCATACTGTACTCACTACCTGCTTCCTGAGCAAGGCTTTGAGACAAAGCCTCTCCTCCCATCCAGTTGCATATGTAGTCTCGATCTCCATAAACGAGGGCGATCCGAACGCCTTGGTTGAGGAGAGCGGCCAGGCGTTGTATGTTACCGCCTCGTGCTTGATCACCTGTATTTTGAAATTCGAGACTAACTTCGTTATTGTTTAGGGTGTAGTTGATAGGGGTACCAATTGCATCCTGTACGCTTTCTTGGTTAAGGTATTCCAAGAAGGTCATGGGTGGAAAGGGGTCGAACGAAGATGCCGCCAGGTCGTACACGCCACGGCCCGAACTTGTGTAGGCATCCTGGATATCGTAGCAGTTATTCAGAGCCTCGGAACAAGCATCATTTATGGAATCTTCGGTTCCAAGGCCTTCGGGATCGCCCACAGACGCCTCAGTTGCACATTTCTGGAGCAATTCATGGCAGCCACCCTCTGCGGAAAACTTATCCTGGTAGAACTTTACATCTCTAGCGGACAAAGCTTCATAGCCATACGTGTTGTCGCTAGCAAAGATTGGATAGTAGGGCACTTGCGTTTCCATATCAACACATCCATTGACGATACCCAAGGAGCTCAAGTGGACGTCAATGGTTGAATTGTGTGGCAGCTCGCCGCTCTCGCGACGGGCGTTTTGTTTCACAAAGGTTTCTGCGAAGACAGGACCATAGCGGCCACCATAACTTTCGGCAAAGAGATTGATCCCGAGTGAGCTGTTGTCAGAGAGGGTGGATGGTTGATACTGGGGAAAGGTGGTTAAGAAGCCTTGAACCATGTGCCAAACAGCCATGGCTGCTGTTTCAGTAGTGTTGGCAGTAAAATCCTTATTGTTGGAGCTGAATGTCCCGTTGCGAAATGCCCATTCAGGGTAGTCGGTGTTGACCTCAGGGGGTGCTACAACACTGTTATTGGCAAAGTTCAATGTGCCATTAGTTGGTGTGTCATATGAGAAGCCGACTTGGTTGGGCTAAAGGTGGTACATGTGAGTGCGATGAACTTGTGATACTAGCCGAGGGAAACTTACCTGGTCAATGAACAACATATTGGAGGCTCGATCCCAACCCCATTCACGCACAAGAGTCTCATACTCGTTCAATCCCTTCTCAACAATCTCACAGGGGCCATTGCCTGTGAAGAATCCATATAGCGAGCTGGATCCTGGTCCTCCGTTGAGCCATATGGTAAGGCTGTCGGTGGGCTCACGAGCCTCGACGAACCAGAAGAACAAATTGGTTGGATAGTCACCAGGGACTGATACCCAGCCTGTGTACTGCTTCTGGGAATCAAATGCCGTTGAGCAAACGTCGTCGGGGGTTTTATAAGAGACAGTGACATCCTCATTTGCGGGTGAATGGACGACTGTGAGATTACGCGCCTTAGCATTAAAGCTAGGGAGAAACTGAGAGGAAGACGGGGAAACGAGGGTGAAAACAAAAAGAAACCGTATATATAGAAGCGAAAAGAGGCGAGAAGCCGCCATATTGGCGGACAGAGCGATTGAGGTTTGCAGCAATGGATCAAATGAGTTTTCTTCAAGAGTGGTGAGAGGATATCGGCGCAGTAGTAGTAGTCGTCGTCATCCAGCAAATAAGCAAACCCATCGCAAGACAGACAACAAGGGGGAAGAGACGAGGAATTCCTGAGACAAGACAAAAGACTGTCACTGCCGAGACAAAACAATGGATACGAGATATAAAAGATTGTCAAACGAAAAAAAAAGAAAAGAAGAAAAACGGCCTTGTATGCAGGTCAACGAACGACGACGCGCATCATGAGATGGTACCTGTAATTTGATGAGAAAGAGGAAATGGCCGATCGATCAAGCTCAGCAACCGTAAAAGCAAAGTTTGGGGCCAAGTGGATTGTGGGTGCCTGGCAAAGAACCGTTACAACCACCCGCCCCCGCCTGCCCATGCTACCACTACTGCCCCCAGGGCTGATCCTTAGAGCGTTTTGGCCTGTCGAGCCCTGTCAATTAGCGGAGCCTGCCCTGGATTGAATTGAATCAATCCTAGCGGGGATAACATCCATGGATCAAAACACTCACTCTTGCTAGATTTTTAGAAATACCTACTGTTAAAACGGCTATAACTCCCTTTCAGCTTAAGATGCTCAGTGGCCAAATTCTGCTCATGTCCATGATCCAACTGTTTCTGACGGGTAATATTGCTTCATTCTCCCGTGGTTACATGAAACACGAACCTCTGTCACACCCATGATCAGTCGCAAGAGTACGGATACAATCCATAGTAAGCTGAAGCTAGAGCGGCTTGCATAGCCACAGCAATTGCGGTGAGAATTGATGACTATAGTCGCAAAAGAAGTTAAGATTTGCTTGTAGCAGTGCAGTATCCTACGCATGTAGTTCGTCTAGAACGGGTAAGCTGAGCGATAATGTTGGGTTTTCGGAATAATAGTCGTCTTACCAACCGAAACACGGAGGACTAGGATCCTGTACCATGACGTTCTTGTGTTTCAATTACAGATTCTTCGAGTCTCTCCCGATTTAAACTTGACATAACCCTGTGGCCTTACCAGGGTTAACAGCGTATCAATTCAATGCAAGTGTACATGGTATCTAGACCTCAGGGCATCAGAATTGGCCGCCCAGAGCATAAGAGACGAAATAATTTGGTCACTTTATGGCTGCTTAGACTAGCACTTAGGTTGGTTTATTTTATTAACTTAAGCCTTAGAGGATATTTCTTCTGTCACCCACCTACTAGAGTCGTACTATCATTATGTTTGTAAAGTATGTCATATCATTACACTAGAATACAATGGGCTTGCAATTGACGTTACCCTCTTTTACTTTTGTATAACCGTACAAAAACATAAATCATACATATACCCAAGCCCATTAAGGCTCAGATCTTCGCACAGCAAAAAAGTAATTGCCCACCTTCTCACTTCCATTGACCTGCTTCCAGCCAAGTCCAGGAACATATATAACGCCCTGGACCATAGGGTGACTCCAGCCTCGGCCTGCGAGGAAAGTCCTTAGCTCTTCCTCGTTAAGATACTTGTTCCAATCGTGGGTTCCCTTGGGAACAATACCGAGAACATCCTCAGCCATAAAGTTGGTAGTAAACCAGCTCATCCAAGTACGTGCGATTGTGCTCATGACAAGCCATCCTCCAGGTTTGACAAATGGGCGCACCTTTTCCAGGAATGCGCCTGGAGCATCGATGTGCTCAATAACTTCGAAAAGCGAGACGATATCGTAGGCCTCTTGCGGCGTCGCAGGGATATGTAGGTTCTCGATGGATGTCTGGCGGTACTCAAGCTTAGAGCGAAGACCAGGATCTTTGCGGGCATGCGCACGCGCTATAGCGAGGACTTCGGGGGTGGGATCGATAGCAGTGACATGGCGTGTAGTCGGTAGACGGGCAGCACTTTCAGCAAAAATTCCGCCACCGCAGCCAATATCGAGGATTCTAAGGTCGCGAGTGGGAGCATCGGGGTCGTTGCGCTGACATTCGCGGATGAAGTCATGACGTAGAGGATTCATGAGGTGAAGTAGTCGGGAGGAGCCATGAGGATCCCACCAGTCGGCGGCGAGGGCATTGAAGTGTGAAACCTCATCGGGGTTGACAGAGGAGAAGTTCTGTGATGAGTTGTTGGATGACGAGGAAGTAGAGTGCCATCGTAGAGCAGGTGATGTCGCGGTAGAAGCTGCGATAGCACGGTTTGCTGACGATGGGAGAGCCAATGATCGCCGACTAGATCGGGCGAGGTTGCGGAAGAGGGCACCCGCCGGCCGGGACGGAGCCGACATGGTTGGGAGCTCGGAAGGAAGACAACGGTGAAGTCAAAGAGGTTGGATCTGGATGGGTAAAGCGTGAATAGAACGACGGCCAGTGGGCTAAACGGCTGACAAAGCCAAAAGCCAAGAAAGATAAGATGCACCTGATGGACCCTGAAGATATGGACTCAAATTGGGTTTAGAAGACACAATCGGACGGCTCCGCTTTCAGTTCCACTACTGTAGTCTGCTAAGCCTGCTATTCCAGAAGATTTCTTCCCTTGCTTTCTGATTTCTTCGCTGACTGATGCTTCACAATTCCTTAGTCGAGATGTGACTTTAGAATGCCTCTTTAGAATGCTTACATAATAGTCCTGCTCCGCGGAACCAATCAAAATCAGGCGACCACAGCCGAATTGCCTGATCAAGTAAAGACCCTTCTCGCATGTCCAACTTTCGCTGACACATGTGAGCTCAACGCCGATACAACGCGGCAAGGGAGCCAATAGTTCCGAGGGTAAACTTGACCGGGAGTTTGGTATCCTTCAAAGTTGAACTGGATTACACCGGATAAGCCGGGCAAGAGTTATCAGAGCCCGAGCGGGAAATTCGCCGCGCGGTTGTGATAAAGACCGGAGGAGAGGACAGTGGGGAGGCTGACTTAGAGGGCTTGAATCATGCGATGCGAGAATCAAGAGCCGACTTGACCTTATTTGATAGATATATGCTACAACCTCCTTCTTGTTTCTATCAATTGGTTGATTGTTAAACAATTGCTTATATTTGATTATCGTTGCTCAATGACCAGCGGATCGGCTCTCCCGTCTACTGCCATCAATTGATTCCCCAGTTAAAAAAAAAGTTCCCCTCCTTCCTCAATTCAATCCCCCGCTGCCGCTGCCGCTTCCGTCTCCGCCTCCGAACCCGCTCTCCTCGTGCGTACCGTTCGCGACCGTCGCATTCGCATTGTCACAAGCCGAGGTCGAACAGCCAAGCTTCCTCCTACTACTCTAATTGCTACTCTACTTTTTGGACGTTGCGCTGCTCAATCTCTCTTCTACTACCCCCATCTCATCTTCAAGATGCCCGCAACAATCCCCCAGAACAAGTTTGACTCAATCCCCGACTCGATTGAGGCTTTCCGTAAGTGATCAATCTTGGGCGACTGTCCTCCTCTGTGCCAGCGCTAATACGATCTACGATAGGAAATGGAGAGTTCCTTGTCGTCCTCGATGATCCTTCCCGCGAGAATGAAGCCGATCTGATCATTGCTGCTGAAGATATGACAACCGAGAAGATGGGCTTCCTCATCCGCCACTCCTCTGGTTACGTCTGCGCTCCTCTCTCCCCCGAACTCACCACTTCTCTCGATCTTCCTCAGATGGTTCCCAACAACCAGGACACCCGAGGAACAGCCTACACCATCTCCGTCGACTCAGCCGACCCTTCTGTCACCACAGGAATCAGCGCTCGTGACCGCGCGCTCGCTTGCCGAACACTCGCCGACCCCAAAGCCCGTCCCGATAGCTTCCGCCGTCCTGGCCATGTCCTCCCTCTGCGATCTCGCCCTGGTGGTGTTCGAGAGCGACCTGGCCACACCGAGGCTGCTACCGAGTTCTGTCGACTGGCTGGCAAGGTCCAGGCTGCGGCTATTTGCGAAATTATTGACGATGGCGAGGAGACCCCAGGCCAAGCTCTTGTTCAAAACCATGGCATGCTGAGGGGCGAGGATTGTATCACTTTCGCCCGCAAGTGGGGTTTGAAGGTCTGCACTATTGCTGACTTGGTGGCCCATGTTGAGAAGACCGAGGGAAAGCTCGAGGCCAACGGTGCTGAGTCCAATGGCAACTAAACCAGCATCTCCGTACGGTTGCTGAGTAAATTTGATGATAGGATATTGCGGGCAGTCTAGTGGCAGACTTGTACCATGTACACATGCACACGGTCGTTGACGGTTGATGGTTGACGAAACGCTATGGTGGTTGCTTCATGTATTTTTTGCATATGTTTCTGGATTGCTAGGGTTATTTGGCATAGACTGGGTTTCATATGGCGTCCCGAAAAGTGTTGGTTGAAAAGAGAACAAAAAAGATATCAAATATTGCACTCTTCCCTCCATCTTTTAGCATGTAATGTATTTTTGTGAACAAGCTAGCGATATTCAATTTGCTTATCTGACACTCGCAGTGCTTATAACTCCATCGAGGGTACTACTATGTAGTACGTGATGACTTGGGGTCTCCGCCTTGAGTCGCCCGCTTTTGTGTTACGTTTCTCATCTGCAATCCTGCGACATAGCTCACATGGAGCTCAGTTATGGTGTACTGGGACTACACGCCTGGTCTATAAGCAATCAGACATCTTAATCAATGCAGCGGCATATCATAGGAAACACAAAGGTTGGGTTCTGTTCCCTGAGCCCCATGTCTTAGATAGTACATTGCTAGGCATCGCAGCGATTCAAAAGGAGAGATCGGGAATTTTGATACATGAGATAAGAGTTGCGCAGTTTGAGTTTCTCGTCATCTCCAGCACTGTCATATGCTTTTGGGTAAGCCACAGTCCAAGTCGAGCGTGTTGCACCTCAACAAGTAGCCTCATTTTCAACCTCGACACCCAAATAATGTGCCGTCGCCCGGACGTCTGTAAGAAGAAGCGACTAGTTGCGGGCACCCATGGCAGGCTGGATATTTCAACCATGATCGTAGTGGATGCTGGCATTCTCAGACCTGCTGTAGCGATCCATGTTAAAAATCTTAATAAATATAGTATCTGGTTCGCCAGTGGTCAGAAACCTAATGATACATTCTGACCACACAGGGAGGTAACCTACGGAACTACTTCCTAAGGCGAGCTGACCTCCTTCGACTTGAATCTGCCTTGACTTCCTCTGCGTTGTCCTCTTTCTTTATAACATCACCATTGGTCTCCGCCTTGACAACCTTTGCGCGCTTCTTCTTCGGGGGTGAAACTGTTTCTTCATCCACATCTGGTGACTTCTTCCGTGATTTCTTTGGGGCTTTCACTTCAGCCTTGTTTTCCATGGGCTCCTCTTTAATTCCGGGAGCCGTGTGGCCAGTCTTTTTCTGTACGCCTGGAGCGTAACAACTCGTTCGTCCACCAACTGTGATGAAGGCCAACTTGTCGCCATTTGGCAGCTTGGTCACAGCATCCTTAGACCCCTTGCCCCATCTATAGTTGAAGAGCCAGTGTTTGGGGAATTCGTCCGAGTCTCCTAGCTTGTCGACAGCTGTTTGGCAGACGTAGCGTATCATCTTGTATAGTGTGGCAATTTGCTCATCACTGAACTGGTCGCAATACTGTTCAGGGTGAAGTTTGGCTTGATACAATGTCTCGTCCGCAACCCAATTCCCAATGCCACTGATCATTGCTTGGTCCAGCAAAAGGGCTTTGATAGGGACATGCCGGGTTCGCATCTTGCTATGCAAGTATTCCTCAGTGAACCGATCAACGTCAACCACTGGGTCTGGGCCGTTCTCGACAAGAGGTGAGTGTTTCCTTATCTCATCTCCTGGGCAGTCAATGAGTCGTACACGACCAAACCTGCGCGAGTCTGTGAAAGCGACTTCAGCTCCAGGGGAACCCTCTGTTTTAAACTGAAATTTCCAGAACCTTGGTGGCCATTGCTCGTGCTCACCCTCCTTCATCTTCTTATAGTAGTTGGTATATGCGGTCTGTTCATCTTTGATATGCATCCAGCCTGAATGCGTCAGTACTTCATATAAAATACCATGGCTCGAGTATTACCTGTCATTCCGAAGTGCATAACTAGATGTGGAGGCTTCTCGAGGGTGATCCTGTTGTTGCTTGTAAGTCGAGTTGGGTAACCATAGGGTAGATACTGAAGTCTCACCAGAAATATTTCCCCTGACTCCCAGCAGATATGATCTACGACATATTAACAACTTGTATTGGTGATTGATGAGGGATCTTACCTTCTTTCCCTTCAGGGCAGCTTCCACATCTTCACCACTTGTCCCGACTTTGCCAAACACATTCTTATCGTCTATTGCTGAAGCGGATACAATGCGTTTCCCCACAACATGAAGCCGCAGAAAGTGGACAATACGTGCAACTGTTGCTTCTTAGTAATGCATACTTATTTTTCACGATAGTTGAGTCACCGACAGACCTTCTGCAATTTCAGGCATTTTGGCATAGGTTTAGAGATTGCTATATGGCTGTGGAAACAGTAAAGGAGAATTCATTGCGTCACGACTCTCGGCTGGCCTGAAAGGCGCGTTACCTTGTCTATACGCCTGTTACAGACGCGATATCACGTGACGTCGAGGACATCACTACCAAGTTGACACCGGCCTCTGGATTTTCCCAATTCACTATGGTTACCGACCTATACGTAAGACCATCTGGAAAGATCCACCATAAACCTTGCGATTCAAGACGGACAATTTTATTTTCAGGTCAAAAGATCCATATTTGACTGAGTTTTCTCGAGGTGGATCGCGGTTGCTCGTCGCCGACCATCTTTCTGCCCCAGAATGAAAGCCCGGCAGCGGAAGAATGAGCACCCGCACTCCCCACATAGCAATATTCGTCCGAGCTTTTTCTCTACAAAAACTTTTACTTCTCCAAGCTCTTTTCTCAATCTTCAGCAACAACAACAAAAACAATCAATCAAAGTTGAGGTATGTTTTGCACTCGCAGCATTTCGCGCTGCTACTCCCTGTCTTTCTGATGACACACAAACACCGCAAACTAGAGTCTTTGACCTAAATGGAATGAAACCTCTGTTTTAGCACGTCAGTCTGAAAAGACTACCAATCACGCACTCATTTGACATTTCTCAAATCTCGAATATGCGCTGACCAGTTAATAGCTCTCTCATCACCAAGCGGTGGATCATTGCGAGGATGCTCAAGCTTTTCCCCTCGCCCGGCATGGGTTGAAACGGTACGTTCCAATCGTCGCACTTGCGACATACCTTCCCTTCTCATGTGATGATCATTTCTTTTTACAATATACGCTGGAAATTACCGGCTGAGTTCTTCTTTGACGATATAAAATGGCTATTTCTGATTGAGACTCAAACACTTCTATTGTTGTTATTCATGGTGTAGCATTACGCTAACATGACCAAAAGATTCTAGTCACCAGCAAGGTATGCGATTTCAATCACACCGAACCGCTCTCGACGTTTTATGATGAAGCGGCACTGGGCTCCGAATCATACCACATGAGCACGAAAAGCCACTTTGCGGCAGGCCTAGAAAACCTCGCCCACTGACTCGTCACGCTCTACCTTAATTTTGCTGGATGTTGTCGAGCCACTGAGGCTAACCTACCTCGAGTGCTAGTGTGCTATCGCTCAAACCTGTTATTGCAATCATTATTGCAGTCCTTCTGAATTTGTAAGTTGTTTTTGAGCAATATCACAACACCCTCGCTTTCCTGATGAACATCAGATGACGAGTCTTATCCGAGTTTTCGATGCAGACACAACCTTACCTACCATTCATGCATTAACTGAATTGCGATTTTCATGCAAATTTTTACTTGCAAGCATTTGATAGCTTATGCTAACCTATTCTCAGAACATTCAACACGTAAGTAGCCAACCGGCCCCAGCATTTGCACTCCGCATCATCTCTGTGATGATCCAAAATGAAAACGACAAGCATATGTCCGAGCTTACGCTACGACGACAACTCATTTATCGACTGATCGAGATGCTTCACGTCAAGTCAATGCAGTCTTTGCAACGACAGCGGCTGACAGTTCGAAAGCATACTCAGCTACACTCAGTGCCTATACGCACTCGGTCTCCGTTCCAGCCAGGTTAGTTTAACTATGTTCTTTCTTGCCCTCCGCTTTTAAATGATGTTACAATATCACGACGGTCAACGTAGCCATATTGCTTTGACGATAACGCCTGTGACAAGGCACTTTACCCTGAAATTTCACCCTTATCCATCTTTGTCACTTGCCACCTTGGTATAGAAAAAGTCGCTAACCTGACTTTAAGTTTTACTGCCAACTATGCCATATTACCAACGGTCTGTCTAAGGTTCAATACTACAGCATTGACTGTGATCGGCTTGTCAAGTGACAGGCCGAGATATCTCAACTGGCCCTTCAGTTGTCATGAAAAGGTGTCGATCAAACTGGGGCTAGCATCCTACATAATGAAATTGATCTTTAAACCGCAACGGTAAGTCAAGATAGTATTGAATAGTATCCTATCTCATAATACAACGTATTTGCTTGCATTTAAGACCCTCGAGTTAAAACTCGAATATTTGTGCCCTGTATTTGTGCAACTTGTGAAAGGAGTGTGATCCCGTCAACATCTGTCAAACCAAGTCCTCATGCTTAGAGATTGTGGTGGTAGCCGTTTCCTGCTGCAGGTCGCTTACATGCTTAGTCTCGAGCAACGTTCTGATGGTCAACCACATGGAATACAGGCCCTACTCCCCCATTGCCCTTTCCTGGTGAGAGATCTGGAGCACGCAAGACTGATCTGATTTCCCCGCCGCGGGAATACAGCGTCGTCTCAGGCACGTAGCGTGACACTGGATCCTGGAAAGGCGCTCGACAATACGTCTGTGGAGGGCTTGCGAGGTACGATGATCTTGCTCCTCGAACAGGCCAGCCTGCAGACTCAGGGTAAGGCTGGATAGGCACACCTCTGTTGGCTTTTGTTAACCTAATGACTTGGAAGGGTTGGAAGGGGGGATACGCACGATGGTAACACTCCATCAACAACTTGCGAATTGCGAAACGCGCCAACATCAATGTTTTCCCAAACTGGTTCTCGACCGTTGTTCTCAACTTTGATTTGCGGATCTTCTTGAGATCGAGCATAGTCGTAGAAGTAGGCTGTGTACATCTGAGGCTGCTTCAAGACCGGCAGAGGTCTCTGGTCAGAGGAGCGTCGGCTGGTTGAGCTGCTAGAGGAAGATACGGGCGAGCTTCCATCTTCTCCATAGTATGGCACGTCTGAAGGAGAATGTGGTGGAGAGGGAGGGAGGTTTTTGCCGAGAGATTGACGACGGCGTTTGTCGCGCTTCTTGCAGTTGTACTTGCCAATCTGCCAGATATCAAAGTGTTGCCGATAGGAGCGAATCCTAAGAGATAGTTAGACGATGTTTAAGCGACTGGAAATCAAGAACTTACGATGCTTCGAAGTTATGCTGTATCCTCATGATGTTGCGTGTGTCTTCGAGTGTCCTCCCCTCTTGGATATACAGCTTGGTGATTGTCCCACGGTGTTCGTTCCAAGGTTTGGCCATCATCTTGAATGATTTTGTAGTGTTTGTTTATTCTTTCCAACTTGAGATTGCTGAGTTGAACTTGTTTGCGGCTTCTGAGAAATAGTTGTTGTGGTGGTTATGTATGGCTTCTGGTCTTAGCCTGGGACAATCAAGGCTGCGGCAACAGTGGGAATCTCCTCAATCATCGGGGTACAACACTGAATAACCAACAAGTCTCTATCTTTTCAGAGAATGCTATCATAAATTGTGTGCGCTTGCTTTTGCTCAAGAGCTTGTTGGTCTTGTTAAACTGTTCAGATTGAAGTTGGTGTTGTGATGGAAGTACTGTAAACCTTCCAGGAAAGACAAAAAGCAGGACCAGTCCAGGAGTCCAAGCTGAAAGGCTATTACATAGGTAGGAGGGGGCACCAATGATGCTACTTCCTTTGAATTGTTATGAACGTTGGTTGCGAGCCTTATTAGATACTTAACTGTAAGTCACTTTCCGGGATACTCGCAGAGCCTCGTTTTACTTATGGCGGTAGAAAGGCATAAAGGCGACCGCAGTAAGGCATACAACACTTCTTATAAGGAAAGTAATTCAGTAAATAATTATGGTGTTGTCTATCTACGTGGACAAGTTGAAGTCCGAGACCAAAATAGGGCGAACTTGTGCAAGTTAAGATTCAGTTCGAGACTATCGTTGCCTACTCGCATATACACATCGAGATTCCACTGTGACACATTCTTCTGGAAGGGTGAGTCCTTCCAGTCGCCCGGTGTGGGAGACAAGTCATATCTGTGTGTATGCAGAGTCTCAGGCAGTCTATATTCAGCCTCATATCCCGCCTAGGTTGTCACATTGCACGCATCACACCACATAACTCGCCCAATTGTATGAAAAACAACTCTACAATATCATGGCTATTACTCTATAAAGGTAAATAACATACAAAGTTGTAAGCAGCTGAGCTGTACAGTTTAAGATCCCTGAACAGACAACTCATCAACGCTTCTCAAGACTGCAACTTTCATTCACTTTACCCCAGAGCCTGATTCTCGACCCCTGTATGCGATCGATCGCCCTGGCTGTCCGCCACAAGGCATCCTAAACACATCTACTTTTTGCACTTTGTATCCTCGCCCTGTTTGAATTAGAAGAACCAACCAGGTGTTTGATTCCAGACAGTCGAAACGCCTATAGACCAAGACACGACTATGTCAGCCTGCTTGAAACGGATCGAAAGCTCCTCGATGCGTATCATGTTCGCCTCACTCTTTTTCGTGCACTTTATATAGCTGGGGTAATTGCGCATTGTCGTGTAGTTTTGACACATACACTTGCTTGTTGATGCCAAAGCGTCAATGAGATCCCTCCACGACACATTATCACAGGTGATTGTTGAGACTGTACCTGTAAGCCACTTTATCTATCACATAGGAACCCGCGTAGGAACCCGCGGAGTATTCAGCTCTGTTGGTGACCGAACAAAGGACGCGCTTACGGCTATACGTACTATGCTTGTGATTTGACAATGCCACTCTGGCTGGCATCCTCGATATTCAACACAACCATATCCTCACCGGCCCCAGCTGACTTACATAGCTCGTAGCTTTACGTGCGACGTGCCAAAGAGAGAGGGTTGCCAATCACATGTTCATTTCAGATACTGAACTCAATCACTGATCCAGTATCGTCGGCCATATGCACCTATAGAAATAAATGTGTATAATTCAATTGTAGGATCTGTGAACAGACCAGTAAAGACATCCTCATTAATCTTCTCCCTCCCACTAAGTAACGGTCTAGAACCACAACCAACATAACAGCACACAGGTTTGAAATTCAATGTGAAAGGCAATGCTGTCGTTTTCATCCATCTCTTTCTCAGACCACCAAAGGCCACGTCGATAGCACCACCGCGAGAAGGGTGTTGAAAAGATTGCTGCCGCCAGCCTTGCTTTGGGGCTACGGCCAAATAAAAGACAAGAAAAACACTTGTTGCCTGTGTGTGTGCAGGACTGGGTATAGAAAACTCCGTCCATTCAAATGAATTGTGCGAGCGCACGCACGAGATGGCTGTCACTCTCCGACCGCCTCACTTCGATTATTTAGGCAGCGGTCTCCTTCTTCTCAGCCGCCGCGGGTGTTGCGACAGGTGCTGCGGCAGGAGCCTCACCACCTACAACACCGGCCTCTTGAGCACCTGGCTCGTTGGCAGGAGAGATAGGGGACTGAACCTTGGAGTCCAGAGGGTCGGCGGTAACCTGAGGGTTAGGTGATGTAGGCGCAGAGCCGGCAGGGCTGGATCCTGTGCTAAGAGGAGCCGTGGTCTTGCCGCACTCGGAGAGAATCTGGAACCACTTCTGGGCGTCGGCAGCTGTGTGCGCCTTGAAGTTGAGTTCAGTGGAACCAGTGAACTTGCTGCTCATGGTCTTGGCCTTGTCCTTGCCCTTGACGCTGAACTTCTCACCCTGGACAGTTCCGATGACGGCATCGGGAAGGTAGACAGAGAGTTCAGGCTTAGGGTCCTGGCGGTTGTTATCCGAGTCCTTAAACTCATGGAGGTACTTGGAGGGAGTAACCACGTAGTAGCCAGTCGAGTATCCCCAAGACAGCTTGTTACGCGACTTGCGCTCCAGAGAACCCTCGATCAGAGCCCTGGTAGCAGGGTGGTCCATGTTGGGGAATTGGATGGCATCAACAGAACGCGCTGGCTCGTTGGGGTCGACGAGACGGTCGCCGCTGCGAGCCTTAAAGGCGTTCCATTCGAAGTCGGGGGCAACGCGCTGGATCACTGACAGCTGGTCGTTGTAGAGAGCTCGTGTCTTGTCAGCCTGGCCACCAGCAAGCTGGGTGAAAGCCTCCATGGCTTGCTGAACAACCTCGATGACATGAGCCTCAAAGGCGTGGAAGTTGTTCTGAACAGCAATCAGGTCATTTCGGTGGTTGTTCTCGGCAATGACTTGGCTGTTCAGGCGATGCAGGACACCGCGGTGCACAACGTAGGGATCATCGTGACTGTTAAGATGACCTCCGGCCGAGTCGAAAGAGGCAGAGTGTTGGCCAAGCAGCTCGATCTGCTTCTGAGTGGTGTTACGGGCCTTGTCGACCTCCTTGGCTCCCTTCTCGGCACCGTGGGCGAGTTCTTTAGCCTTGTGCTTGATCTCCTTGTGCAGACGCTCGAGGACGGGAAGGACGGAGCCCTTGATGCTCTTTTCGGTCTCGATATTGGTATTGATAAGGGATTGGGTGTTGGAGCGCATGTTCTCGAAGAAACCAGCAACACCGCCAAGGCTCTGGTCGAAATGGTGGCCTTCCTTCAGAGGGTTGTTGATAGCCTGTCGAGTATTGTTAATACATACTGCCACTGGCGCAAAGCAGTATCATCTGGATCGTCTTACCTTGAGCGCCTTCTCATACTCCTTGGCGTGGTGGCCATGGATTCTCTCCATAGCCTTCATATATTCCTCAATATAACCGACAGCATGCTTCCATGCCTGGAGTCGCTCGGCGAGCAAACCAGCAGTCTATTCACAAACAAATCAGCTCAATCCCTTCTAAAGGTTGTCCCCTTCACGACGGCGCATTGCGCGCGCACAAGGAGGCGTTGCAGTGACATACGCTTGAGGGGTCGACTTCAGGGATAGCATCTTCGCTCTGGGTGCTGAAACCAGTTGTGGCCCTTGAAGGGAGTTCGGTAGTCGTAGGTGAGGCCATTCTGGGCGATCGCAAGGTCTGGTGGTAGAGATATTGTTGTTGTTTCTTCTGTAAAGGGGTCGTGGGTACTGGTAATAATGATAGGCAGTCAGGATTGTCACAGTATCCGTAGTAGCGTTGAGATTAGATTTAGCTGTCCAAGCTTGGCGGACAGGGTCAGGGAGGTCCACGGGTAGGTGCGAAGAGGGGTATTACGGTGGCAGTCAAGGGTTCTGAAGCTTCTTTCTGCAGGGGTTGGTCAGTGGGTTTATATATTTGTAAATGGAATGGTCCGATGCGATGGACAAGTATTTAAAGATGTATTCAATATCTTGTGACCTGGTTTTAAACAGCAGAGGTAATTGATTAAACACCTCAATCAAGTTAGTGTTGACGTCGTCGATAGAGGATCGCCAGGAGAGTCTAGATGACGTCGAGGCTCTATAGGTATCTAATTGGCGCGAGAGGGGTTGTTCAGACACCAAGAGCTGAAAGTCCCGGCGCTAGACACCTACTGCACGGGGCCTCATTAGATTTGTACAACTCACTGAAGGCATGTGGCTCATGACCTCCTTGAAACAAATGTTTACTAACAGTTCAAATGCGTGATTGCAGTTGTGCTTGTGCGTTCTGTATCACCTCTGGCAGCATAAGAGTTCCAGTTTCAGCTATACTAGGATAATCGACTCTGACTGCATCCTTCACGTATCTAGTATGATACTGTATGCAAAGACAAGAAAAGAAATACCCTGGAGTAGATCATTCTAAAAGTGACAACTGTCACAATCGTAATTCGCTAAACCCATCATCAACTTCACCTTCAACTATCACCAGATCTCCTAATTTCCTTGAAAATGACGTCAACCGACCTCGAGCTACAGCACTTGTCCCTACAGTAGCACAAACTTTGGGCGTGGTCCCTTGAATTTGTCGCGCCGACATTTGCACTAACACAGACTTGGCATAGTTGATCTGGGCATCTTGAATCTTAGCTGCCTCAATATCCTTGGCTTCGGAACATTCTCTATATCAGGAAGCAGGATAAATAGCATATACTGTAGAGTGCAAAGTCATGACGCAGTCTATAGCGTCCATAGCGTGTTGAATATTAATCAGAAACGCCAAAGTTACAGGTAGAGATGGTAAACTACAGTACCTGTTTATTAATGTTTAGGGGTATTGTACACCACCACCATCAATCAAATTGCCACGATACTTGACAGTACCCACTGACAACAAGCTTTTCTGGTCCGGATGTCACCGAGTGCCGAAGAATTTCGACATGTCGCCACCATGCCGTTGACGCCCCTTATGTCATTATCGATAACTTGAACAACAACCATACTGTACACCAATACTCCAAGCACCACTTCGAGATAGTATATTGCTTATTGATGGGTAGCTTCAATACAATAATCAATCCACAAGACAAGCAAGCTCCAGGGAGAAATAGGGTCCAGAAGAAGATAGGGATCAGTCACGCTTTTTGTGTACTATGGTTGAACATTAATGGAGCTGCCATTTGGTAATAGTTATAATGAATACATCTCGTTATTCATGTTTCTTTCCTAACATCGTGCTTCTGGGGTATTATTATACAAGTGTCTTCTTTTCATCCATCATCTTCGCCGTGCCCTGTTCTGTTTCCAAGTATCGCACTAATGTCGTCGATCCAATACCTCGCTAACAGAAGTATACCATGTCTATAATTGCTTTGAACACCTTCCCATAACAACAAAAAGAAAAAGCAAGAACGCCAGCCGAACCTTTCGGACTTTAGTTTGTCCATAAAAGTATATATCACATAATTCAGTATCTGCGTGTTGAGGACAAGAGCCCAGGCGCTTGTTTAAAAGACTTGGTTGCGGTTCTGCGACCTTCGGTAGGTTGCAGCGTCGTCAGTGTAAGAACGACCACCAGTGATCCAGCTGGTTGGGCGTGAGACATGTTGGATATGATCCTCGCCATCCTGGTCTTCCGAGATTGTACCCAGAGGGTCTGTTACGATATCGTTTGCTGGAGGTGTTCGGGGAGCGCTGAGCGCTGTCTGGTAATCGGGTAGAAGCAAGTCGCCAGTGCCAGCACGCGAGCGGGCTGGGGTTTTAACAGCTGTCTGATAGCTGGGCACCTTGCTCAGCTCGGCGAGATCAGTGGCGTCGAGATCGACATGTTCCGCCGAGTTCCGGGTTGATTCTTCAGAACTGTTCGTCCGGGTAAGCGCTGCAGTCGCAGGCTCTGATCGTGGAGCTGGCCCCTGGGGCGCTGATGTAGGTGACATGAATCCTGGAGATCCCGCTGAGTGGACTGAATGTATAGAAGTGTATGATGATGTTCGCTGAGAGGGATCAAGTGACACATTGGCAAGTCGAGATGACAGTGCTGCAGGTGCAACAGGTCGACTGTGAGCAAGCGCTGCGAGGTTCTCGTTCGACCCAGCTCGTGATTGTGCGTAGAAGGGACTGCTGACACCTGATTGAATCCCAGGCGTTTGGAAGCCGCTCACATCGACATCCTCGTACAGCTGATCGAGGACGTGCTCTCCATATCCGGGAGGAGCGATCGTCGAAAGTTCTCGCTCATTGTTAGGCGTGGTTGGTGACTGGTCGACCAAGTTGCCTTCTTCGTCAAGAGGCATATTGGGTGAGATAAAGATGGATACGGGAAGAGTTGCTCGAAGCTGTCAAAGAGATGTCAGTAACCAGTTATCACAATTCTCTCATACCGGAACTTACCTCAGAGATATGACCGTCAGGGTTGCAGAGCGCAACGGTCAACTTAATCTTATGTCGAACCTTGATGCCATGGTGGTTCAAATCCTGAATGCATTGGCGTAATCTCTTGGGAAGGTTGAGTTTCTTGGTCAATGCCCAGCCTTCTTGGCCAGTATCCTCAATCATATCTTGCCAATGCTCCTCCCTTGACGCTGAGAACTTCCACATTGATACCTCGCGTTCTGTTCGGTGCTCTTTCGTGCCGTAACCGGAAGAGGATCCTTGAACATAGCATTCACGGACTTCCATCAACCTTGCTGTGATATCTCCTAATTCGAGACCTTTGAGAAGCGGTGTAAATCGCATTTCCATCGTAACCAAACCCCCAAAGACAACAGCCTTTTGCGGAATAACGATGGAGTAATCAACCTTGTTGGGCCAGATGTTCTCCACGCTCATGGCGTGCAGGAATTCAAGAGCACCAGGCTCCAGTGTTCTAATAATTCGAAGGTGTTTGTTTGCGTGTAGATCGTATGCCAACTTTCCACGTCCGACTGTCGCTCTCAGCTTGTAAGTAATTGATGCCTCGGGGATTCCTTCAACACTTTCGGCCATATTGCCTGGTAGCATGTACTCGAAAGGCCATTCGTAGTTTCCAGCAGGGAGTGTCATGCTTTTCCCATGTGTGCCTATGAAAGGCGCCCATCGGTGCTCGAGGATCGTCGTCGTCTTGTCAACCTTTTGTCCCGAAACGCCGGGTGCGGTTCCTCTAGGGTCAGCCCAACTGTTACACATCGCATGTCAGTTGCCGTTCTCACATAATGTCATGCTAAATCTCAAATTTGCAACTTACACATGGCGCAGAGTTCCGACGAGCCTTAGACGGACATCTTCAATCTTGAGTGATGACTGAAGGCACAGAACTAGTGTGCCTTTGAGTATTTGACCAGACGATTCATGGTCACTTCCGCGGAAAACGATAAAATCGCTGTCCAAGCTGAACGTCAAGGTTGATTAGTATTCTGTGATGTTGGCTGCAGTGGTAAGTGAGTGTGTGCGTACCGAATGTCAAAAAGACTATATGAATTTCGCCCCGTCACGGAAGCGAAAGGCTTAAAAGACGGCATGGCAGCGTTTGTCTGTCGTATAAGTGGTTGTGGTTTGCTGCAGAGCAGCAAAGAGGGAAGAGGTCAAAATGAATAGGTTGCGAAACTGCCGAGAAAGGGAACTAGAATGGACGAAAGAATAAATTGGAGGAGATGGAACGCTTTTATTTAGATCACGGCTAAGTCGAGAGCACGAGTGACGAGTTACAGCAGCCCAAGCCACGCACGAGTCGACGGGATGCTGTGGATACGATACAGCCTCTAGAAAACTTGAGTGGGGCTGTGAGATCAGGAAAAGCCAAAACCTACGAGGATCAGGTTAAGCAAGGGTAGGATAATGGAAGTTCCATGCAATGGGAGGCGAGGGTCGATAGCGCAAAGCAGAGCAGATCAAGCGGCGCGGCCTCTAGTGGAGTCAGGATTGCGATGTGACAAAAGTAGAAAAGAGGGTCTTGTTCTGATAAGACGCCCACCGTGTCGGTCTCACTAAAGATTTGACATCCAGGCCAGGCAAAACTCAGCAGGGAAAACGATATCGTAGAAGAGGCGGGCGAGAGGGGAGCGGGAAAAACTAAGGTTAAAACAGGGCCTCGATTGGAGGCGGCAATGGCCTTTCCTTTAATAGTGGTGTGGAGCAGAACGAAAATGCTTCCAGATGTGTATAACGAGAAACATGGGAGAGCAAATTGGGACGTTGAAAGAAGAGCAAATCAATGTGCATGACACCTGATGCTCGCATCTGGCTTTGATCATGACCAGCCAAACAGCGTGTAACGGAGGCACATCAGTCATGTCAATCAATCAGTTCAGTGATATCACCCCTGCAGCCCAAGTTTAGGGCATGATCCAATCCGTTTTGGGTAGTGATAACTGATAAGAGGGTCTGGTCTGCCCTGTTGAAGAACTTCAGTCAGGTCAGTAGCAGTTCCCGTAGACAAAGCCGAACAGATCGCCATGGTGTTATGGCGCAATTCACGCAGCAAAGGCGCTGGCTGTAACGGTAATAACGGGACGAGACACGACGGTCCTGCATCTACCTGCAAGTCTCATGTATCATGTATTGCGCGTATCGTACGTGCCCGGAAGGTTGCGAAGGTACAGTAACGGCCGTCGGATGATGACGGGCCGGTGGAAACGGATGAGTACGGTGAAAACCGTTAAGTGCCTTTGTTGACTTCGAAAATTGAAATCGATCAAGGAAGAGTGCTGTAATCTTTTCTTCAGATAAGAGGGCCTTGTTGCGCGTAAATTGTCTCGGCCGTTTTGTGTCGCTAGCGAGAACCAGCATGTTTTAGGTGACTGATGAGTGATTGAGATTGATCAAGACCAATACGTTTAAGGGCTGGCATCGCATCGCAATGTAGGTGGGGCGGAGACGCCGACCGCACGCATTGAGGCTGGTTCGCTGCTGCATGAGTCGGGATGATTCGTGCTATCGAAGCCCGATCGAAGCTTCTGCCCTGTCCTGCCCTGCAGTTTCAACGCTGCACCGAGCGTCTGTGCTTGGTAGCGCCGAAACGCCGAGAAACGGTACATAAAACAGGTAAATGGCCGCCAGTTCTCGGGACGACATACGGGAATGGCTTCGTTTCGAATCGATGTATCCGTATCCGATAAACACTGATGACGGAAGAGATCTATTACATGTTGTAAGACCTAAGATAACCTTCCAGCCTTGGGTGGGTGGTGAGCAAGTATGTAGATACCTGTAGGGAAGGCACAGAGGTGGGCGTGCCTGAGCAGGTTCTTACTACCTCTGCAGCTTACAGCCACCCACGGGCAGCCACAGGTGGTACTTGGTTCCAACGTTCCTGCATTTTAAACGACCATTGCTTCCTCTCGCAAACTCATCATGAAACACCAAAGCTCCATGCATACTAATTCAATTCTCGTTTAAAAGATTGCAACGTGCCCCGTTCTTGTACACAAGCATTCTCCTCGTCACCGCAAATGCTATGTGGTATCCGTACAGAACCAGAAATCACAGGACAAATCAGTCTGTATAACCCCCACGCTGACGCCCCCAAAGTATGTATTCTCGAGCCTTAACCACAGTTCTAAACAGGGCTATAAGGCAACCCCCCGTGCCCCCCTGGGATAGCTCCCGCGGGTATCACTATACCGAGGGCAGGCGGAACGAAAACTATGGAGATTCAGGTCCGGAAGACAAAGAGCTTGACTCGGAGCTCAAAAACTCCCCCCTACGCTACGTTCACTTTATTCTTGCGGCTCCGCTAATATTTCGTGCTTTCCTCAGTTCAGTGTAACATACCAGGCAGGTTGTTGTGGCGCACGGCCATAACGCGGAGTTTCTATCCATTATTCGCTATCATTTCGTAGCTTATCGAGAGTTGGAGCTTTCAGCCAGCCAAGAATTGTACAACGATTTTCCAAATTCGGAATATCGATCCTGATTTGTTTCAATCAGCTACTGGGCTGGTGATCGCAGCTGGATTGAGCAGACACGTGCTTACTTTTCAGCAGTCCCTTTACCACACACACCATCATATCTGATCATACGGTTCTGGGATGTGCCAAAAGCTGCAGAATATGGGGTTTCAGTATCAATTGCACGGGACCATCACTGCAGCACGTCTAGTATTCCATTGGCAGGACCTCAGTCGATAAAAGCAAGACCTGGATCAGTGAGGCCTAGGCTCTGGGGTCTGTACATAATTTCCCCGGGCCCGGAATATCTGCGAGAATGATCCTGATCTGGCGGTATCAGGGTACGTAGCCGTTCCCAGGCTTGAACTTGCTGGTGTCTTGAACTCGGTCACCAGGAACATGCCAGTAAGGGCTGAGCCTAGGCTTCAGTTCAGCCGGTCAGACGATGGTTGCATATCCTAATTATTCCTCATGGGAGTCTTTACAAAACAAACCCTCGTCTACTACGACTGCGCCTGTACCAAGACCTGTGCCTCTCAAACAAACGGTCTGGCCGCCCCATTGTACCTACCTCTGCAACTCACAGCGACCTTGATGCTTGCGGCAGACTGGCTCCTTTGACTCGACTTGTCTCCATCAAACAAGCATATGTCGACGGCAACTAGCGTGCCGTGATAAAGCACCGAGAGAGCACAGCAAGATCTAGCTTAGGAAAGAACGGTTCCATCGATTGTGTACCTGACAACTTATTTGGGCACCACCGCTACCTGCCGGCTTGCATCTTCTCTTTGACATGGGTCGCCGTCCTTTGTGCATCTGTGGTGGTGTCGTTTCTGGCCCCTGTATAATGGCTTACTGAGCGTAATGCTGGAAGAAACCGACCTGGTATTACAATCCCTTACGCCAGCACACGCGAAGAACTCGTCTCGAGAGGACAACCTTGTGTGCGCCAGAATGCTAACCTGAAATTACAGATATGAGACTGTCTTTCTTTTCGCTTAATCACTTGAACTTGACCAGAAACAAGAAGTCCAATTTTTTTTTTTGTTGAGGCTTTTATCTTCGAAAACTGGGCCATTCGATGTCGGGAACTTAGAGAACCGGACCCATTGTCAGAATCAGCCTTGTCGAATGCATTGCCATTTTGCAAGTTGTATCAAAATCAATTAGATCCTACTCCTGGTTCGTTGCTTAAGATTGTTATCTTGATCAATTCTTCGAGGATTGTCGGGAGAGCCTACAGATGCTAAAGAACGCAGTCAGCAAGGTATTACGATCACTCAATGTCGAACCCGAGCTCCCAGCATCGACCACCAGAGATATCATACCAATGCCCATAGTTCTTCCATGGGACTTGACTACATTGCAGGTATAAACAAAAGGCCAAAGTAGCTCTAGTGATTTGTTTACGTCGTATTGAACTGACACAGCAGAACAAAGTCTGCGGTGTATGGGTATCGAGCTATCATGCAGAATAACTTTGTCTTTCTGTCTGTTTTACTCGCCAACGGCGCCTCCAACTCTTTACCGATATGTCGAATTATATGGACACATCCTCTTACCGATGGCGACCAGCAATTAGCACACACCATATATCGAGCCACCGCATAATGGTCTGTCCTGGCCGGCCCCTGTCTATCATGTCTGGTTCGGCAACGGCCGTGTTAGTGGACTGAGTGGTTCCCCTCCCTTTTTTCCCGATTCGCACGGATCACAAGCAATGGCTGGCTGGTTCTCATCCAACCAGCACATCCAATCTGATATCTAGCTTTCTCGTGAGTCGTGTCTGAGTTTCTGAGGCTCAAATTACGCCCTCAGCTTCTCGAGCGCCCTGATCCTTGCTCCTTGTTCTGACGCACAGGCGCACATCGATTCGGTAGATGGCACCCGGTCATAACGGGCGTATAAGCTTGCAGTAGTCTAAGTGCGCGATACACAAGTTAGTCAAAGCAATAATTTGTTGTTCTTTGTCAATTCGGAAGTAGATGCTTGATTCACTTAAGCGAGTTTTTGAGAGGTCATAATGATCAAGACTGATGAATTCAATACGTGCATCAGAGTGAGAGATAACTGTTGAACACTTCTCTCCATCGTCCATGTCATGGATACGTATCAATCAACACGAGGGACATTTCAGCCTCCTTCTAGCTCATCCCCTGCTTATCTCAAATCATGCCACAATTGGATGTATGTAATCGTTACGTGCGCTAGCTGTTATCCACTGATATCTCTAGGAACAGAAAAAAAATCGAACACCTAAAATCAGGGTCCTGCAGCTATAGTGGACCTCAAACGCGGCAGCTTGTTGCTCACCGAAGAGCCTCCGGTCGCCATGTGGGCTCAACGGAGACGTTTGATTGATAGGACCGACTTGGTCTTCTCTCTGGGTACCCAAAAACGGATTCCCGAAACTTATATGACTCTTCGACAATCCCAGCCGTGCCCCGAGCAAATTTGTTAGCTGCCTTGGAGACATAATTTGTTGACGACCGGGGCTGAAAACTTGTCAAAAGCCAAGATCTGATGTGGGTTTTCCGTTGATGCTCCTATGATACTTCGACCTCGAACACGATGCCTACTCTGGAAACAACCAATGATTGAAACAACAACAGCCACCCCCCTTTGCCTACAGTAGTGATTGCGCTTACACGAGTGTTTCGTTGTCAAATATGCAAACAACTCGCCATGGACTCCTATTCGTCATCGCCCTCGTCTCAAATTTCATGGAAGCGTTTTACCGCTCAGCATGTACCTGTTCATCATGACGCCGCCGGGGCTTCTGCTCCCTTGGTCTGTGCCGCAAGCTCCGATCCAGGTCGTAGCCACGTTCTTATGTGTCCTATTTTGAGAGTTTCACATGTCAGCGCATATCAGGAACAAGCGATCGCTGATCTCAATAGTGCAGTCGGATCGGCAGATCGATATCTAAAGGGTAGTTTATTGTCGCTTACCTGACTTGCAGCTTGTGATGATAGCGTCTTCTGTGAAGTCCAGCCAACACACTGGGTGCGTGTCAATTGATTTGTTCTATTTCGCTAGTTAGCTTTCAAGATTTCCAAGCCGACTCTTATCATCAATCGGCATGTCCTGTCAAGACTTACCAGGACGGGAGGAAGCATCGGAATTCTAGCTCGTGGCTCCACCGGGTGAGCGATGGCCGTCTCTTCATCTTCGATATCAAGATTCGAATTAGATCGTAGGCGCGAGTTGAATGTAGTAGCCGTTTCGGCCCTCTGCAATGCTGTATAACGTGACGAAACCGATCCGCGGTGTCGCACAGATTGCTACAGGACGATCATTGTCAGCTTACAATATCCTTCAAGAGATAATACTTATCAGAAAGTGACAATGCACTACAGCAGCACGATTCCCGGCGTGATTGAATGTAGAGGTTGGGACATACCGCTTTGGGTCGGTGAAGCATGCCGACACTAAAGTCCCACAGACACAGGCGTCCATCTTCTCCCACGCTACCGAATCGATAGTTTCGTTCATCGCATCTCCAAGGGTCGAAAGCAACGGCTGATACCCAAGACTGGTGTCCTTGGCATCTAGCTACTAGTGCTGATTCAGACAGTGACCAGACAGATATCAAGTCATCTTGTCCACCAGTAAGCACATATTGGCCATCTGGAGACCAGCAAACACAGGTGAGGCCGCCATAATAAGAGTAGAAAACATCTAGGAGCCTGTGGACAAGTCAGATACTTCAGAAACGGCGTGGGTGAAATGCAGGGGTTTGTACTCTTCCTTCAGATAATCAATGATCCTTAGTGTGCCGTCCTCGGAGACAACCGCTAAGTGTCGGTTATCGGGCGAGAATGAGAAAGCATTGATCCGGTGATTGGAAAGCTTCCAGGCAGCGACAGGGTTGACCTTTTGGTTTTTTGAATGTACCGACTTGTTGATGCGAATTGAATTGTGATGAGAACCAGGGTTGTTGGCGTCGAGCGACTCACCACTGGTCCCGTTAACATTTCCGTTCACTGCCTCCTCTTCAGGATTGAACTGGGCGTCTTCTTTCTCCTTATCGTAAACCACAAGTGAGCCATCCATGTGGGCAGCTAAGAATAGATTTTCAGATCCTGGGATCCATCGGATCGCTGCTACCGGCGTGCCATTGATAGCACCCTAACATTGGCGTTAGCGGTTCTAGATATCACATCTCAGCACCTTGGATGTTCTCACATTTTTGTTCAATCGGGTGTAGCGCTGAGAGATTGGCTCCCACCAGATAACCTCGCCGGTAGAAAAGCCCATGATAACATCAAGGTGGGAGACGCTCTTGGTGTGCATGTTTACGTCATGGCATAAACAGTGCGCTTTCGTGAAAAGGATTTTGGTCAAATAGTCTTGCTGCTCGCAGTATCAGTAAATGCCTGAAATTGACTGTACTGACAGCTGAACATACCTTTGAGGAAGATGACATATCAAGCCATTGGAAGGCTCGGTTAATATTAGCAAAGGCAAAGATACCATCGTTTGGTCGCTCTGTGAGCTTCTTCGAGAGGCTCTCGTTAACAATGACACGTGAGATAAAGGAGGAGTTACTCTTAGTCATGTTGTTCTTGGGCTTCCTCTTCTTGTTCACATCCTTAGTCGGCGTTTGAGTAAGTAAGGCATTGCCTTCGCCAAAGGCGGGCGCTGAGCCTATGGTTATGGAGGCAGCGGCGGCATCGCTTGTTGAGCCAGTTCGCCCATCCTCACTAGCCATACCTCCCTCGGCTGAGTAGCGCCCTTCATTTGGATGTTCCTGGATACTTGACGGGGCACCACTCAGAGCAAGCGTAGTGGACGAGAGGCCTTTGTACAAGAAATTCGGGGCTGGTCGACTCTCGAGGGCGATGAGGGAAACTGAGGTACCAGCGCTGGCAGGCTGTGGGAGGGTTGACAGAGGGTTCGGATTCGGGACGGTGGCTTCGGAAGGATGGGGCGGAGGTGTCGCAAGATGCAAGTCTTCTTTAAGCGTGTATGTTCCTGTTGTTCTCTGTCAAAATCTACTCGGATAACCTAGTGTCTGGCAGAAATGCCGAGTATGTTACCTTCTCCGACCAAGAATTGCCACTCGGGGCCCGTTGGGTTTGACAACGTATTGTTTGTCTCTATCAAAGGTACAGGATGTATTCCGGCGCCATATGGCCCTCCCATGGTGGGATACCGTGGCGGAGGAGGTAGAACGCTGAAATGCCATGGCGTCAGTTTGTGTCAGGCGCAAGTGGTCGCAGGCAGCATGCGCAGCCGGAACATTGTACGTACAACATGATGAGATTCTATGTACTGTTTGTATGTCTTATGGGTTCTACTGTTAAGTCGTATAAAGTCTAATTGAATGGAGATGTCGCGATATTTAGTTGTTCGGTCGAAAGGTCGGGTATCGGAGGTGGAGGTGGCTGTAGGATGAGAGGCACAGCAGGCTTGGTCGAGATTGGAAGGTGCCGTTCGTCGCAAGGCGAAAACAAGGTCTCTTGGGGATAGAAAAACTCAATGGGATACTGGATTGACGATAAATTAACCTTCCAGGCTCGCTCTTGATATGTGAGGCTGGGAAGAAACAGGCGAGGAGTATTTGAGCAGTGGAGGTTGGACCTGGATCGGACTATGAGCGCGCAGGAAGGAGCGGCGCAGTCGCAGACGATAGTGTGGGGTAAGAACTGGGGAAAGCGCCATCAACGGGCAGGCTGGCAGGGTTCCAGATGGACGGAAGTCAACATGAAGAGAGGTACCTCCTATAGAAGACGACATAAATACTGAGACAGTTACGCAAACTCAATCCATGCCCAAGACTGTTGTCCATCGATGTTTCTACGTACTAGACAGTCTGGAAAGTGACCGTTGGAGAATTCTGGTAACGTAATCTTTCTGCCCACTGAAGCCAATCTTTTTCTGCCCAATGAAGCCTCCGATTAGGGGACATGATATTATTGACTCTCGATAGATCGATTAGTGAGTATTTACCTCTAATAGGCAACGTGATTGAACGTAGTCTTGTCCAGTGGTCATGCGAGCCTATGTCTAGCCGCTGGAAGAAGCCACTGTCCGTATAAATCCCTGGGCATGATGTATCTTGATTGTAGTGGAAATAAGGAGTGCCAAGTCCAATGACAATTTGAAGAACTTGGAATCAATTAAGCGCTCGATTATAGACTAGATGATTGATCTACCCACTGACAGAACCATTTGTGTTAACAGAACCTGGCCGTAGGTTCGTGCGGTGAGGTGACAGCGGCAAACGGTAGGTCCCACGCATGACAACACACCCAACCTCAGTCAGAAACAGAAAGCGGGCGGGGACGATCAATTAAAGATGCGTCCCCAAAACCACCCAATCCTTGCTCGTCGCATCACTTCTTTTCTGCCATCGACCACAACCATTGGATCCTAGCTTTGTACAGTGAGTTAAGTTCAGTCACTGTACCGTCTGTACCTGACCTGAATTAGCTGTTAGCTGCATCTTGACTGCCCTGCATCGCGTTGCGCGGATCTGCTCTGCTGTGTTGTACTCTGCACCGCTCTTCTTCTTTTTCTATTTCTGTTTCTCTTTTCAACTGAGACATGGTCTGACCTACTTTACCGTCCTCCTCCCCATTTCTTTTCTCCAACATATTGCCGTTGTGCCTCATCACCTTCCAATTACCATTACTCAACGCCGCTGCTGCTACCGCCGCTACGATTCATTCCCCACGATCGACGACCGAACCCACGATATCAGCAGACCGCCGTCCCCTCTTGGGTATGGAACCTTGATGACGACATACTTCGACTCAAAACTCCAATAATACCTCCATCATGGCCGCTGGTGCGAACACCCTATATCCATCCTTTTATATACCTTGAGACCTCGCCAAGCCTTACCTCGACAACGAAACAATAATTAGATACCCAAACAAATGACTAACCTTCCTTGTTCAGTCCGAATTTGTGTCTGCGGCGACGAAAGCACCGGCAAATCCAGCCTCATCGCCTCTCTCGTGAAGGATCAGTTCGTCAATAACAAAATCCAACCTGTCCTTCCGCAAATCACCATCCCACCCAGCATCGGTACTCCTGAAAATGTCTCGACCACAATCGTCGATACTTCGGCCCGCCCGCAAGACCGGACTACGTTGCGAAAAGAGATTCGAAAGTGCAATGTCATCCTTCTTGTCTATGCCGACCACTACAGTTATGAAAGGGTAGCGCTGTTCTGGATGCCGTATTTTCGATCTTTAGGTGTCAACGTTCCCGTCGTATTATGTGCCAACAAATCCGATCTGGTCGGCCAGGGCACCACACCACAGGTGGTTGAGGAAGAACTGTTGCCCGTCATGGCCGAGTTTCGCGAGGTCGATTCTTGCATCCGTACCAGCGCCCGCGATCATCGAAACGTAAATGAGGTGTTCTTCCTTTGCCAAAAGGCTGTAACTCACCCCATCGCTCCTCTTTTCGATTACAAGGAGGGTCATCTCAAACCTCTGTGTATCAATGCATTGAAACGTATCTTCTATTTGTGCGACAAGGATCAGGACGGGTATCTCAACGAACAGGAAATGCGTGACTTCCAAGCTCGTTGTTTCGACAAACCTCTGACCACTGATGACTTGGACAACATCAAGCTCAGCATCTCGAAGTCGTTACCTGCTTCCGAATTGGACAAAGGGATTGATCTACCAGGTTTTCTGCAACTCAATAAACTCTATGCCGAGAAGGGACGCCACGAGACGATTTGGATCATTCTTCGAAAGTTTCATTACACTGATAGTCTAAGCCTTGAAGACAAGTTCTTTCGGCCGAACTTTGAGGTCCCGGAGTACTCGTCTGCTGAGCTTAGTCCTGCTGGTTACAGATTCTTTGTGGATCTCTTCCTGCTTTTCGATAAAGACAACGATGGCGGTCTTAACGACGAGGAGTTAGAGGCTCTCTTCGCCCCGGCTCCAGGACTTCCTAGTTCTTGGACCGATTCATCGTTCCCCTCCTCAACTGTGAGAAACGAAGCTGGACATGTTACTCTCCAAGGCTGGCTTGCTCAATGGAGCATGACGACTTTCATCGAACCAAAGACGACTATCGAATATCTCGCGTACCTTGGTTTTGAGCCCTCAAATCCCAAGGACCCCATCACTGCTGCACTTAAGATAACGAAGCCTCGTAAGAGGAGAAGACGTCCTGGCCGAGTCGAACGTAACGTAGTGCTCTGTTACGTTCTTGGAGCATCAGGTGCGGGCAAATCTGCCCTGCTCGACTCGTTCCTAAACCGACCTTTCTATGGGTTATATCATCCTACTATCAAACCCCGCCGTGCAGTGAACAGTGTCGAGTTGCCTGGCGGAAAGCAAGTCTACCTTATCCTCGAGGAGCTTGGCGAACTGGAGCCTGCAATCCTTGAGAACCGGGCCAAACTGGACGCCTGCGATCTGATCTGCTACGCATATGACTCGTCCGACCCCGACTCGTTCTCGCATATTGTCGACTTGCGGAATAAGTACCCACATCTCGATGAGCTTCCGTCTATCTACACCGCACTCAAAGCCGACAAGGACAAAACCAACCAGCGCTGCGAGCTTCAGCCGGACCAATACACCTCTTCTCTTAGTATGAGTTTGCCATTGCATGTCAGTGTGACTTGGGGTAGTATCAGCGAGCTATTTGTAGCATATGCAGATGCTGCTACGAACCCAAGTACTGCGTTTCCCAAGAGTAACGAAGAAGGACCCGACAGAACCAGTCTGTACATCGCACTTGGAGCTACAGCTTGCGCTGGTGTTGCAGCGTTGACAATCTGGCGACGTGCAACTAATGCTTTTTAATCGCCACGATAAAAAATCTTGTATAAATAGATAGGTTTAAGTCAGGGGGTTGTCTAAGGATACTCACTGCTGCATGAGAAGGAGTTGGATTCCACATTCAAAGAAAAAATGATACCCAGTCTCGCTGATCAACTTGGTCACATACAAATATATAATAACAGCATCTTTTCTTTCTTTTACTAAGCTCCTAAATGCAATAGCAATACCTCCTATATATATTACAGACCAGACTCCATAGCGCCCATCCCATAACATCGTTCCTTAAACTGGTGTAAATATTAGACCTTGTAGAAACAGAATCCGACATAGAAGCTAGCAGCTTCCATTTCCTCATCGGAAACGGCCAATGGACCGCCACCGCGCTCACGTACGCCCATGCGCTCGCTCAGAGGACCCAACTCTCGGTCGTCCTTCTCGGCCTCCCAAATCTCAGGGAATGTCCGGTGAAATTGCAGTTCCAGGTTGTAGTCTTCGGCGAGAGCACGGAAAGCCTCCCAGGGGACAACGTACTCGGGCACCTCTTCCACTGCCTCATCCAGAAAGAAGTTGTATTTCCAGCCAAACGCAGGTCGGAATACACCGTCGTCTGGCGTCTTGCCGGGGAAGCGCACACGATATATAGAGTTACCCCATTCGGCAGTCGGCTCCTCCTCGCCCTCCTCCAGTTCGCCATCCTCAGGCTCAGTCTGTTGTGGGGTTGTTGAGCCATCGCCATTCTTCTCTGCATCTTGCTTGGCCGCGCGCTTCGCAGCAGCCTCCTCGTTGAACTTGCGAACCCGCTCGCCCAGAACATCAGAGTTAGGAATACAACCTATGAATCGCCCTCCCTTCTTGAGTGCTCCGGCGACGTTGCGGAGCATGTTGCGAGCATTCTTCTCGGATTCGAAAGCGTAGTGCATGGAAAACATCATGCTGACAACATCAAAGCCTCGGCGGTTCATTGGTGAAGGGTCGAAACCAACTTGCTGGATGATTTCAAGATTCTCAATGGTGTCGCCAAAACAGTCCTTGACATGGAAACGAGCATCGAACAAACGGGGTGGTGGTCTTCTATGACCGCCTCGCCCACCTCGTCCGCCGCGACTACCCAGGGTTCTATAACGATCGCGAGCTTGCTCGATACTCACGTCAGCAGGGTCCAGACCGACGTAGAGCTGGATAGGCTGGGGGGCCTGCTGCCACTTGTTAAGGTCGCCTCCCTTTCCACAACCCATATCGAGCACAAGCAGATCTTTGCCGCTGGAGCGTCCAGCTTCGCGCGAGCCGGGAGTATGGTCTTCATCTGGGGAGTATCGTTGAATGATGCAGCTCTTGATCCAATTGTTGAAAACACGTAGTCCCTTAATCTTGCTGTCTCTTGTTCTCCAGTCGCGACCGCGCTCAGGTACATTGTTGTAGTGCTGTCTCACGAGATCGCTGTTGTTGCGAATTCTCTCCTGTTCAGCTTCGGCGGCTTCGTCTGCCGCAGCCTCTCGTTCTCTGTCGAGCTGGCGTTGGCGGATAGCTTCTCTCTCGGCTTCTGAAATACGCGCACGCGCACCCGGGCGCTTCAGCTTTCGGGGTTGTTCGGAAGGGGAGAGGGCGCGTCGCTTCGCTGGCTGCAACGACTTGGCGTTGTACGGCTGAGGTAGATCATCTTGCGGTTCGTCGTTGGCACGGCGTTTACGACTGTTGCGTTCATCATCGCTGCCGCGATCCGAGTCTCTAGCCATTGCGAAAATCTTGGGTACTGGGCTATCGGTCGGTATCGCGCTACTTGGTTGTAATTGTGAGGTTGAGATTGAAAGATTGAAGATTGAAGATTGCAGATTGGAGTGAGAGATGGTGAAGTCCTCTATCTAATCTCTATTAGCTTGAATATATGTCGGCGCTCGGACCATTAGCAGCGAGTTGTCTACCCTGCACAACTCTGGCTCGGCCAGCCACTGCTAAAAACGGGCAGCCGGGCTGTACGGTTTAATAGAAACGAGGTTCTTTTAGAACAAGAATTCTTGTTGATTATAGCTCATCCTATACATGTTTCATTCGTAGTTTCAAGTGGTGCCGATAAAAGGTTCTTTCTAAGTTCTTTTTGAACGACCTTAACAACCTCCTAAAATACCCCGGTCAACGGCTTCCTGCATAAACAGACCATTCAATTATTGAGCAATTGAGTTCGAACTTGGCAGGATACTGCAATGTTATAACTCAGTAGTCGAAATGTTACAAAGCATCTCACATACAAATCCTACGATTTCTATGATCTGAGCGCCTGGAGTTGTGAATACAGTCCATCCATATTTTGATATCAGGTACGTACCATGAATCAGTGCGTGTTCCGCTGGAGCCTTGCAGCAACCGCCCAGACCACTCCACTGTCGCCTTGCCATCCAATTGCCATTGCTCTTGCTGTACAACACCAAGCTCTACCGACCTATCTCTGAGCTTCTCTCGTCATCCATCTCCAAATTCAACAACATCACCAACACTCAACAGCAGATATCGTCGCACATAACGAGTCACATACATTCCTCGATATCGCATCCAGCGCATAAAACCAATCACATCCTCGACAACCAGTGACCGCCGTCATCATGGGTTCCGACCCCCAGTACGCGAAATGGCCACTGCTGCCTCTGTCGCAGCACGTCTTCACCCTCACAAATGGCTACGCCACCAAGAATGCGCAACAAGCTGCTGTTAAAGCTCTTCAAGATGCCATCTCCCAGGACAAGATGGCTCCCTTCTACCGATATCTCGCCCACCCCATCGATGGCGTCCTCAACACTGTTGGCGAGGGTGGCTCTTCCGCTCCCGGACGACCTCTCAGTAGGAAGTCGAGCCTTGTTGGAATGATCGCTACCAAACCTGCCACCGCCAATATCAGCCTCCCTTGGGATGAGGGTCTGTACAATCAGCTGAAGGAGGACAACGACCGCGAGCTGCAAGAGATCCAGAAAGAGGAGGATGACGCTGTTGAGCAAGCAGGTGACACTGAGGTCATGGCCGCCCAAGGCAAGCGAGCAGAATTCTGGGCCCGAGTAGGAGATAAGGCATGTCTATTTCTGTCCAGAGCTATATAGCCTGGTAGCATCTCGAGCTCTCCGTGCTAACACCCCCACAGGACAAGGCCATTGCCACCTACGAGAGCCTCTTCGAAAAGACGGGTATCCTCGGTACCAAGATCGACCTCGTCCTGGCTATAATACGTATGGGCTTGTTCTATGGTGACAAGCCTCTCGTAAAGAAGCACGTCGAGCGTGCCAAGGGCCTTGTCGACACCGGCGGTGACTGGGACCGTCGCAACCGTCTCAAGGCCTACGAGGGCCTGCACTTGCTCACCGTTCGATCCTACAACCTCGCTGCGCCGCTGCTCCTCGACTCTCTTTCCACCTTCACCAGTTACGAGCTCTGCACCTATTCGAACCTCGTCGTGTACTCCGTTCTTGCTGGCTCAGTCTCACTGAAGCGAGTTGATTTCAAGTCTAAGGTTGTCGATGCACCTGAGATCAAGGCTATTCTTGGCGATGGCGAGGACAAGCTGCTTGCTCTCAGCGGCGCTCTCAGTGCTGGCCCAGGTGCTGATGACACTACTGACTCGAAGGCACCCAAGACGGCCACCGCTGCTGTCAATCTTACTACACTGGGCTCAAGCACTGATCAACCTGAGGCTGAGATGGCGATTGACTTTAGCCCTCTGGCTCTGCTTGTTAGCAGCTTGTACAGCGGCAACTACAAGACCTTCTTCAAGTCACTGGCTGAGGTCGAGGAGCAGTTCCTTAACCAGGACCGCTACCTTCACGAACACAAGAATTGGTTCATCCGAGAGATGCGACTTCGTGCCTACCAGCAGCTCCTGCAAAGCTACCGTGTCGTCGGTCTTGAGAGCATGGCCAACGACTTTGGTGTCACTGTCGACTTCCTCGACCGGTACGTTGATTTATTCGCTGTCGCTAGGATTGACACAAGCTAACTTCATTTCTCCAGTGATCTTGCCCGCTTCATTGCCGCTGGCCGTATCCCTTGCACCATCGACCGCGTGACAGGCAAGGGTGTTATCGAGACCAACCGCCCTGATGACAAGAACAAGCAATACCAAGACGTCGTGCGACAGGGCGATCAGCTCATTACAAAGCTACAAAAGTACGGCCAGGCTGTGCGGTTGAGGGGTAGCGAAAGAGCATAGATGGGAAACAGCTAGAATAAGGAAGCTGGTGTATGGTAGTGTCATGCCAAGAAAGACAACGCAGTGGGGGACAGATGGGGTTAGAACAAGACGATTCCCATACCTTTACCTATTTGTTTGACTGTATAATTCGTATTAGACAGGTCATTGCGGTAATAGATTGGCTGGGTCCCGGTGAGGCACCAAAAATGGGCTGATGTTTTACCCCCATGTCGTCCACACCGAGGTGACAACTGTGGAGTTAGTTGCATATGTGTTGGATGATGTTATAGAATTAGGAATCGGTTTACCCCAGCATTTCTCTCTTGTACCTGCGCATGCAGGCAAGGATAACATCGAAAGATCAGCAGCACAAGTGCATGGTGTATGTACACCCCGGGATCATGTTCCGGTAAGCTCAAATTTCACATATTGATTGGTCCTGATGATGGTATATCATAAAAATGCTAGATTGGCGAACTTCTGTCTATCCAATACCTAGTAGTACGCTAAACAATGCAATGCGATTTCCTATTCAATGATGAATGATTTTCCTTCTTCTCATCCGCACGCCGTGGGTCTCATGCCACAACGCAATGCCGAACCTTCGGCTCCGCATCGCCGAAACCCCTCTGGGGTCCCCGCCACAGGATCGGGCCCGCGATAAATGTAGCGGGGCCGATTTCCGAAATCACTATCCCGTCCGATCATTATTGTTGTTTCATCGGTACTTGTCGAGGAACTCCTTGTGGAACTTGACGATGCTGCCAACCCACTCGGTGCCGGGAGCGAGGAAGGTTGTTCGGAAGTGGAGGGTGTTCTCCTTCTGACCGAAGCCGGAACCGGGAACGACACAGATACCGGTGGCCTCAAGGAGGCGCATGCAGTAGAATTCATCGGGGCTTCGGCCCTCTGCCTTGGCAGCTTCGGCAGCCTTCTCAGGGAGCTTGATGGTAGGGAAGAGGTACATGGAGCCTTGGGGCTCGGCGCATTCGACTCCCTCCATCTGAGAGAAAGCCTTGTGCAGGGCAGTGGCGCGCTCCTTGAGACCGGCGAAAATACCATCATATTCCTTCTTGTAAAGCTCGTATGAGGGCTGGCCTTCCCTGGGAGGGTTGACCATCAACTCGACAATACATTGGCCAATGACAGGGGCGCAAAGCATGATGGAGATGAACTTGTAGATATTGGCCTCGACATCCGCGTCAAAGTTGACAAGCTCAAAATAGCCACCTCGGTGACCACACTCGCCAACCATACCCTTGGAGACACTGTGAAGAGAAGCGAGCTCGAGACCGTCGAACTTGCCAGGGTTCTCCTTTTGGAGCGAGCACAGAACCTGCTTGAAGCTGTGGAACTTGCCGACAAAGACGTTTGTCTGGTAGACCTCATCGGCCATAACGACTAGGTTCTCCTGGTTGGCGAACTCGAGGACGGCGCGGATGTCCTCCTCGGGGAGGGAAGCACCAGTGGGGTTACCAGGGTTGATAATGACAATGCACCGAACATCAACGCCGTCGGCCTTGGCCTTCTCATAAGCGGCGCGAATAGTATCGACGTCGGTACCCCAGTTCCTTGACTCATCGAGAAGGTAGGGAACAGCGGTGGCCTCAAGAAGAGACAGCGTAGCGGTGTAGAGAGGGTACTGAGGAATAGGAATAAGGATACCGGTCTTAGGAGAGGCGCAAATGACATTGAGGAGGGTGTTGACACCGGAAGAGGCACCGGCGGACAGGTAAATGTGATCAGGATCGGCAGGGAAGCCATCGCGACCTGGGAGTTGTTAGTGAGACAGCACATATAGCAAGGACCGCACAACTTACGCTCAATAAACTGTGCGATGCTATCGCGGATAGCAGGAACACCAGTGCTGGCGCTGTAGGCACCGACAGAACCGATCTTGCTCAGAAGGAACTTGGCGCGCTCAATGACATCGGTCTTGTAGCCAAAGTGCTTAGTCAGGGCCTCCTCGTTGTCGAGCAGCATGGGGTTCTCAAGAAGACTGGCGACCTGTCGGAAAAAGGTAATAGGCTTCTGGTCGAGTTGCTGAGGGTTGCCAATGTTGGCAGAAATGACCTCGTTGAAAGGAAGGTCGCCGGTATCGCCCTTTGCGATCTTGGCCCGGTACTCCTCGGACTTGACAGCAAGTTCACCTCGGACGGCATACTTGGCGGCGACAACCCGTTGGTTGATATTTTCGGTAGTCAATCTCATCTTGGCAAAGTATGTAGAAAATGAAGAAGTTTGTAGGTGTAGGTGAAGGTGAAGGTTGTAGTAGTGGGGGTGACGAGCAGTAGAACTTTTTGGCGGGGTACAAGTCGATGCGAGTAAGGGTCGTGGGGTAGATGTGGCAGTAATAGATTTACTCCAAGCACGGGGACCAACTATATATGTTTAAAAAAGTCGAACGAGTTAGCCAAACTGGTCGTACAGTTACAAAGTACCAGTATCCAAATCAAGTAAATTGTCAATGCTTTGAGGCCTGAGTCCTGAGTTGCGTCAAGGGGAAAGAGGGATGAGACAAGGATGAGGAAACCCGGTGTGTGTAAGAGAATGAGAAAGAGAGAAGCATACACTGGGAAAGGCTACTACGCCAAGACAACACTGTTGTTGCTAGTATAAGTGTAAAGTGTCAGAGGGTATCGTGAACTGAAAGGGAAAGAAGACGGAAAGTCGAGGGCAGAACCAGATACAAATAGAGCAGGAGAAAAAGACTGAAGAAAAAATGTCTAATAGAAACCCATCCACATGTAGATGAAGCGTCCATTGGTAATACTACTGTACCAAGGCAAGCAAGACCAAGACCAAAAAGCAAAGGCTAAGAAGGCCGAAACCCTTCACTACCCACTCAGACAAGCACATCGACATCGAAAACGCATCCACGTCTGGGGGGCGGATGGAGACCCGGGGTGGATGCATGGGTCATCATGGTCATGGTCATAGCCCGATATCCATGTATGTACCTCTGTCCTCCAGCAAAAGCCTCAAAAGGTAATGGAAATGACAAGGTTCCCCAAAATCAGCGCATGATGCCCTACAAATTGCCTGACATCAACGGACAAGAATCCGGGGCGCAGTGTCCATGACGAAAAGACTGGACAAATCATATTCGCCTCAGCGCAGTTCAGCCCATTCAAAGTCAACTGACGCATGACGCTTTGGGGGGAGGAACGTGGAGAGAGCGTGGGTAAGCCCCTACTAGGTAGCAATAGCCCGCCTGGGGAGAAAACACAGGTGGGTGCCCAGTGTTGGTCCGTTCCTCCAAAATGGAAAATGGGGGGCAGATTTTGGGGAACTTCAGGCCCGGAGCCGGGACCCCGGAAGGCACAGACTCGGAGTCAGAAAGACTCATCAACAGCCCAGGTCGATTCTGCACTTGACAGACCATCTGAAATTCAAGATGATGCAGTGCTTACAGCGATGCACTCTCCGATCTCGTCTCCGGTCAACTTATCCGAGAGAAACCCTTCGGATCACCCCGAGATAACAGAGATACCTTTGGGGTAATAGCAACAATGTCCGATGCTGGAGGTCTTCCGAGACCATCCCGGAGTTTAGCTCGGGGCTACACCACCGGTCTTCGGCTCTTGCTCATGTATAAAAAAGCGGCTGAGAATGATTTGCAATAAGAACAAGGGTTATGCACTTGCAGATCCGTAAAATGGAAAAGGATTCACAAGAAATCCAATAGAACGTCTTGCCTTGCGCCAGATTGTTCATTGGTACCAACTCTTTGGCTTTTCCTCTCTGCCTCTTTTTCTTGAGAGCATCTTGCTCAATGGGACCGGACCGGCCCGGCAGATGTGTAGATTCAAGGTAGGACATGTGGTTGGTTGAGATGATAAGAAAGCATCCAGAAAAATCTTCCATTATCCACAATGGAAGATCTCTGTGACAATGGAACGTACCTGAGATAGCGGGGCTCTGATTGCTCGCCCATCGTTGTCCCTCGACGGCAGCTGCATCGACCTCAGCACTAACAGCTACTTGTGAAGAGTTCAGAAGAGGCTGGCAGCGCAGCGGTTGTCCAAGGCGGACTGATGCCACGGGGGTTCGACGTGCTAACATTGGATGCTGTATTTCCCTCTTCTTTCGCTTCCTGGTTGGTCTTTGTGGATGTCGAGGATCTGGGGGGCGGAGCACAGATGAGTTAGTTGCAGGAACCGGCAATTGAAAGAGTAACAAGCACGTTGGAAAGTGACTTGTAGAATGAAGAATAAAATGTCCACAAACTAAGAAGCAGGAAGCGGTAAACCTACACTGAAGCGAAAGTCACTCTGTTGTCTGGTCAGATAAGCTAAGGCAGCTAAGATAGATATTGGATGGCAGTTGATAATTGATAATGGATCTGATCGCCAAACCCTCGTCTCGCTTACTCCCGTGGCGGCTAGGTCAGGTAGTTTTATGAATACCTGGTGCGACCAGAAATTTGGGTGCGAAGAAATCTACTCGGAGAGGTAGGTAGGTAGCCGATAGCACAGTAAATCTGATGCTGTAAGACAATGACCTCGACGTGGATTAAAACAACTTTGCTGGGCGCGAAACAAAGGTCAATTGCTACCCCGTTGCATGAGGGGGAATGGTATTTGTTGGGGTTGTAGAAGCTGAGATTAGAAAATGGATGTCAGCTGCGGCAGGTGATCAATAGGTACTGACGCACGTCGTACATCAATCTACGAATAGCTCTCACAAGAGGGATGAATGCATTTTGGCTCTTTTATACCGCTTTGTAGAAGAAGGGGAAAATGCCCGATATCGTACTTGTAACACACCTTACAAGGATTCAGCGGTTAAAGACACCGGTCTCGGATCCATACATACACTTTTATTTATTGCTTCTCCAAATAGCCTATGTTGGATCTACCTATCCGTATACATCAAGATATTGGTCAAGCTACTCCGTACAGATAAGCTACACATGCACAGCCTCCAATTGGCCGATCTAAGCGTCAATCGAACCCCACGGTGAGAGAGTTCAGCGCGCCTACTCACCGAGATCTGAACATGGGTCACTGTCTGACGGCATCACGTTTTCCCGAGTCCCGGCCAACGTCGTTGGATCCGTAAATTTCCTATGTACTTTCAAAGCGCCTGAGGTGCAGCAAGACCAAGCCATCAGATCATCGTCAATCATCATGGCAAAGAAGGGTATGTATAACCTCCAGATGGCTTCATAAAAACACTTCCGCTGACTCAATTTCTTCTATAGCCAAGGCTCGTCTGGTGCATGCGCGCCTCGTCTCCATGGCCATGACTGGCTTCTTCTATACCTTCAAGCGTCCCAGAACCGCACCCATGATGAGCATGTTAAAATATGACCCCATCGGTACGATCTTACAAACACACACGAGACTGTCCCGATAGCTAATGCTGTCAATTGCAGTGCGCAAGAAGGTCTTGTTCCTCGAGTCCAAGAAGAGGAAGTGAACGCCGACCCCATCTTCTTCGACAACCATTGATATAACAATTTGGACTGCCCGATCTCTTGTCCGAGCCAGAAACAGCTCACTCGCCGGCCGCTACTACTCTACAGGCGGCATGTAACACTACCTACACCAAAGAGCATTGTTGGAGTTTGGGCTTGGGGATCTTCGCTCTACGGATGCGACTGAACATGTACAACATAGACTACAACTTTACCCTCACGATATGGCTGCATAGGCATGTCGCTGAATTTAACGATCAGAATTCCATACTGCCGTCCATTCCGTGTTTATAGCTATGTCTACTGGTCAATTACAGACATTGGGGGTGCAAATTCTCATTCCCTCCACCTACAAATGGTCCCCTTCAAATCGCCAAAAACCAGGACCATCACCGGCCACTCAATATTGGTGCCCGCTTTTGGGATGATCACCGCATATCGTGCTCAAAATCTGACTTGTCGCAATGACTGATAGAAGCGCGCCATACTTGCCTATCATATTTCGCCTTGCCGACCTATTCCTGTATTAATTATATAAGTCGCAAATCCTTGGGATCCGGTCAAAGTAACTGGTTCATTTGTCCCTGATACTCGTATACCTCTGCAGCCGGCTAATTCTCTGTTTTGACTTTTTTCATGACATGAGGACCATCGTTTGCTCCATCGCCAAGCGTAATGTTGCGCTTTTGGTTCTGCTTGACTTCGTCCTTGCCCCCCAAAGCAGATTCTCTAGTGAAATCCTCAAGGGTAGGAAAATCCCAGCCCTGATCTCTCGGCTTTGTTGGAATTAAACCTGACCGGATTTGTTCTACCATAAATGGATTGGCACCACCCGCAGCTGAGCTCGCTCTGGCCATCACGGGTCTGTTGTATTGGTCATGATTCACAGCAGCTCTAACGAGCTCAGCATCTTGTGTTGATGCCGTTGTCGACCGTAAGATGGGCCGTGGAACAGTAGACTCTCGTCGTCTCTGCTGCTCTTGTGCAACTGAAGGCGGAGGGGCCGGCAACGAAGCTTCAAGTGCAGGACTGGTTACGACAACCTTGCGACGATATCTGTCTCCTTGTACATGAACATTGATTGTGGAAAGATCATTGAGGCTGGTAGATTGTTCTACAGCAGTGCCTCTGGTCTGGGAACCGGTGAGGAGCCCCTCATGACGTTGCTCTTGAAAGTGAGCTGATTCGGTTCCAATCTCGCTACCCTGTGGTTTGGGGCCTAACTGACCCTTGACCCAATTGTGTTCTTTGCTCAAGTAGAGAGCAGTTGATTGTAATACTTGATTAAGATCAAGCATCTTGTTGAAAGTTGTGTTGAGGTTCTCTACATGAGGCACTTGCTCACTCATGGCTTCCAGCTGACACTTGAGTGTTCCCATAGCGTTGAGGTCTTGGCGTTCCCTCTGACAAATCTCATTGCTGGTGCCCACGTCGTTCTGTAGGTTGACGACCTGTTCTTTCAAAGCAGAAGTCTTTGTACGTTCTTCAGACAGTGCTTCTCGTAGAAGCTGGGTTTCTGGTTCGTTCGATGACGCTGCTTCCAATTGCAGTCGAACTTGCTGGAGATGGGTTTCTATCATGTTACGGAGGGCTTCGGATTTTGAAATGTCCTCACGAGATACGACCCTCTCCTCCTGAATCCTTTTCTCAAGAGTCTCTCCGATCTCGCGAAAAGCTCTCTGTAAATCTTGCTTGGCCTGTTCGTGGTTGTCGGTCACAGATGATTTCATGGTGTCAAGCTTCTGGGCCCATCCGCGAGAAACTCGATGAATTGTCTCTTCAAGCTTGTCAATCTTTGATTCTCGGTCTTTGAGCTGCTTGGTGACCTCGTTGTGAAAATTCTCCTTGAGGCTGTCCTTCCAAACCGAGTCACTTGCAGCGAAACCGGCCCAGTTGTTCTTCAGTTCTTCGAAAGATTGGCGGGTTTCAAGAACACCGGCAGACATGTTGCTCAGGTGCTCAACGACAACCTGGTGAGACTTCTCGTGCCATTGTCTGTATTGAGACTGGGCTGTCTGCCGTTCAACTATGTTACTATGCAGCTTTTCGAAGTGATTTTGGACAGTCTTTTGGAAACACGCCGCAGTCTTTTCAGTCTTTGCCTGTGACGAGATGACGTTGTATATCTCTGATGTCAATCTAGAAACTTTAGTGAAAGAACAGCGGCATTGAAAGCAATACATACCGACTGGTGATGTTGGCTTCCAAGTTCTGAAACATTGTTCTGACCTCGTCATTCACAATTCGGCCCTCTGTGAGTGATTTCACATCATCACTCATGCGACCGAGTCTAAAAGTCTGTCAGCAAGATTGTCTTGAGGCAAGCGCCGCCGCTTACCTTTCCGAGAGACTGCCGGTCATCATATCTTGCCTCCGGCTCCATTCATTATGGTTGTCGTTGTTCTCTTTTAGTGAACAAATATCAGAGTGCATATTCTTGACCATGTCCATCAGAGTTGACTCTGTTTTGAGCTTGCTCTGAAGCTCAATGGCTGCACTTCGCTCACGATCGAGTTCCTGCTGTTGGTACTCGATCTTTGCCTTCAACTTGTCAATGGCATGGTTTTCTGGACGATAAAATCAGTCAACATCTTCACATGAAGTACCGACACTTACTCTTTTGTGTCTCTTGCTCTGTCTCAGTTCGGTATTGTTCCACGCAGCTTCTCAGCTCCTCGCGTTTCTTTCGACTATCTTCGAGAGCTGCCTCAACGGCTTCGACGTCAACGGCACGTCTCTCTTTCTCTTTCTGCAATTCAACAATCTCATCGTAGAGCTTACGAGCTCTAATAAAAAGATCCTGTTGTTCTTTGATGGCTTCGTTGAGCTTGCTCTTGTTTTTGCGATACTTCTCATGGAAGGATGTCTTTTCTTCGTGAGATTTGGCCAGATCTGAACGGAGGGATTCGACCTCACTCGCTAGCCTCTGGGTTTCCTTCTCAGCCAGAGATTCTTCTTCTTTTCGAGTCTCATAGAGGTCTTTTAACTCTTGGGTTGCTGCTTCCTTTTCAGCCACGACCTGCTTTGAGTCCTCCAAGGCTTCTTCTGCACAGTGAACCTCGTCCTCGAGGCGGGCAATCTCTCGGATTGCCTCAATTCGCTCGGCCTCGGAGATTTGAATGCATTCATTCCAGTGTTGAGCCACGTTCTGCATGGCAAGCTTCTTTCGGTCAGGAGCTATTGAAGGCTGACATCGGATATGTCGCCTGAAAGAACGTTTCCGGGAGATATTGCTTGTTCTGGAATTCGGTCGATCATGATCTCTCTCTGGATTTCTGTGATGTTCAGACCTTGAGGGCAGCTGCCCTGACCTGTGACGACGTGAAGTACGGTTTCGTCTTGCAGTCCTTGGACTTTGTGGAGTAGGCCCTTCTAGATCACCGCAAGTGCTGTCAGGTGATGCATGATATTGAACTGTACCACTCCTGGCGATGTGTGGAAGTGGCAGCTTCAGATGCTCAAACCTTCGTTCTACTAGCACGTATCAGTGTGAATAGCTCCTGAGATAACTGGGCTCAGCTTACCGTGATCACTCGCCGGGACCAACACGGGCCGGTCTTCTGCCTCTGTTTTTCTGGATACTTCCACTTGCTTGGATATCTCAGCATGCTGTGACGAGCTCGAAAATGCTTTAGTCCTCGGGGACGATGCATGCATAGTAGCAAGAGGGGCTGTGCCTCTGGCGGCAAGCTTTGGACTCTCAGCATATGTTACCGCGGCACTAGCGACGCTCTTTAGAGGTGTTCCTTTCTGAGATCCTATCCCAGATGATCTCGGTGAGAAGTGATCCTGTTGACCAGGTGACTCTGTGATATCTCGACCCGGTGAAGGGGGATGAACCTCGGGGGAAGACTGCCTTCCAACCAGCCCGATCTCAGGCAGTTCCAAAGGTGGAGGGCGGGTGGCCTGGACACCAGGGGGGCGAATTTGACTAGGTGTAGAGATATGAGGGACCTGAACATCAGGGGGCTGAGGTCGAGTCGGTGGAGGGCGAGGAGTCTGGACATCGGGGGGACGAGGTCTATCGGGCGGAGAGATACGAGGGAAGGGGTTAATAGATCCGGGAAAAAACTTCGAGGATTCATTAGACTGGGAACGGTCAACTTGGGGCCGCTGAGAGAACTGCCCGGGACGGTGTGGCTGCCTTGAACCAAAAGAAAATCCTTCAGAGAGGTTCGATAATGAGACCTCTTCTTTCGGCACAGAAAACCGTTTGACTGGAATCTGGCTTAAGTATTCATTTGGTGCAGTTTGTGAATCGGGGATGACGCTGGGCAGCTTCTCAAATCCTCGCTCATTGTCGGCGTGCTTGAAAGGTGCCAGGGAAATACCTCGGTCGGGCACTTGAGATCTTGAGCTCGGCGAAGCCGACATTCTCTTCTTAGCTGGCAGATGAATGTAGTATGATAGAATGACAAAATGATTCGACTTCGGATAGGCAACGAACTAGAGCATCTGAGTCGGAGAGGTGTGTGATGCTGAAGTGGAGGAGACGAGGTTTAGAAGACCGGATGAGCAGATGCTGTGTGAGCTGTTCCTCCTTCCGCTAAAACTTTTTTGTTTCGATATAGGAAGTGCTTTGCGATGCAACTTCCCGTTGAGTTTCTGATCATGCAGTTATGGGTATTTAGAGAAGGCGCAACTACCTCGGGCACTTTGAACAATACTACTCAGCTGGAAAGAGTAAACAAGAAAACATTTCGACCTCCTATGCGTTTGTTTGATATCAAAGTCATGTCAGATACTTCTTGAGTACCTGCCTAATCCCACCTATCATTCTGGTGATCTCCTAGGCTTTCTCTCTCAAGCAACCGCTTTTCGGTACCCTTTCCACTTTGTGCTGAAGATCCAAGTTGACACTCTGCCACCAGCCTCCCTTACGACTTCTCATCTCCCCTCAATGCCTCGGTGGGCAACAGGTGCGTAATTATCTGGATATATAAAGAGTAGGAAGTTTGGAATCCATTTGGCTCCTTCCTGGTCTTACCTATGACTTTTTCAAACTTCCAATTCACGAGTGTTAGTCAAGCTATAGGGTACCTATAGTGCCTCGAAGTATTACTGTCATAAACCGATCTCTTGGGTCATTTTTCTTAAGTTAGTCCTTTCCTAAGAATGCACAGCTCGAGGCTGACAGTCACAAAGAACGAGGAATTCCAATTGGTTCGGAAAAGAAGTAACTTGTGATAACGGCCTCAATATGATCGTTGAGCCCTCGCACACCCGACTCTATAAACCCTGTCTATTTTTTGACAGGGGCATAATGATGACATTGTAATGGAGGTCTTGCTGTTGATGGCAAAGCTGTCTTACCTGAGGGCGCTACTTTGATGAAACATGCTGCGTTGTCGAGTGTGGCGCCTATGATCTATTCCAGAACATATGGTATCGCATCGCCAAGTTTCTCGCTTAGGCACAAAATTGTACCGAGGCGGTTATCTCAAGATTAGGTTGTTCAACCTCGAGATGAAACTCAAACACCCGCCAACACCACACTGAAGATATGGAAGAGAAGAATACCGAGACCCGTATCTGACCTTGGGCGCTTCTTCGGGTACTCAAGGATAGATGTCAGAGACGCTTGGATCCTGGACTCTCGCTTCCAGCCGCCGTTATCACAGACCAACATGACAATGAAACCCTTTTCCAACATCCATCTGCACTACGACTTAATCCCCAGACTAAGGTCCGGCACAACCAATCCAGCGGCTCATCACTGTGAATATACATAGTAAAAAAATATTCTCTTAGGCACAAGTAACGGCCCTGCATTAATCACCCTTTGGCGCGTGACGAGCAACAGGCATTGTGGTTTCTTAAGTGCCTATGTGCTCATCTCATTGGTCAGACCCCTGTTGATGGCTTTGCCGCTCAGCGCTTCGAGCTGGACTATCACCAATCAACATCAAGTATAGACCTATATCGCGGTTCCTGATGCTGTGCTCAAGTCTCGACCCAGTAACGAGGATCCAATAACCATTCGTCTTCAACCTTCGGGAGTTGAGGACTAAGACGGTATCAAGGGGTGCTTGGACTTAGTACTACGTAGGTGGGGGATGAAAGAAAAGATACTCGTACATGTAAATACAACGGCTGTCCTCATAATACGGCTGTTTTCTCGAAAAAGAATTCTGGTTCTTCTATCTTAATTATATGGTATTGCTGGGTTCTTACATTTTCAAGGTTCTGTGAACCTTCTTCTGCTCATTGTCAAGCAGTCAACTCCAATAACCACATCCTATTCAATTATAATGTCTCAAACTCAAGACGCTTTCCCGCTGGCATCAGAGGTATACAACGATGCACCAAGTGCTGACTCTGGCACCGAAGCTGGGGCTGCTGGCGACAGCTCAAGCAACTCCGTTTCCATCTCTCAAGGCGGCATGATCGCCATCATTGTTGTTGTCGTTGTTGTCAGTTTGATTGGTAGTACGTGTTGCCAAAATGTTGTCTCGTTGCATATACTGACTTCAATACAGTTTCCACCGCTGCTCTTTTCTTCATCGCAAAGAGGCGTGAGTGGACGATGCGAGAGACCCTTAGAAAGTCTGCGCGCAAGGTTGTCACTGCCCTCACACCTCGAAGAACAGAGTTCCCCTCTTCAGTCAAAGATGGCCCTATTCCAACACATCGCAACCGTACACGGATTGATGATGATGTCCCGCCAACACCAAGAATTCGACCTGAGGATTTGGAGAAGGGACTAGCACAAGCGAAGGCCAAAAGGAAGGAAAAGAAGTGGTCAAGGAAATAAGCAGAAACGCAACGGATGCCACCCAAAAATGGCTAGCTGGCAGTCACAATGGCGGAGGATGGTCGTGAGTAGTTGTCTGACACATTATTTGATGATCGTGGTCTTAAACTGGTGTTTCCAACGGACGGGATCCGGGTATCATCCATGTATAATAGTAACCCTCCACGCATGGGCTGTCTCATCTTTTCTCCATGAACTGAACGATAACGCCTTTGCTATTTTTGATAATGAATTCCAAGCGCCTGTTTTCTCCTTCTTATATGCGTCTAAATGTGTTGCCGCTGGCACTTCGTCGAGCAGCTCCAGTTCGCTTATCTCGGGGCTCAGCAGGCAACTCCTCCTCTCGCTTCTTCTGCTTCCTCTTTGACTCTGGGACAAATGATACTTGTCGTTCGCCGACAACTTCGCCACGAGCCTTGTTGATGCGTCCTGACTTCTGATGTCTTGAACCAAACGCTGTATCCCTGACCTCTCGTCCCTGATTGCTGGTTGAGGAGACGCGCATGACAACATCATCGTCCTTGGACTTCTTCCTGGGTGCGGCGACTGGCTTCTCCTTCTCCTCATCACTAGACTCATCTTCGTCGGAGTCCTTGCCTTGGTAGCGAGTCGAGCCCTTGTTGGCTTCCATGGCTTGTTCCACCGCGGTGCTTGGGTTGAGGGCACGGAATTCTCCAGTATTCTCGTCGACCTGGAAGGCTTCATCCTCGAACATCTTGCTGAAACGAGAATCGCCAAGAATGCCAGCCTTGGTGTCGACCTCTTCTCTGTTCTCCTGTTTCTTGAGAAGCTTGTCGACCAACTTCTGGTTAACCTTGACCTTCTTGGTGCCTCTGATTCTGCTTGCGCGCTCCTTCTCAACCTTGTCCTTAATACGCTTCGTTCTCTCTTCCTCCCAGACGTAGGGGTTGGCAATCAACCTAGCCTGCTCGTACAGCTTGGAGGCAACAAAGTAACCGTGCATGTATGGTCGGAGTAAGTTGGTCTTTCCAACAAGATGAGACAAGCTCAGTTGCTTCAATTCGGGAAGCGTCAAGAACTTGTAGTTGTCGTATGTCTCGGTGTGCACCTCCTCCGCCATCTCTTCGACCATGTTGTCCAAGAATGAGCACCACTTGGGCGCTGGACCAAGCTGAGGAACGAAGAAGGCGTGCTGCTGCTTGCCTTCGTTGGCTGTCATGATCATACCAGTATCCTTGCACCAAGCAACGTCGTTGATGTCCACGATAGGTTCCACGGATGTCCAAGGGTCTCCTGTCTCCTCATCCCACAGCTTAATGATGCGCTTGTCCGCTGATAGGATCTTCTTCTCTTGTGAAACCGTTGTCATGTGCATGAGCTTCTTGATTGCAAATCCGTAGCCTTGATCCTTCTTCATGAGAGGAACAGGTCGTCGCAGATCAAAAATTTGCATCATGCCAGTCGACGAGCCAGTCACGATAGACAGACCAGAAGGACTGAAATCAAGTGCTGTGACTTCACCTTCGTGGCCTCCCAATAGGGCAACTCTGGACTTGGATCGAGGATCCCAGAACTCGACTGTTCCTATCGAAGTACCGAAAGCAAGCAAGTTATGAGTATTCTCAGCAATGGTTGCAGTGTTGACACTGCCGACCCCGATGCCTCCCTGCAAACCACCGCCGGTCAATTCGTCATCGCCACCAACATCGACCTGGTAAGACTTCATGAAACGTCCCAACTCGAGATTCATGCGGAATACTTCACCCTTGCCGTCACCATCCAAACCCACAGATGGCACAAGAGCCTCGGTAGACTGTCGATCGTAGACGAGGTCTCGACCATATCTAGGAAGACGAACTTCGTAGTGGCAGCCCATGGGAGTGTGAAATTCGAGGCGGCGATCGGTCTGTAGATGGATAGACTTGGAGTAGTCGGATGATAGAAGTTCAAAAGAGTGGTTGAGAGAGTTCGTGTGACGGGCGAAAGAAAGCGACAGCTGAGGTAAGTTGTGAACATGCATCTGCGGCTTGTATGTACCGGTGCTCATGATCCAGTCGCCATCCTCACTGACACGGATGCAGTTGCTGGCTTCCTCGAACTCGAAATCTTGTAGGAGCTCGACACGGTTTTGGTATTCGGCATCATCCTTCAAACTTCGCTTTCTGCGTCGCGCAAGCCAGTCGGGAAGAGGTCGGGCTGTAGAGGCGCCCGAAATTGTATATACGGGAACGGTTCCCGGGTTAGACAACTTCATGGCGACGGTGTTCCTGAGAAGTCACAAGAACAAAGGTTGGTTACTGTACTGCAAGTAATAAGCAAGGTTTGCGATTCTTGGGCGGATGCGACTGGACTAGGTAGAGTTGGAAAAAAATCAAGGTGAAGAAAAAAGTGCCCCACTAAGCTCGGTGAGTTCGGTGACCGGGCTTCGGTGAAGCAGCCCATGAGCGGGCAGGTGTCTATCACGGAAGCCAATAGGCTATGTCCGTAACAAACCCGGTCCCTTGAAGGGCCCCTACCTACGTCCCTAAATCTGACCACCAAAACCACTGACGCCCTCCATCAAACATTCCATCAGGGACCCCCTAAAACGTCCCTGATCACTCACTTCCCGCGGGCGTCGCCCCATCCCAGCTGAGGCCCTGGCTCTTCCGCGCGCACCTCCACTGAATTTCTATCTCCCCCAAAGCTTAGTCTGGTCGCGACAGACACCCAACGCATTATCGAGCATCGGTTTAATACATATTATCGACACATCAGCCACTATCTACAAGGCAACACACAACTAATGACTTAACTCTATCTCAACCGTTGCAGTTCGAACCTTCGTCTCACCGACTGAGCAAACCAAGCTCTCCGCGGCGCCACCCCCGTGCTGCTTGATCGGCATAAGTATCTCGTTCGTTGAGATGGAGTCCGGGGAATCGACGGCTCCAACAAGTACAATTTTAACAACCATCTTCCGAGGACCGCCGTGTTAACCTACGCCTCAACTGATCTCAACGGTGACGACGATAACCATCAGGCCTATCTAGGCTTGCGCCTAGCCGTCGTGCCTCAAGCCGCATTCACGATTGCGACTTCGGAGCGACAAGGAAGCTTTCGCAATGGAGACCAGCGAATATGAAACGAATACTTTGTCGATAGTCAGTGACGAGGCCCCCTACTACCATTCAAAATCTGACGTTTGGACCTGCAGAACAATATCGCGTCGATAGCCTTTCGCATCTACGAGCCATCTTCAGATCAATCGCATAGCTTCCAAACATCCGCTCTCGAAATTCAAAGTACACTTCGTGATCAAGGCAAGCTAGTCTCTTACGACGCCGACCGAGGAGGAATATGGGTCTTTCAGATCACCAACAGAGATGGAGCAACCAAAGCTGTCAATTTTGGCTCCGGTGCCAGTATTGAAGCTTGCGGTCACACGCTGGGAATGGTCGAGGAGGGCACACTCGAACCTGCGGCTCTACAAAAGAGCCGAATCCCAGGAAACACTACTCAAAATGCTCCAGCAAATACAGCTGCGACCACATCTTCTACTGAATCACATCAGCGCAACCCCTTGATATCTCCAACTCAGACTGCTGGAGGGGGGGCACTGGCAGAAGGGGGTGCCCAACTTCCAGCCCAGGCTAACGATACCAAGACGACGCAGCCAGTGCCGAAGATCATATACGAACAATTTATAATCGCAATAATTTCCTCGATAGCGTTTGCGTTTTGCAGCCACTCCATGGCGATTCCCCTTAACTACAGGACGATCTTAATACCACCACTGCAAGCCGATGCGAATGAGCACGAAAAGGGTTCTTTGCAAGCCAATCCTGTTATTGGTACATTTAAAACTTATCTCACAACTACCGGATCCCTTGTGGTGAGTCTCAGCTTCTCGTATTGCAAGAATCTGGCCACAGTAGAAGATGCTCTTTCTGGCGATTCTTCCTTGCCTGGTTGCTCTATCTTGGCTGCCCCATACGGTGTTTTCGCTACTAAACATGGCTCTACCAATGGAGAGGCGGATAGGAGTCTCGCGCAGACACCGAACACACAAGCAATGAGTGTCAGAAGCGTCCCAGACTCACATGATTCGCTATGGAAGCATTCGTGTCTCAAAGCACTTGAATATTGCGGACTTAATCCATCCAGTTTCAAAGCTGGTTCATGGGTCAACCTTCTCATTACAAAGCCGACTTCGCAGGATGCGGATGGAGAGCCGAAACGACTACGCGCAAATGTTCCGTGGCCAGGAGCTCTTTGCTTCCGTAAGAAGTCCTTGGAGGTATCAACTACTCATCGCTTAGGAGAGACCATGCTGAGTGGCCACGAAGAGTGTCACGACCCTCTGGGCGACGCTCGTGAATGGTTTGGTGGCGCTTCCGAAAGGGAAGATAGAATTTCCAAGCGCAAAGCCGAACGTGCGCAAGCTGTCCAGAAAGAGACCAACGGTGCTAACTCCCAAGCCCAAAACCTCAATGGGCAATCTCCACTATCAGTACGGCGTCCAAGTACGGCCGCTGTTGGTGTCATGTATCCGACTCCTCCTGATGCAATTCAACAACACCTCGGAGTTACACCTTCTCTAGACGCGGTGATCTCTAGTCCCAACAACCTCCCTCCAACTCTTGCAGTTGTTGACGCCGATATCACGATGCCGACAGTGACGCCAATGGCCGACGTCGATAACGATGCATGGGAGGGTGGACACGAACAAAAGAGAGAACGAAGCGACAGCAACTTGCTTGGCGAATCTGAGGATATAATAAACGATATGGATGGGGACGTGTTTGGTGATCATGATGTGACAGAAGATGATTTCAACTTTTTCGATGGCCCTGGCGACAACGACATGGACATAGACATGGCGGACTTACAACCAATTTCGCATGCACCACCTCCTCAAATGATGCCCCCACCGATAATAACCCATCCGGAGCCCCAGAAAGCTATCGAGCCTCAGCCCGAGGTGAAGCCCAAACCCAAGCATCATGAGCCTGTTTTCGCAAAACCAGAACTAAAACACGCCCGAAGTTCTCTTAACGACGAGCTCAACCACAAGATCAAGACTGAACGATCAAACTCCAACAAACGAGGATCGAGCCCCTTTGATCCCGATACTGTGTTCAAACGAGTTAAAGCATCGCTGGCTAGCCCTACGCAGGAAAATTTCACCATTCAAGCCCCCCTTCGACGAAAGAGTAGTATCTTCGAGAAAGTCGAGTTCGATCCTAAGATTCCCCTCATCAACAAAAAGTACGAACAGGGCGGCGCGTTTGACTTCTCAAAGGAGCAGAGCGGCGGAGAGTCCAAGCGCGATGTTCAAGGTTTATCTACAGACGAATACCTTGAACGGCAAGGGAAGATCAAACCAGACTCCAGAACACTTCCTGGCGCCTCTTTAATAAGAAGCTTGACTGGCGTAGACGGATCCACTAACCATGCAAACCATCATAAAACGAATGGGAACGCATCCTTCTCAGAAGATAGTGATATCGATTCAGAAGCAGACGACCTAAGTTCGCTTTCTGGTGGCCCCGTCTCGCCCATCAAGTCCAGTGTCAAGCGAACAGTAGTGGATGATGACGCCCTTTCGCAAGCCACGACATCGCGAGAGGTGGAATTCTTAGATGACACTGCAGAAGAGCAACTCGCGATTGAGCTTCCCAAATTATCAAAGACAGAGTCACCAGAAATGCCGCTCCATCGTTTCTTTTCAGACCCGGAGCCTCTCAACACGGAGGTGGGACTTTCCAACCATGACTTTGTCGAAGTTGCACAGATAGTTACTGAGCAGGCTGCTACTGGCCGACTTGATATTGGCATTGATCATAGAAATGAGTCGTCAGTCTCGCTTGCAACGATGAGAGGCCATGAACTCAATATTGCCCGCAACTCGCTCCAACTTCTCCACAGCATCATCCCGGCGAATCTGGGAAGCGCTACGGCTGTGCGACTGAAAGGATTGCTTGAGATCCTAGATCTTCCACTCGTTGGACAACCGAACCGTCTCCAGCCCCGACCAATCCCTGGTAGAGACACCAATGTAGAGCAATTGCGCGCAAACAACCTCTACCAGATCCCTGTGCCTCATCTCGAAGTTCGCAGATCAGAAACGAAACTATCAGTACTCCCGTCATCCATGTCATTCTGGGAAGGGCTGGGATTATCACCTTCGTGGGGAGCAAAGGACGTTACTGCTCTCTGCATCTTTCCTGGCTGGAAAGGAATGGCAGATCATGTCGGAAGCTTTACCAGCCGCTTGAAGAGCGTATACGAGTCCCTGAAACTAGGCACCTTCAATAATCTAGCATTATCTGGAGACTGGGACGATGGCATTTTGCCTTATGAGATTGATAGGATCTCAACCTCACCTGACGCAACTATCACCGGTCATGGCTCCGCTCTAGTGGAAAGTATGGAAGTGCTCCGAAGCTCTCTACAAGAATTGAAGTCGAAGGACAAGAATCTGGTCATATACTTCGTCTACTCACCTGATAATCCCGCCTCCATCATCGAAGCTTGCACTACTTTCTATCGCTTCTTCGACGAGTATAGCGACCTTCTAGCAGCCCGTAGAGAGTCTCCACAGAACGAACTAGTATTGCAACTGGTGTCGTCCGATCTGATATCTTCCACAACGTCTCTGGTTGTTCCAAGCCCTGCGGAGATGATCAAACTCTGTTTAGAAACCTACGACAGGTGCACGTTGTTTTTGGATGCTGAGTTTGGTGGCCCTACCCCTGCGCCAGCAGTGATGCTTGAGCAACCTCCTCCTCGAATGATCGACTTCAAGTTGACAACATCCCCTTCTCAATCCCTTATGCATGAGAACTCCTGTATCCATGTTGGGTACGCCGAAAGTGTTGATGGCCGATGGATCACTGCTGCGTGGACCGATAATCGCGGACAACGACAAGCGACCGCATCTTACTCTATTACTAGGAGCAGAACCCCTGATCGGTCTGTTTCCCAGCACAAAGCGGCCATTATGGCTGAAATTTGGGCGACGACATTGACTATGATCTCCATTTGGAAAGTACATTGGCGAGTGATCATCACAAAGTCAGGACCGATGGATCAGAAAGAAGTCGAGTGGTGGCAAGCCGCATCAACTATTGACGACAAGTACTCTTTCACGATGATATTGATGTCAGTGGACACCAGTCCATCCTTACAGCTTGTGCCGCCCGTCGTCAAGATTCCCCATACGGCAACCTCGGCGTTCTACTCGACACCAGTGTCCACACCCCAGGCCAACATCGTTTCGCCTGAGCAGACAACAACACCGGCAACTCCCATGCGGGAAACCAGTACACTGGCTGCTACACCGGGTGCTGAGAGTGCTACAGAACCAGATGCCGACTCTTTCCTGATCGATGCTACCGACCAAACATGGGGCGCCATCGTTGGACATCGACTTGGTAACTCAACTACCCTTCTGGAAGTCAGACCCGCGCTTGCTAGTGGCTACTTGATCAAGAGAACGGGAATCAAGATTGAAGATCCTCCAGTTGTGATGGAGGTCAATCTTGTACACACTGAGGCTACTCCTCGTGCATATGAGCCTCTTCTTAGAGAAATGCTTTGTTACTTTAGAGGTCTTGGTACTTTGGCCAGGGCCAGGGGCGTCACAGATCGAGAGATGGATGTTCGACCTTGGCATATCGCCGCGGTGGAAAAGGGCGTACGAGCACTGCATCTTTTGTTATAATGATCTAAGCATTGAGAGGCGTCGTTTTGGGGAGAATGGTGTATATGTGGGTGTATGGCGTTTTTTTCTTTGCGAGCATACATCATGGTTGGATAGTAACCGCAATGCAAATATAGTTTGGCCCTATGCTGCCTTGGAAAATACAAGATATTATCTGAACAGACAATCTGGTGTTGTGAAAACTAACAAAACATCCTGGGCCCATTATTAGATAAAGTATAATCACAAATATAAGGAATCAAATAGTCATGTGAATAGATTCAAACTCCTGCGAAACCTAACACATAGCGAAAAGCATACTTACCGTGCCAATGTACCCGTCCTGTGTCTTCAGCCTTCCGTGTTGGGCTGATTCAAGAGATGCATTGCTTACTCTCAATTGACTGTTGTGGGGGAGACGGCTCGATAAACCAATCCCTTTCATCCAGCCCGCTACGCCCTCTCCGACGCCAGAGTTGTCTTTGGCGGTCCCAGACCCAGAAGCGATGGCCCGGATGCGCCTGAAAGTCGTTCTGTTGGTACCGTTGTGTCACTTCCTGGTTCCCCATTTCTTCAGATTTATCATCTATAAGGGACCAGTTGGAGACAGTCGAGTTCGCGTGCGAAGCAATAGACACAGTTTCCCAGTCCCAGCTGCCAGGCTCGAAGTGAGTGCGTTGCAGATGTGCAGCGGCGTTGTAATAGGCACCACCTGAGCTACCCATACTATCGCTATAGGAACAAACAGGACTACCAAGTGATAGTTTCTCAATTTCCACTAGCTCTGAACTTGGATCTTCGGAGCCGCTGATGCGCGATTGAGCTTTTGGGCGATGAAGGTTGACCAGTTGTCTGATCTTGTCTTCAGACGTCTTATTGACAGGCAGAATGCCGTGTTTTTCGAAATCTTCTCTAGTATTGAACTGATAGGGTATTGGTGCTTCTGGAGGACTGAGATGAACACTCTCATATAGTTCGTCAGTGTTGTCTCCAAGGATGAGGTCCTGCTCTAGCCCGGGAACGATGTGAACTTGGCTGGTCTCGAGGTTCTGGTTAGGTCCATCGAACGTCCAGGAGATCGAGACGACTGGAGGAAACTCGGTCGTCTTTTTCCCGTTGGTTCCAAGTAGCTTCTGTGCAAGTTTGTTGGATATGAGTCCATTCTCTCCTCGTCCGCATATGAGAGCAGCGATGTGGACTTGTGTATGGGGTTCGCGCTGTCGCTTCGCCGAGAGATGGTCACCGGTTGGTTCCCAGTGAGTTATGATAACGAGTTTGATGTCACCATGGGTCCAGTCCTTTGGCATTTCTTCGGTTTTCTGTGTTATGTCTATCAATAGGAAGTCGAAGAGGACGTAGGATAATTGAGGCTTACACCACTTTGGATACTGAGATTCACATAGGGATCCTGAGGAGGCTCGATGATGCTGATGGTTATTGAAAAGAGTGAATTGACAGTCCCGATAAGGGAATAAGGGTGGGCTGGATCCAGGACTTGTAGAGTCCCGAGTTGCTTGAGGCTCTAATGACGACTTCATATTGACGAGTCATCAGAACCGCAGATTGTGCAACTGGAATTGAGAGGAATCTTATAAATTGAAAGAACAAACTGGTTAGGTCTTTTCAAAAAAATGTCAGCAGATTTTGCGAGCGCCCTGTAGGAGTGTTGCATAGGGAAGTAGGTAGGGAGGGTCAGAAGTGTTCCTTCCAACATGTATAGAATCAGGCTCTGGATTCTCCAGATAGGGAAGTAGCAGCTGAGACAACGACATAATGCAGGCAAGACACCCTCATGTGAGTTGAGGCCAATTGTCACATTAGACATCACATCACATCATATCACATCACTTCGCATTAGCCTGGATATTTTCATGCACGAAGTGATTTGGAAATTCCAATTCAAAATCTCGAGTGTCTTGAGTCTAATTGTCTGTTCCATCGACGACTTCACGTCAAGCTTAAGTTGCAGCAATTACAATATCTTCACAGACACGCCTATGTCATCCTCGATCCATACCTTGGACCCTTGCAATCAACTTTGTTATTCCAGTTCATGCCCTGCCTCCAGATCAACTATCTCTCGGACCCCTCTCTCTTCAATCCGCATAATCAACCTGCATGGTAGCTTGATTCCCATACAAGACGACTGCATGATCACCTGGCTGATGAGTTGGGTAGCTTGAAAATGATACTACCATCTCATAGGTGCGAGGAGCCCGCTTCTGAGAGTAGGCCTCCAGTACGATGGCGTGTTGTTGATGGAGTAGTAGTCGGCGTTGTTGTTTTCCCTGTCTGCGATGAGAAATACAAATTACTACCCCCATAATACACCTTTTGAGGCTCTGCTGGTAGCGATACAGGTATCGCTACTATATGGATGATCCAAGGTCCAATGGTCTGGATCCTTCTCATTTTGCTCCCCCGAGATTTGCTGGAAGGGAACTGGAGGCTAGGTACTTTGAGGTTTCTCTTCTTGCATATTACTCCGCCATCTTTTCCTTTTTCCTCAAAATCATCTGCTTCACTTCTAAACGAGGGATTCGTTCTAATGCTGTGTGGCAATGGTTTCCAGATGTACGAACCCCAACAGAAGACCTAATGATAGAAGGGAAACTGAAAGGTCCATACTTCTTCCACCGTTTATCGAGGAGATACGCCCTACAAGATCAGAACGTCGGAGAGTAGAGCGCGGCCGTAGACGAGGTCGTCGTCAAAGAGTACAACGCCCTCTACCGCCGCCGAGGACTGGTCCATCCATCCCTACCGGGTCTCTAACACCATCATCTTCGGAAGGCCTAAACAACAGGGTGGAGTCAAACCAGAGTCTCATTGTTCTAGAAAACTACACACCGGCTAGACAGGCTCATATTCCTGTCGAGCCTGACGACAGTACTAAAGAATCATTCGGAGTCGAACACGAAACGTTCACTGCAACGCTCCAAGCTGCTACATCCGAGTCTTACCACCAGGACCCGAGCTCGGCATCTGCTTCTCGGACCATCAACTTCGATATACCAAGTGTCGATGAAGAATATGTCTTCTTAGAACCAGATGCGGCTGTGTCTCAGACAGACACTGGGTTAGTATTATCCTATACACTCTTTCCTTCTCCCATCTAACATCCTCTCCAGAATTCCATCGAACGCCAGAGACTTGGTTCTCAACTCGTCCAGAGAATACGAAGACCACTTCCAGCCTCGCAGCATGAATCAGATCCAGCTCGGTGATCATCTGGAAGAAATAAGCCGCGAGGTTCAACAAAGGATGCCACTGCCTGATCTGAACCCAAACGCCAATGACCCATCTGTCAGAATGACCTTTGAGAATGGAGATGTGTCCCATGACAAGATCTACTTCGACGACGAGTTGGAGCATAGCTTTATGTCTTACGACTATCTCTGGAGAATCCGAGCTGCTTCAGGGAGACTCCCGTATGTGATTGAAGCACCCCCTATTGATAGAGAAACATGGACTCCCAGCGGGGTGTTAGCTCCTATCGAATATCTTCTCTATGCTGACCTTGACTGGGAGTCGTCTGGCCTCCCATTCCCACGAAGCCGATTACACTTCATCATCTACCGGGGCAATGGAACTATATACGATACGAAACCAGTCTTGGGTCGAAATTGGTCTGAAATGGTTGAGAGGCAATCACCCGGCGGCGCCTAAGCGCAAGCTTGGAAGCCTAAGGATGATTAATTCGCTGCATCATGGACTCTACAAAGCTGCATCATGATCATCAAGGCTTTTTGAGGACCCACAATACAGTGTTGCTACTATCTACTTATACGTTAATTGCGGCAAGAGGTCAAGCTGTCGGGCCTCTGCCGCATCAGGGTACTATGGCGAAGGATATGTCCAGGGTGTATTGGTCAGCACCCTGGACACGAGATGAGTTTGCGTTAAATGCAATATAACGGGACTTCCTACAGAGAAGGGAAACGACAGATATGTAAGTGCTTTCATGTTCGATCTTTTTTATTGTTATGGCTTTTTGGTACGAGGCGGGCATCATGAAATTGCCAACAAAGGGATGATTTGCTAGGCGTTGGTTGTTCTTTTGCCAAAATCAGATTGTAAGGGCTACTGTATTTAACGAGAAAACAATAAAGACACATGATTTGTGCACAAACCTTTTGCTGTCCAAGATTGAAAATAGTTAGTTCTCCAAGCTGTTTCTTATGTAGGAGAGAGTTACCTAGTAGGTAGGTATGCAACTATCGAGGGGGAAAAAAAAGATACATTAGTCCAAGACCCGCAATGACGCTCTGTTTCCTAAATTCTAGGCAGACAGACAGTAAGCATCCATTGATTGATAGGATAGGTTTGATAAATCCTGACTCACCAGAAATAGTTGCTATAAGATTCTTCTCTCGCTCTAAACAATTTTTACGTTCCTCATAATAGACAAGAATATTTTACCTGTATATTTCCTTCCTAATTGATGGACCCGCCCAAATCGCATTCTGTTCGTCGATAAACCTTAACGACTCATTCATTGAACCGCAGGGTGAGAAAAATACGCCATCACGACCATTTAGTCAAGGATTTCTCGGCGAAATGCCCTTTATACAACACCCAACGTCCCAACCAAGAAAGAACCATGGATAAGACATCTCTAGCAAGCCTTCCAGATGATCTCGTTCTCGATATTGTCGAGCATCTCGACACGGCACGTGACGTAGCTCACGTCTCAGTCCTGACGAAACATCTTCACTCTCTTGTGAAACAGGATGGGTGGCGAACTTTTGTCAAGACCAGATTCCCTTCCTTGGATATAGCTACAAACTCTGAGACTCAATGGGGTAAAGTCGCGGACCGCGCAACGTATCTGGATCGCTGCTGGGAGAAGCGTGGGTTCTGGGTCAATGTTCTCCATGAGAAGAAGCAGCAGCCGGAAAGGTTTCAGCGCAGGGTTGCTGGAAGCCAGTCAGTCTTGTTCCATACTGTTCTCGATGCTCGGCTTGAATCGTCGCTTCAGAATGAGGTTGTTGCGGCTGGTGTGGGTGAAAATCTTATGGTGAGGATAAAGCCTGTGAATGGGCAGCCCGATACCTGGCATCAGATCGAAGGCCAGACTCATGGATATCGAGCAGGCACCGGAGACGCCACGGCAGTATCTGTCATTGAGGGTGATGGGTATCCAGGTGTCGTTGTCGGTAGGGCTGGTGGAGAGCTCGAAATCCTTTCTGGTAAAGACAACTTCTCAGCGGTTTCACGACAGCTGAAGCCAGCAGGCGAGGTATTGCAGAATCATGCTTCTGATCCTATGCGAAAGTCTCCAGGACAAGTGGCAGTCTCATCCCTACAGTGGCATCCCGAAGCGAATCTTCTTGCAGCGGGCAAAGGCTCTGTTCTCACCCTCTACGATCTCTCAGCATCGGACGATGCCGAACTGGCCCCCACAGAGTACTATGACTTCTCAAAGACAGGTCCCAATGACGAGGCGTCGCTCTTGCGAAGTACCAAATTCATGAGCAGAGATGTAGTGGCTTGTGCTCTGGGCGGAAGTAGAAATCCCCTCCGCTGGGGACAGCTCACGCCAACTGGGATACACATCATGAACGCTGCTAGCAATCCTAGACCGCTCGATGATGCTGCCAAGTTGACCGACGTCAGAATGGGCGAGAAAACGACGGTTCGAGCGATTGAGCCTGTCAGAGGTAATGACAATCTCCTCTTGAGTACATGGGACGACGGTACATATAGGTGAGTGCCCTTTCATGTCTGCTAGAATCTGCTACTTACCGCTGTCATAGACTTTCGGACATCAGAACTCCTTCAGATCATGATGCGGTATATCGTGATCGTTTTCAGCCTTACGAAGCGGGCAGTTCTCTCCTAGTATACGGCATTGAACGTTTCGTAGCTGGAAGCAACACGGCACCAGATATCCGTCTCTTCGACTTCAGATACTCCAAGCCGTACCACCACTCAAGTGCTCTTCCATGCACAACACAGTGGCCTTTCCCTAGCCAGAAGGACGATCACAAGATGTGGAGGCAAGGTTGGGCGCCAGACTGTCAACCTCAGGGCTGCGATCCCCAAACTGGACTACTATGCAACTGGCATAGTACATCTAGGCGGAACTATTGGCGTCCCGACGCAACACTTCATATCGGCAGTCCAACCTACGACAGGATCTATTGTCTAGCAAAAGCGTCTGATCTTTCGGATACAGTGTACTGCGGTCTTCGCGGCGCAATTCTGGAGATGAACCTCCATCTCACAGACGACGCAAAGTACGATTCTGGCCATCGAACCGTTCCAGCCGGTTGGAGCATGGGAAGACCCGGAGGCAAGATCTCGCTCATCGAGACGGGCGTGAGTCTCTGCCAAGCAAAGGAATGGTCCCTCGAGAATCGGGGCGTGCCAGAGCTTATCGTTCAGCAACCTCGACCGCAGAAACAAACGGAATTGTCAGACCAGGTGAAGCGACATCGACTAGACTACGCGTTTCATAAATCGCAGGACTTCGATCAAGTACAGGCATAGAACCGGAAAAACTTATATATTCATAGAGTATTCTTAAGATGTAGAATTCCTCGTCAATGTATTTGCTATCAAACAGAAAAAGCAGATCTTTACATAAGCTCTAAAACAGTTCTCGCAGTTCTAGTGCAATTTAGCTCTATAGTTTAGACTCGGGCACCAACAGCGCAAGTCTTTCTTTCAACGCCGTCTCAGCCTCCTTCTCAATTCTTCCGACAAGCTCATTGCATGTAGGAATATCATTAATCAGACCCATAACCTGTCCTGTTGTCCAAACCTGCAATCAGTTAGCAAACTCATCCTTCGATCCAACAAATCGAGGAAAAGGACTTACGCCATAGTCGACATCTCCAGTGATGAACACTTCCTTTCCTCGCTTGCCGCTCATATACGGCGCAACCTCTGCAAACTCGCCCGTCTCGCTCTTCTTCTCAATCTCAAGCGCGTCAAGGGCAACCTTGTTCTTGTACAACCGCGTAGTGTTTGTCCATCGTCGGAGAAGAAGTGTGGTGTCGGTCTCTTGCGCGCGGACAATCTCCTCCTTGACCTTGACATGCACAGGCGCCTCGACAGTGCACATGAAGCGGGTTCCCATGTTGACACCACAAGCGCCCAGGCACAGCGCGGCAGCAAGTCCATAACCGTCTGCGAAACCACCGCTGGCGATGAATGGCACACCGAGTGTCTGACGCGCTTTGCTAAGAAGGATGAAATTCGTGATATCGCTCTCTCCCACGTGGCCGGCGCACTCGAATCCATCGATGCTCAGGAAGTCGACGCCCAGCTTAATAGCGCTCTGCGCATGACGAATCGTGGTGCACTTGTGCAGAACAATAATTCCAGCTTTCTTCAGCTGCGTGATAACAGGACCAGGCGAGTTACCGGCTGTCTCGACGACCTTGATACCCTCATCGATAATAGCCTGGGCGAAAGCGGCGTAGTTGGGAGGCACCATAGAAGGCAGAAGGGTGATGTTGACACCGAAAGGGTTCTTTGTGAGAGTACGACAGCGCTGAATCTCCTTGCGCAGTTCCTCTGGTGTTGGGTAGATGAGGGCGGTGATGAGGCCCAAACCGCCTGCGTTGGAAACAGCTGAGGCGAGGTCGGCGGTGCCAACGTGCATCATGCCGCCTTGCACGACGGGCACTGATGGTAGATTAGCATGAGATCAAGAGGAGAAGGAGTTATGATACTAACCTCTGATGCCCAGTCGCTTCGTAAGTTCAGTCGCAAAAGGCATGATGATGACTGGCTTGCTATGAAACAAAGAGTAAATCGATGGTGAAAAAAACAGAGTTTGAAGGACGGTAGAACGAGAGATCCTGTATATCTACGTCTATCTATGTAGCTAGTCTAGGTCGTCTCACATAAGGAAAATAGAGAGAAAGAATGACCGAGGCTGTTTATTTTCCAGGTACCAACGTTGATCAAGTTTCATAAGGGGTTAAGACGCCTCATGACCATGACCATGATCCCAAGACAGACAGACCATATGGTCCATCGGCAACCCAACCTTAAAGGTGCCGAGGTATGATGCCAGTCAAGACCCACTTCTTCCCCCACACTCGGCTCGGTCCTCCACTCTCACATGCGGTAACAGTAACTAACAGTCCAACTTTGCGGGGAACAACAACCAAGCTTCTTCATCAGCAGTCAGAATATATACAAGGTCACGGGTTGGCCACTAAAAGTAATTAACAAGAAATTTCATTTCATAGACTAGATTCCAACTAGTATTGAGAACCTCAGCTCCTGCTTATTTTGCAGTGTTTGAATCAAACATGATCATAAAACAGCCGCTTGACAACGCCTTGATGTACAGGATATACCATGTCGTGGAATCATCATAACCACACTGGTGTTCCCAACTATTGCAATCCCTAATAGATGGATGACTTTTCATCCTATCTGTTCCAACGCCTGAAATTCGTGATAACTCCCTTCCTTCCAGTCCCATTGCTGGGTATATCAGGTAATCTTTCGCCATGTCCTCTCAATTAACACTCGGCTCTAACAATCGAACCGGGGGACTTCTATCTCTTGGCTTCTCGATCAAGTCCGCATATGCGTCCAGACTTTGACCCATAACCTTGACAGTCTCGAAAATATGTGTTCCCTTGAAGGTCTCGGCCCACAGTCGCACAACTGCAACAGCCAGTTGCCGTAGCTTAGCACTGTCGCTTGATGGCACATCGTTCTGTCCCGAAAGTGATGGGTCGATTGGCGGGACTGCAAATTCAGTTTCGTCAAGCATTCGGCGCACCATATCCAGCAAGTTCGTCTCCTCCTGAGAGGCAGGCGCATCATGCGGCCCAATCGCACCAATCGTCAAGAGCCACTTAGATACCAGGATGGCACACTCAAAATTGCATACTGTTAAGCCAAGTTAGTAATCGAATCAAGGGATAATGCGGGGTTGTGTCCAGCTAGTACTTACATGAGTGCTGAATGCTCCATTCGGTCGATTTGGTCCTGGCTACGTAGTTGACACCTGCCTTGACTAACATAGACAGGGCATGAATCGCTTGGAACACTGCCCTGTGCAGTCTTAGACTTCGTACTAGTAAGGGGGTCCTGCTCAAGGCCGACGCCACCAAAAGCGGATCCCGAGTCTCGAGCGCGGTCGACGGAGTCACATCAGTATAGAGTCGGATGTATGCTTGTCGCAATAAAGCTGTCGCCGTGTAATCCAGCGTTCCGCCCTCAATCGAATCCGATATGCTGTAATGTCCCGATTCCGCAGCCCTAAGCTGGTGCTGGTCTTCGAAGCTGGTCTGCCACACCCGCAGTGCCTGCGAAACCTCCTCGACATCTTCAGGCTTCATTGTTCGATGAATGTTGTATGGGAGGCCTGTCGCAAAAGATGTCTGCTTGAGCAGGTATATATGCTGAATAAGTGCATGGATGAGAACATAACTGCCGAGAGACGATAGATGTTGCGGGAGGCCTTGGTTTGTCCGGCCAAATAGTCGTGAGAAAGCGTCGTGCAAGGTGAGCTCGATAATCGGTGTCGATTGTCGTACTTCCTGCCATTGCCATGCAGTCTCAGCTCTCCAGAGCTTGCCTCTCTGTGGCAATAGGAGGTTGAGCTCAGATGTCAACAGCAATGGTGGCATGTTGTACGCAATGCTGCAAAGATTGAAAAAGCAGTAAGCAACAAGTTTCGTCCTTGTTGCGGTCTCGAGTCGAATCCATGTCTCCCAATCATTGACCACACTTTGGTTCACTTCTGCCACAAGGCCTTCTTCCCGGATCAGGATGGCAAGATTACTCTGTAGCGACAGTGCTTCGTGCAGGATAGTTGGCACACCCCAAAGACCGACAGCAAAAAGAAGCAAGACTGCTTGAATAGTCTCAATACGAGCTTGAGGAGTATTTGGAGAGCTAGATAGACAGTCAGGAAATAAGATTCTGTCAATAGATCAGAACGTGACTTACTAAGGCTCACGATGAGTGTCCTGTGTTGTTGGCCGCTCGGATTGCGCAGAAGCAAAGGAGTGGCGGTATGTGGCACTCGGTGAAGGACGTGTGGAGTGAGGACTGTAAGCAGCCGCAGTTGGCAAGAGGGCATGAACTTCTGAAATTCGTCTTCGTCGAATCTGCTCCATTGCCACAGCCTTGGCAGCATACCATAGGGCATATCCTCGGTTCTTTTCGAAACGATACTGGGCTCCTACGGCGAGAATAGCAAGAAGCAACTCAGGTGCGGCCTCGGCAGGTGAGAAGGTTGGAAGGTGGAGGAAGGGTAGATGTTCATGAAGTCCACTGATATAGCCTTCCAGAAAACGCGTCAATGTATGTCGCGAGGGAAATACAAAGTCGTTTGGCAAAACTGCTGAAAATTCGTCCAGTCTGTTCTTTATCACAGTGTGGTCGGCTACTGAGATACGGAGGGCTGATTGTCGTGCTGCTTCATCAATACCTCGGGCGGCAGGGTCGGCAGGATCTCGTGCCTCAGTCTGCATAGGTGGGAAACGACCTGGAAGGAATGAAGACTTCGACAGCCGACGTTGGGCAGCACTGCCTTGACTTCGAGAGTACATCATTTGCTGCTCGGTTTCGAAGCTTGGGGGCAAAAAGTGAGAAGAAGCAGCGAACTCGTCGAGGAAAGGGTTGTAATCATCATAAGATCCTGGAGGTGGTTGCTGAGGTACATAGCCCGATCCCAGGGGTTGGTCCTCCCGAGGACGTTCGGTTGTGTAGGCGACGATGGATTCCCCATAACTGCTCTTTCTTCGAGATTCTGGAGAATGTGGCGGAAGAGTCGCAGGCGCTGCATTTCTCTGAACAGGCGTCACTGAACTCGCAAGGGCCGCGTCGGATAGCAAATCAAGATTACAAGCAGCCGAACGAGGTTGTGCCCGGTGATCCTGAGGGCTTTGTTGGGGACCTGGAGGCGGGCCATGGTGAAAGACCTGGGGTTGTGGTAAAGGTTGCTGAGGTGGCGGTGGTCGTGAAACGTTGGGATGTTGGTGTCCGATAGCCTCAGTATTTATTTGACCCTCAGAAATGGAACTCTTATGTGAGGTTGAAGATGTGTTAGACGACAGCTTCCTTGGCCGGCTGTTGTCTTTACTACCTTCGTTGAGATGCACGAGCTTCTCATGTCTGACAAGAAGATCCCTGATATCCATGTAAGCATATGTATTGACGAAGATGAATGCAAAGGTGAGTCCCGGTTGGGATGGCTCATGAATAACAGCCCGAAATTTGAAGATCAAAAGTTGATACAGGTTGGGAATTGAGTGGACGAGTGAGCGGTGACTCAGTTACTGTATATGAGTGACTGGGTGGGACGGCCTGAGAGACGGGGGAACAGAGCGGAACTAAAGAATCACGTACCTTCTTCCAAATGTCTTCCCACATCGATCCCAACCACATGAGAATGGCTTCTCTTTTGTGTGAGTGCGCTCATGACGCTGCACATGCTCAACACGTCTATATATCGAGAATATGGTCAGCCCACAACAAAGTCTCGAGTGAAGCAAAGACGACGAACCTGAATCGTTTGCTACAGTACTTGCAGGGAAGAGTCTTGGGCTTTGGCTGGCGCACTTCAGTCGACTCTGGGCCTACGAGAGTAGGAGGGCCAGGAAGGGGCCTGGGAGGGCCTTCCATAGACTGAATAGCAAGCATCGTAAAAGTGTACTTTGAGAGTTCAAGACCTCGAGCGTTTACCGATTATGTTTGATACTTGATATTGAGGTGTGGGGTGGAAAACTTCGAGGAGAGATAAAAAGATAGTGAAAGAAAAGAAGGAGCAGAGCAATACAGATTTGGATTTGGAGCTGGAACTGGACCTGGGGAGATAGATGCAGGAAGATTGCGGGGTGCGTTAAGGGTAGAGCATGGCATGTGGAGGAGGAAATAGACGATGGCCCGTGAGCTAGACTACCTTACAGTGCAAGTGCAGGTGCAGGGAGTGGAGGCTTGGGTTTGCCTTCCGCGGGAGAGACAAGACAAGACAAGCAGGAGACGAGACGGGGATGGGGGAAGGAGGGATGGGGTGGATGGGGTGGACGGGAAGAACGGGGGGAAATCCTGGAGGGAAGGAGCAGGCAGTTACTGGGGGTCCTGATCCAGTATGAGAGACCAGAGACCAGAGCCAAGCAACCAAGCCTAAGCCAAGAAGAGTGAATGAATCCAAGGAGCTGGATGGGATGAGATGGATGGGACAAGGTCAAGGTCAACCACAGCAAGAGCAAGCCTCAAAACCATACACAAAAACAAAAACGCCCCTTTAGTGCTTCCCCTCTCGTGTACTACGGTAGGTACAGTGCAGTATGATATCTCGGCTTTTCCCCCTCTCGTGCCGATAACAAGGTACAAGGAGATACTTGGGCGGATGAGGTTCAATATGTACCGGATGAGTACTGTACGGTATAGTCTCGTTACGTTTTGTGAGTCGGCGATTGTGGTTGCAACTCAATGAGGAGGAGGTGAGGAGCAACTTGGAGGGATGAGGTTTTCGGAAACTGACTCCGAGCCGAAGCGTGAATATGGATATTGTGTTTTCGACTCCCGCTAATCTCAAGATCGTTTATCGTTAATCAGTCTAGACTTTCTGTTTTTTCGTAAATGTATTCATCCGGTAAATAGCACACTCGCCCATGTGATGTGTGGACAATATGGGTGGATGGAAAACGAGAATGTGAAGGATGTGAAATCTAGAAAGGCAGGTACACAGAGTGAACAGCGGAATTACAAGCGAGGAGGGGTTTTGCCCCGGTATGGAGAGGGGAGGAGAAGAGAGGATATGGGGAAACCAGAATGGATGGATGGGCTGGCGCGTGTCAAAAGTTTACGGTGTAAGTCATCGGTATAACACCCGAGGAACTGGCTCTGATACCGGATCGACCAAAGATGGAGTACCTAGCAGTGGGTTTATGACGATATGGTACATTGGTGAGATCTAGAGTATCGAGATGACTGTACTGTCTCTCACTTTGAGATTCACTCGCTTGAGACTGCTGGCTTAGAATTCCGGGGTAATTCAGTGATCAACTCTGCTGTGAACAGGCGTCCAAGGTCTAGATTCGGGTCAGAAAGCTCTGTCTTATCCTGGCCTGTCGTCCCTGGCCAGTGACTTGACTCGGCGGTGGGCGGAATACACCGAGGAGAGGGCTTGGGGACAGCTCTAGCATGCCACGTTGATACGCCGAGAGAAGAAGAGAGCAGGGGTGTAAGTAGAAGAACAAGACAAGAAAAGACAGGATAAGACGTGGCGAAACAGCCAACCCCGGGGCAAAGAGGGGAAGAGAGGAGACAAGCAGGAATGGTGTGGCAAGGTACAGTGCACTATAGTGAGTTCTTTTGCTCTGAGAGCGCTGAGCGATTGAAGTTTAGGTGTAAACGCTTGCTCAGGTTGCTGCGACCTGAAGGTCGGACAAGGTATGACGGCGTAGCGCGGGCGCAAGGGCCAGGGCGGGGAAATTGGAGGTGATAAGCTACTTGCTAGTAAGTACTTATGATACATCCGAAAACAAAAAAAAAAAGTTGATAGGCTTGGGCTTGGGTTTGGGTTCGGCTGTAAAAGTGCTTCCATTGACTGAGCCTAGCGACCTAGCGTTCCTGATCGTGCCAAGCTTTATTGATAGAATCAGGGGAACATTGGTAGAATAGCTTAAATTTGGCCGAAGATAGATAGAATAACAGTGCTGTGCTCTTTACAGATAGCATCAATCTCCCCTATCAGATCCAGGTTATCTTGTACGTAAGTGATTGTAACTCGATACTACGGATATTCAAGCAAGAACAAACCTAGTGTGGGGTGTGTGAGTGGGCAACTGCATCAATCTGGGGGAATGGATCTCAGAGAGCCACTGATTCTGTCCAAAAAAGCAAGCCACAAAGCAACAGGACAGGGACAGCTGTAAGAAAAAGAAAAGAAAAGAGAATAGAGCAATCAATATTACAGATAACCCTCAAGAGTCAATCGCATCCACTTATCGATTTCCAACACCACCCCAAGGAGCACAAACGTCACAAGTAGGCCTCTGCAATGGATTAGCACCCAAACATTCCATCCTAGGGCACGGAGTAGACGGGATGCTTGCCGCTCCCTCCTTGTTATACGCCAGCCCAACCTAAAGGATGACAGAACAGACAACGTCAACCTCACGGGTCAACGCAAGGCAACAAGGCACCCTGAAGAGAAACGGTAGGGCCAAGCTCATGTCAGTAACAGTCCGGCTTTGTTCGTTCTTGTTAGTTGAAATAACCTCAACGCAAGCCCAGCCCAGCCAAGACCACGGCGTCCTGGGGCGTGCAGCATGACAAGGCTTGTAGGGAGCCTTCGTCATCACTGAACGAAGCCCACAAGATTCTCATTGTATTGGACCGACGCCAACGCTGCACGGGCAGCCAAGTCAACTCTTACCCAGTCAGAATTGCTAAGCCACCCTGGGCATGTGTCAGAGTAAGTCGCGAGGTGAAAACATAAATTGTCGCGGTAAGCCACCGTGAACAAGGACGGTTATTGATGGGTGAGGCGCCAATGGGGGAAATAGTCGGTCACAAACAACTGATGTTGGGCTGCAGGAGAGATCGGATCTCATGAGATGGCATGAGATGCTTTGCTGGATACTGCAGTGTGCAGTACAATGAGTTGTGGTCATGTCGGAGGAATCCCGTTGTTCAGCATCTTTAAGCCGGGGGGGGGGGGGG